CGTATGAGCAGGTCTCAAATGAATTATCTGAAATCACAGTCAACCCACTGGAGAGCAACATGCAGTTATCCAACAAACAAAGTTGATTATAAAGATTATGTGAGAGTAAAGTTTTCAGACTTCGATGTTATGACTTTTGCTGGCAGTGGTATTTGTAAGAAAGTAGAGTTTGTAAACATTCGTGGTCATCAATGTGCTCAATGTACGTCAAAATGGTGGCAACAAAATAGCTATATGTCGCATTTAGACAGCAGTCTTTCAGGTTGTCAGTTTGATGCTCGCACCAGTTCTGTGTATTCCGAAGTGTATGACCTTAGTCTTGTTAATCTTTTGCCATTATCAGTATCGGCCTCATGTTTAGATTCCGGCTTAAAGAATGAGGATTTAATTAAGCAAGAAGCTATTTTAAATTGTTATGACGGTACCTGGTCACCTTTCTTGTGTATTCTGGGCTTATCATCAGTTATTGGTAATGAAATATTTACTTATTATCCAGATTGTGGGGACATAAGACCCAAATTACTTTTTGATAGACATGTAAACCCTCGCTTGGCAAATGAAGCAATTGTGAAGGATGTTGCTGTTCACATATTATTCTGCTATGAAGGCAAGGTTAAGTCTGGCGAGAGCTTTTTGCCAAACCATTATGTTCCTCTTCCTCGTCATGATGGCAAAGAGAGTGATGGCAAAATGAGTTTTCATGGTTTGAATGGTTTGCATGCTTCTACTTTTCCAGTTTATTCTGCCTTCAAATCTAACATGTCTGGTAAAACAAAAGGCATTAATGTTATTATTGATTCTAAGGTTAAGAAAGAAGTTGAAGGTAACCGGGCTAAATTAAGTTCAATTACCGATACGGTCTTAACATGTGGTCGTTTGGGCTTAGCCTTTAGAGGTCATCGTGATGATGGGCACTATCATCCTGAAACTGGTAATTTTTCTGCAGGTGGTGTTGGGAATTTTGTTGAACTTCTTAATTTTAGAGTGTGTGCTGGGGACAAGGTGTTAGAGGACCATCTGAATTCATGTGGTAGGAATCAGACGTATATTTCTAAAACTTCCCAGAACAAGCTTATTAAATGCTGTGGTGAAGTAATAACAGATAAAATCATTTCTGACTTAAAAGCAAGCAGGTTCTACTCTGTAATTGCTGATGAGACTCGAGACATCTCAAATACTGAACAGATGTCTCTTGTTTTGCGTTTTATCGACCAAAATATGGATATTAGGGAGGAGTTTGTTGGATTTCTTCCTTGTAAATGGGGCTTAAAAGGTGAGCAGCTTGCTAAGGTTGTTCTTGATGCTTTAGGCAACCTTGGTCTTTCTATTGCTGATTGTAGAGGACAGGGATATGATGGGGCAGGTGCTGTTGCTGGTCATATTAATGGGATGGCTGCTCATTTGCGTCGTTTGAATGATAAGGCTCTTTTTACCCATTGCTACAGCCACAGATTAAATTTAGCGATTTGTGAGTCTATTAATATAATGGATGTAAAATCGATGCTCAATAGAGTTAAAAAAGTTTCTGATTTTTTTAATATTTCCCCTACACGACAAATACCTTTAGAAAAGAATATTGACCTTCATAGTTCTTTATCAGCCGGTAGGAAAAATAAATTAATAGATGTGTGTCGAACTAGGTGGGTTGAGAGAATCGACGGCTTAGATACTTTCCAGCAGCTTCTTATTCCTGTTTTTAAAACGTTGAGAGAAATGAAGAAAAATGTAGATAAAGATCACAGTCTCAATGTTTCTTCGGATGCCTCTGAACTTCTTGATCTTTTGGAAAAGTTTGATTTTGTTGTTGCCCTGGTTATTTGTAGAAATGTGTTTGATTCTACAATTGGTGTTACTCAGCTTCTTCAAGGGAAGAGTATTGACATTATGGATGGTTTACATCTTATTACATCGTTGAAAACTTTTGTTGTTAATGTTAGGAATTCCATTGATAAGTATCACGATACATGGTATGAAGAGTCTCGCACTGGCTCGAGAATTAGATATTGATGAAGCAAAGCCAAGGACAGTGGGAAGACAGACAACACGAGCTAATGTCCCTATAAAACTACATCTGAGTACTATAAAAGAATTTTTCTATTCCACTTGTTGACCACCTAAACTCTGCGTTGAAAGCTCGTTTCAATACTGATAGCGTTAATGTGTACAATGGGCTTAGCATTGTACCATATAAAATGATTTCTCTTCTTAACAATGGCATGAATTGGAAAGAAAAATTGAAAGTTGTTTCCAATTTTTATCACGATGACCTACCCATTCCATTGGCCTTATACTCAGAGATTTTGCTTTGGGAAACTTATTGGGTTGATTACGAAGGAACCATTCCAGACTCAATTTCAGCAACTTTAAAAGCTTTAAAATTTGAAGGCTTTGAAAACATCAAAATTATTCTTCGTATTCTTGGAACCCTTACTATCACATCTTGCGAATGCGAACGCTCTTTCTCAGTTTTGCGCGAACTGAAAAATTATAAGCGAAGTACGATGGTTTCAGAGCGTCTAAACGGTTTGGCCATGATGAGAGTTCATCAAGAAATTGTGCCCGAAACGTCAGAAGTTATCGACAGATTTGCTATGAATAACACAAGATTAAAGTTCGTCTAGTCATTATTAACAACAATCAAACATCAAACATGAAAACAAGAAACTTAAAATAATAGCATCATTAAGGCAAAGTTTCGCAACCATTTAACTAAATGGCAGTCAAGTTGACTGTCCATGTCTGGCTGCTTTTTAGAAGCATGCCTAGGCATGCTGATGAGCTCTGATATTGAGCGAAACAGTCAGAATTATTGATTGTATTAAGTGCTTCTTTAATCCGAAATCCTTGTTTTGCCACTGCTTCTTTTAAGCGCCGCCCCCTGTTACCGCGCTGCTCTTACGATCAAAAAAAGTTACAGCGCTACGGCGCTAAAACGAGCACTCATAGTAATGCTACTTTGAGGGAGGTAAACGATTGGCCTGTATCCGCCACTGATTAACAATCAATACTTTGTAGAAAGTAGACACAAAGTAAACAAAACATCCAATCATTTCTACGTTTCAAATTTCAACGACTACGCCTAAGTCATCTTCAGTGATAAAAGTTAACATTTCTTTGCAGAATGTTTGTTTTTATGGAAGTATCTATAACTGTTATACGTCATGCTTCTATTCTCAGTGAATGCAGAGGCAGCATCAAGAATTTCCCGACATAGGAGCTACCTAAGGTCTGCCACAGGGGGACTGACTTACTTGGCTCATTTGACCACGCAAAAATTTGTTGCTTTAAAACTATCAATCTCTGCTTAAAGGATATCAGTAAAACATAGTTGGTTTGGGAAATAATAATTTACATCTATAAAATTTATCAACATGGTATACATGAAGTAATAGATTATCTGTTAGCACGTTAGACGTACGAGGTGGGGAGTAAGGGTTTGCAACTGTCCCTTAAATTTTAAAAACTTTGCAAAACTTGGAGAAAATAGTCGAGAAAAATTGTGCATAAAGTCATGTATTTCTTAATAAAACTAAATATGACTTATAGATGTGTAAATCTACAAAAGGTTTCTGTGAAGTACGGTGTTGGTTGTCCTTTATTTTCCCTTACAAATTGGTAAACATTAGTTTACACGACCAATTGATAATACAAAATCTGCATGGGATTAAAAATTACTACAATGGCTTTTAGATCGGTTTGAAATTCGGGCAAGTAAACCATTACCCTCTCAAAACCTAAATCTCCCGTACGCCTATGGTTGTTAGGGCCGTAATTATTATTACCATTTTTAGAACAGGAATGTTACTTGTTAAATTGTTGAGTGGCATAAAAAGCTATATATTCCTTGATTATGTAAACTAAAAATTATAATGGAATAAAATATTTTAAAACTGATCATTTTTTTTTAAATTGAAACTTTTGAATTCATTGTTTTCCAAATTCGGCGAAATGCATAACAGCAAAATTTCTGATAAATTAGGAAAAATCTTCAGGTAAATATTTGCTTCAGCCCCCTCCCCCCCCAAAAAAAGTTGAAGGTTTTGCGACGTTTCTGTTTACAAATACTGCATGAAAACCTAGTTCTAAAAAACAAACCTGTAATAACCATTATTGCAGTTATGTTTTGTAGCTTTAATTGTGTTTACCTCGAGCTTTAAACTCAGGAACAATAAATATAGATATAACAAGACGGTAAAAAGCAAATATTTTGTTCCGCTCTACATGCGTTACCGAAACTGGATTATATATTCTGGAACCATAAACGTATAAATATGTTTCATATTTATTTTACTCTTAAAAGAAATCGCTTAAAACACTGCAAAGTCTAAATTAACTTATTGAGAGCAAATTTGGAACAATCTATGTCATATACAAGACTACAAACACTCAAAATTGATCCGTAACCCAAATCCTAACCCTTAATTAAATGGTGGGTGATTGGATTAGGGATCAATTCCGCGTAATATTAAAATCGGAAATATTACTGCAATTACAATGTCAGCAATTATTTCCCGTTTGTCTGCCTCTGGGAGGGGAGTTAAAGTTAGGATTGGGGTAAGGGTAAGTATAGTACTTGCATAGATTCGGTGCCAAATGTTTTTATGCAGATGTGAGAGTCAGTTTCCATGCCCGTCTAACATACCCATTATTGCAGATATATGTAATAAATAGCAATAGGATAGCTTATTAAAGACCGAGTATCCTTGGCAACGTGCTATTTCATTTGATCATTTGTATTCTAGCACCTGTCAGCTCTGAAAATGCGTAATTATTTGGCGTAACTTGATAATCCAGCTAAAAATTTAAAGTGATTTGTTGAAAATATTTTGAAATAAATTTTTTAAAACAATTAGGTTGCTTGGGTGCTAAAAGATTTTGTGTTAAATGTTTCAGGAACTTTTCTTCTTATAGAACTCTTAAGGACTTTAAGTTTTATTACTTTTTATATAATAACAATAATATGACGTCATACCCGTGTATCTACAACTATAAAGACAACGTTTAGATGTAATCTATTTTTTAATCACCCAACAGATACACAAAACTGTTAAAGTACGCGTTTATTTTACTTTACTACGATATCAAAGGTATTCATTGGATGGCTAAAATGTTTCTCGAAATTAAATTGTCATGTAAACACCAAACCACCAGTTGGTTGTCGAAAGCCTGCTTGCAGTGCAACGAAATTTCTTGTTAACATGACTATAGTAGCCAAAGTTATCTTCAGAACCAAAAGAACCAGTGCGAGCGTCAAATTTACAACCTGAAGACGGACTATCGATATGTGCCATGTATGTATTTAATACTTGATACCATTTCGACGTACATTTTGCACATTGATGACCACGGATGTTTACAAGCTCTACTTTCTTGCAAATGCCATAGCCAGCAAAAGTCATGACGTCAAAATCAGAAAACTTTGCTCTCACATAATCTCTATAATCGACTTTGTTCTTTGGATAACTGCATGTTGCTCTCCAGTGGGTCGACTGTGATTTCAGATAATTCATTTGATAGTGGCTCATACGATAAATCTCCCAGTTAGGTGAATTCTCATTTACCGGAGCGTCTTGTTGTAAGCCTTTCTTTTTAAACTGTTCGACTTGTCTATTTTTAAATGCAAACGACATGACCAAAGTCCAGGCTGATCCAGGCTCCGAGGTCAAGTCACAATAGACTGTAATGATCCTGTTTGCGTTGAAATCGCGGATTTTGTAGAAACCATCAGATTTGTAGCCTTTTTTAAGGTAATCCAGACAACTTTGTGCAATGACTCGCGTTGATGAGTGTAACTCCATAGTCTTTGCATCAATGACTATCGTTTGAAGAAGAATAAGACAAAAAACGAAAGAAAACATTTTTATTGATTGATTTAAGTATTTAATTTTTCTCTTCTACTGTTGTTAGTGTTCATTAAAATGATGTAGCATGTTTAGAAGTATCGAGTTTATAAATGGATTGAATTGAGTAAGATGCTGAGACAATTAAGCTGATTTAGTGTCTTACGCAAACACATTCTTTTTAAACACAAAAGACAAAGGCATACTTAAGTCTTGCAACTTCTTACATGTAAGTTCTAATCATTTATGTATTTAGATTTTTGCTTTTAACTTTTTTGATGAAAAACTGGAGTGACAAAGTAGTTTGTGTCACACTTGGCTTTTAACAGATAAAGATGCTGCACATTTATATTATTGTGGTCGTATTACAGTGAAATAGCATATAGAGAGCCTGCTCTTTGTTATAGATTGTTTATTCATTATTTTCTTGTTTTTTTCCACAAGAAGTGAACAACGAAATATTTGCATGGCAAGAATATACATGCAGACACAGCACGCTATTGTTGAGAACTCATACAGAGGTGCTAAATTAGATAATATTTCATTTCAATTCATTTCGAGTGTATACAAATCAGTTATACTTGTGGATTCATTGAGATAACCATGATAATTATATATATTTTAATTAACGTAGAGTTTTAAATTTGTGAATTTTATTTTAGATTGGTGGCAAAGGTTTTCTAATAATACAAGTATTATGACATAGAGAATACACTTACCCCAAATTGCAAATCGTAAGTTGCGTTGAAGTCTTCATGTGAATGAAAAAAATGTCGAAAAAAATGTCAATTTTTGGCAATATTGGCACTTGCATGAGTTCCAGAAATTACATTATACACAATCATAGAGATTTCAAAAGCTAAAGGGTTATATTTTCTCAATACTTATTCTTATAATTTCACTTTTTCAAATTTTCGAAAGTGGCGTGTATGACGAAATCTATACATCCTGCTTACACTCAGCTGAAGGGCGATATCATATGTACAGAAAAGAACAATGTTTTCTCTGTTGTGTTCAAAAATCGTGCGTGAAGATATCCTTATTTCATTTTAATTATGTATTTTCATGAGCATGCAACAGATCACGGACAAATGCGTTCCTTTGATATAGTTTCACACATAAGATCTGTAGCAAGCAAAGAATTGATGGAAACATCTATTTTGGTATTTATCTTAAAAATCTTATTCGCCACAGTTGTTGCTATACATTACACTACAGTCTCGACATCATGTTAAATCAGATCTCTCTCTCTCTCTCTCTCGAACCTTTTTTAAAATTGTAAATAATTTAACGATTTAAAAAGAATAACAAGTGAATACAATGAATATTATTTGTTTGACTAAATTTTTTGCGCTTGTATGTTAGAGGAGTTAAACAGGAAATATTACCACACTATACCGATGAGAATTAATTGCACTATTGCTAAATAGTTTCAACCTACATAGGTTGTACGTATATGACTGAGAACGTGCCACTATAACAACAAATGATTTTTTCAAATTTTAATGAATATTGCCAAGTCAACATAAAAGAACATAGGCAATGTAGCTGCATTCACTACAAAGGGATTGTGGATAATTAAAAAAGCAGTAATATTCTTTAAAGACAACTTTATCTCAACCAAAGAAAATAAGGCCTGTTTCAAACGTCGAATTTTGCATGTGTCAAATTCAATTAGCAATTAAATTCGACCGAAATGTAAAACTTGACTGTGCATTTCAAACGTCGAATTTTGCATGTGTCAAACTCAATTAGCAATTAAATTCGACCGAAATTAAAAATTTGACTGGGCATTTCATACGTCGAATTTTGCATGAGTTGAATGCAATTATTACACGATGTCTTCGCTTTATCTCGTTCCAGACTTTGTTGTGAGCAAACGTGAGAGCCAAATTCTATTCGACACATGCAAAATTCAGCGTGTGAAACGACGTCGTACTTTCGACGCATAATGGGACCAAACCGGTTGAATTTAAACTTAAGGTCGACCTCAATTAAAGCAGTCGAATTTAATTGTTTCATACGTTGAATTTCGCATGCACTTAATTCAAACTATTGTAGTCGACACATGCAAAATACGACATTTGAAACAGGTCTAAATGCCTGTATTTTTGTGCAATAGATTTAAATGCTTAGTTATAAATACAGGTAATTGATTTGACTGATTGAAAAATTTTGTAAAGAGCTGTTATAGTCTGATGATAAATTTTCAAATTTACTGATGTTTATCAACAGTTGTGGTTTTTTACACTTTAATTTTACCTTCAATTGCTTCTACATTTGCATTTGCAAAAACAAAACTTCTTTGTATACTCTGCTGAAGGAAGATATCGACACGTGAACGCAACGGTAATCATTGTTGTTGACTTTACAATGATTCTCCTTGACACGTTATAATGTTGTTATGATTATGAAAATACACAACGGACAAAGGCACAGGTAATGTCTGAGGGGTTTAGATCGCGTAGACATAATTGACATAATTTCATATGTCTAAACATCTCATTCTCGTCAAATGATATGGCAAATATCTAATTGAAGCCTAATAATATTTATAACTATTGAGCCTCTTTATATCAATCACTTCAACTACTTCATAGCTACTCGCGTTTCAACGGGTGTCTTGGTTTTTAGAGTTAAACAATGTTTCTTTTGGAACCGTATTATGTCTTTTAAAATTCTATAAAATCATGAAACCTCAATTAAATAACGTAACATGGGCCACGAACACCTTATCTGTATTACTAATCTTTGCAGTATTTATGCATGGCAGTCAATGTGACTAGAGAGTAATACAGTACGTTGGATGATTCAAGTCATAGAACCATTTAGTAACATCATTTAAATCATATTTTATGTCAAAGCTAAAACATTCTTAAGTACATCATCATACATATGTAACATATGTGTAGGACTCCACTGGCTCCAAACTCATCTGATGTCAGCAATTTCTCCCATTATTAATTGGAGTTGTTCATAATTTATTATGCAGATTGTTCAATCATCATCCCTTATTCACTTGCACTGAGAATCAAAAATTGAAATTTTTAGCAGTGTATAGGAGACAAATTTCTTACCTAAACGCTGGGCATCGTCTTTGGCATTTTTTTGAAAGATATAGAAGCAAGGGAAATGACTTTTTTATTGTTCAGACGATTTGTTACTCAGACTAGCGAGCTCCTCCACAAAGCAAATATCAAAATCATCACGTCGACTTATATTAACGAACCCAGCCCTCTCAATTACGGCGAAAACAACGAACTCCTCATGTAATAAATAATGACAGTCATCTGAAATAGCTGGTGCAATACTGCCAATGGTACAAAAGCAATCTTATTTATTTGCGCAGCTATGATACTACGTAACCTGCAAGCTTGTTGGTGCTCACAAAGTTTTCCATTCATTGCAGTCAAGACCCTAATGCATGACGACATTTGCTACATAAAAATTTTGAAGCAATCGAATGCTATACTGAGTCTTCCCGTAATCATCAACTTGAACGAAATAATTTTTTGTTCCCATCGTTCCAATTGTTTATACTGAAAAGAAAAATCGCAACACTTTCTTTGGAGATGTGAAATTGTTCAAATCCAAGTTTTTTCACAACGCACCAAAGGTTTGCTAAAAAACAGGCTTCTTTTGGGTCCATTGCATTCACTTTTTGCTTTTATACAAAATATAAAATTAGAGTTAAAATACACTGTTGGACAGTATTATTGATTATACTCAACTTAATTATAGCTACCTCAATCTTTATCTATCCTTTATGAGTGTTAATGTGAATAAAATATTTAAAAAAACTGACGAGAATAAGACGTTCAAAGATGTGAAATCCTGTCAATTGTCAAATAGATTTTTTGCCATCTAAACACCTAACAACATATTACATGTGTCTTTGTCTGCTGAGTCCTTTCATAACTATCATTTTATCATATCTTATTTAAGTTACATTATTAAATTAACAGCAGGGGCTACTTTGCATTGACGTGTTGATATTTTCCTTCAGCTCAGTGTACAAAGAAGTTTTGTTTTTTAAAATGGAAATGAAAAGAAAAGAAATGAAATATGAATGTGTGAGACACCTCATCTTTTATTTCGTTCATGACACAACTTATGTTCTCACAGATTTTCAGTTAATTTGTCGTCATTAATTTTGAATCTCTGGAATAATATTATAATAATACATTATGTCTTGCTTACTTTAATTTAGCTAAAGTTGTCCTAACATTTATAAGGATAATTTCTAATTAGCAGCAATTTTAAAAAAAACTTGAGAAAAACGACGATTTTTTTGAGAGCAAACATGTTTCGACATTATCAGAATGCCATCTTCAGTGCAGAATGATTAGTGTTAAGTAATATGATACATAATATGATATGAGTAAATTAATTACAATGAGTATTAAGTATTAATAACTATAACGTAAGTTCTAAAAATAAGTAGTAAGAATTTATAACAAAAGTATTATTATAAAGTAAATATAGTGTTGTAGTGGTGAACTTGGATATTTAAATCGGGATTAGTTTTATTAATGTGTAGAGCTTCCTTGATTTTGAGTGAGAAAGTGGATTGATCAGTGTCGATGATTTTAAAACAGGAAGGTGAGAATTTGTTTTTACATGAAGGAGAGGCTTGAAGATGTTTGTAGATAGTGGAGTTTTTGTCTGTGTGAGTATGTTCCTTTATCCTGGTAGATAATTGGCGAGAAGTTTCACCAATATAACGGGAATTACATCCCGCACATGAAAATTGATAAACTACCATAGATTTGGAAAGTTCGGGAAGTGGGTCTTTAAACGAAAATAAGGATTTTATTTTGAAAGATGTGAAAATAAGTTTAACGTCCATGTCAGTGCAGTAGCGTTTAATGATTTGTGTGAGTTTGCGTTGTGTGTGTCGTGAGTAATCACCTATGTAAGGTAGTTTGAAATAACGTTTATTGTCAGGTTGTTGTATATCGTTAGTGTTAGTTGTGGAGTTAGATGAGTCAGTACTTTTCTTGTTGTCCAAATAGTGTTGTATAGTGTTGTTGATGAAATGAAAAGGAAAAGAATTACGTTGGAGAGTGAATATTAGTTTCTTTAAATCTGCATAAACTTTACATACGAAACCGAACAAGACAATCAGTTACCCTTTCTTGACATCTTACTAACTAAATCACATGAAAACTGTATGACCTCTACGTACCACAAACCAACATATACAGGACTACTGACTAACTTTTTTAGTTTCACACCATTAAATTACAAAATTGGACTGATACGAACACTGACCGACAGAGCACGGAAACTCAACAACACAGACATCGGCTTTCAACGTGATTTAAAGAAACTAATATTCACTCTCCAACGTAATTCTTTTCCTTTTCATTTCATCAACAACACTATACAACACTATTTGGACAACAAGAAAAGTACTGACTCATCTAACTCCACAACTAACACTAACGATATTCAACAACCTGACAATAAACGTTATTTCAAACTACCTTACATAGGTGATTACTCACGACACACACAACGCAAACTCACACAAATCATTAAACGCTACTGCACTGACATTGACGTTAAACTTATTTTCACATCTTTCAAAATAAAATCCTTATTTTCGTTTAAAGACCCACTTCCCGAACTTTCCAAATCTATGGTAGTTTATCAATTTTCATGTGCGGGATGTAATTCCCGTTATATTGGTGAAACCTCTCGCCAATTATCTACCAGGATAAAGGAACATACTCACACAGACAAAAACTCCACTATCTACAAACATCTTCAAGCCTCTCCTTCATGTAAAAACAAATTCTCACCTTCCTGTTTTAAAATCATCGACACTGATCAATCCACTTTCTCACTCAAAATCAAGGAAGCTCTACACATTAATAAAACTAATCCCGATTTAAATATCCAAGTTCACCACTACAACACTATATTTACTTTATAATAATACTTTTGTTACAAATTCTTAATACTTATTTTTAGAACTTACGTTATAGTTATTAATACTTAATACTCATTGTAATTAATTTACTCATATCATATTATGTATCATATTACTTAACACTAATCATTCTGCACTGAAGATGGCATTCTGATAATGTCGAAACATGTTTGCTCTCAAAAAAATCGTCGTTTTTCTCAAGTGATTTATAAGGATATTTTATGCTGTAGTTTTATCTGTTTACAATCAAAAGTTGAGCTTATGCAATACCATCTTTAATTTGTGTTGATTATGTAGTTATACTATATATAAGGTCCTATCACACTGTGGCATATAGCACTAGCGTACATGACAGTTTGTGATAGACATCATGTATACGCTAGGAGTTTGGTTATGCATACGTCAATACAAAAACAATAGAGTGATTTAGCAAACACGACGTTTCGTCTAAGACGTCGTCAAATTTTCGCAAGGGATCTGGGTCTAGAACGCCACCACGTCGTAAAGTATTTACGATTTAGCAAACCTTTTGTAGGACTTCGTCAAATGATAGTATGAAACAAGTTTCATCCATTTCGGCATTTTTCCTGCTGAATCGTGTTTTCCGATAATTTTAAACTAATTTTTTGATATCAAAAATATACTGCAGTATATTCATTTCAATAAAATTTTAAATAAAAGCAAAATCATCGACATACGGCTTTGTGACTAAAATTGTTTTGACTCCAAGGATACCCCCGAAATTAGAGCAGATCCCGAGTTGCTTATTTGTTTGCTTGTTTTTCGTTTTAGAAAACAAATTATTCGCAGTTTTTTCTATGAATGAATATATGTAGGCCTATAGTTAAGAAGGGAGTGGAATAAATAAAAATACTGGCATGCATAAACAAGCGAATGACAGCGAATCTCTTGTCTTTTCCATATTTTATCAGTAAAAATAATGCGAGAAAGAAATTTTCAGTTTCAAGAATACAACATTGTGCTTTGATCAATTTCATGCTCACTACAAACTGTCAATGCAATTTTAAGCAAACAATATCTATGTTGTGCAAATCTTCATGTAATTAAGAGAAAATATTCATACTATCCAACATCAGACCTGTTTATCTTGAAGCTAGAGTGAGCAAAGTTAGAGTTTTTTTTTGTTTTAAGGAACAAACTAATCTTTTTCGCAATTTCATTCAGTAGACTGATGCATCAAAGTCAATAATGTTAATACAGCTCACAGCAGGGGACATATTGTGTTCTGGTGTCGATATTATTTTCTTTAGCCAAGTGTATGATAAATCAGGAAAGGTAAGTTATCCTCTCATTCAAAATTTACGGATCATATTCGACCAATAGTAATCTCTGTATTATGAGACATTGCATATACGGTGGGAAAGTCAACACAATGGAAAACACTCAAACAGGCCAATGGAAAACAACATTTACTTATGTCGCTTACGAATTGCAATATGAAGTATGCTTATTTATTTTATGTAATTTGCATTTACTGCAACATGTTATCTTCATCATACAAAATCATGTTTTGCTAAAAAGTTAAAGTTCAAGTCTTTGTAGCTTATTAATAGTTACTACAGTTCTACACTGCGTTTAAAAGCTAATCCAGGCAAAGTAATTAATTAGTATGACTAGTTAATTTTTCTCTTGCCCTTCAGTAGAATGAGTTAAAAGTTGACGCAGTCGAAAATGCGTTGTAAATGTAAATAAGTTGTATCACTTGCCCTTTATACAAATTGCAAGGCTTTGCCAAGAATCCAATTGTCATACACCGTGAAACACGGTAAAAATAATTTCTAAGTTAACCAAGATGGATATATTTATGCACGCATGCCAGAAGATTACAGCTGAAATATAATCAAGTAATTCTTGCAGTTCAAAAAATTATTTTGAAAAACTTCTTTATGTACCTATATGGCAGAAAAATTAACTGTTGCAGGTCTTAAGACTTGTCTGTATGAGAAAACCTGTCCCGGGATGAGATGAATTTCCGCTATCATAATGTCGTGGAAATTTCTCAAGCTTGAGAATGTTTACAATAAAAACAGGGACATTTAACAAAGCAGTAAATTGAATTCAAGGGCTGAAATAAACAATTTCTTAACTAGACACATACCTTGTGTGTTGAGATAGTAATGTCTCCACAGCGGACGTAATTTGTGCAATCCACCAACATCCCAAATCGTAAACTTTAAATTCTGGTGTTCGATTGTTTCAACGTTAAATCCTGCGGGAAAATTATTTAGTGAGAAGTGGAGCGATGATATAGTTTGGAACAATGTATTGATACAGTGTCCTAGGTATTTTGTCGCAATGCAAATTTTCAAATAGTTATGATATGACTTTCTAACACCTACAAGTGTTATATAGCTAAACACTTGTAGGTATATATATATATATGTAGTTGATGAGACTATGAGTTATGACATGTATGACATGACTGATCTCGAATATTAGCAGGATTACTCCCAAAAAGGTTGAATGTTTTTAAAGAGGCATTGTCTTTATTTGCTTTTTGCTTATTTCTTGGATGTTTTACAACATAAACACTTCTCCAGTGCGTCAATACAGTAACACAAGAAAGTCCCTATATACATTATTGATGTTACTACAGCTATTACTAAATAATTTAATGTCTAGAGGTCAAGAATTATTGAATGAACAAAACATGTTTGGTGGGATATGTGTATATAGTGCTGTGTTGTCCGAAAGAGTTTTAAATAAAACGCATGCTAATAAATGTGAAATAAAAAATAATTTTTGGCATTCATATTAAATATATATGTCGTAATCAAGGCACTTTGTTTGGTGATATTTTGTGTTCTTTCAAAATGCCTATTAGTCTCGTTATGTTTGAAAATAAATGTTGTAAAATTTTTATACGTCTTTTCAATAACTGTCTTTCATCCAACTTCTATGCGGTGTTCTCTTCAGTTCATCTCCGTAAACGCCTGACCAGCATTAGCAAATTTTCCATGTCCAGTATATTATTTTCCCTTACCTCAATTGGTGCTATTTTCCTGTCATTGTTGATGGTGCTGTCAAAATTGATTATGATCCACAAGATTTCTGTACATGACTGAGAGCAACATACAAGCGTTATAACAATAAGTCACCTGAGTTGCCCGTCATTAGGCTATTCATTACTTAGTCCAGATTCTACGTATAGTAACGTCATTGCGCAAATACCATTCAATAATGTCGGCAAGATATACCTTCAAGTTTTGACATTTTTAGTAATTTCTATAAGGTCTACTGTCCAACCCTACATTTATTAGTTGTATGTATGGAATAAATACAGAAATATTCACAATTTCATTGCCACTGCAGTGTCAGTTATTTTACTAACATAAATACAAATTGATATCTATACAAAGAATATAGACAGAGATAAACAGTTTGCAGGAATGTTAGCTTCAATATCATCGGTTGAGTAAGAAGTTCTTTATTCATTTCGTACTTTTAATGTATACAAGCCATACAAGGTCTTGTATGGCTTATAGATGTATAAATCTACAAAAAGTTTTTGTGAAGTACGGAGTTGGTAGTCCTTTAATTTCACTTACAAATCGGTGAATATTAGTTTACACGACCAATTGATAATACAAAATCTGCATGGGATTAAAAATTAATACAATGACTTTTACATCGGTTTGAAAGTTGGGTATAAGTAAATCACTACCTTCTCAAAACTGATTACGGTTGTTAATGATTACGGTTGTTAAGGCCGTCATCATTATTACCATTTTTAGGACAGAAATTTCACTTGTTAAATTGTTGAGTGGCATAAAAGGCTGCATATTCCTTGATTATGTAAACTAAAAATTATGATGGAATATAATATTTAAAAACTGATAATTTATTTTTTAAAATTGAAAATTTTGAAGTCATTGTTTCCCAAACTAGGCGAAATGCATAACAGCAAAACTTCAGGCAAATTCTTAAAAATCTTCAGGTAAATATTTGCTTCACCCCCCAAAAAAATTGAAGGATTTGCCAAACCAATGTTTACAAATTCTGCATGAAAACCTAGTTGCATAAAACAAACCTGTAATGCCCATTATTGCAATCATGTTTTGCAGCTTTAATTGTGTTTACCTCCAGCTTTAAACTCAGCAACAATCAAAATAGATAGAATAAGACGGTAAAAAGCAAATATTTCGTTCCGCTCTACATGCGTTATCGAAACTGGATTATATATTCTGGAACCATAAACGTATAAATACAATTCATATTTAATTTTACTCTCAAAAGAACTCACTTAAAACACTGCAAAGTCTAAATTAACATATTGAGAGCAAATTTAGAGCAATCTATGTCATATACAACACTACAAACACGCAAAATTGACGCGTAAACCAAATCCTAACCCTTACTTAATTGGTGATTGATTAGAGTAGGGGTCGATTCCGCGTAATATTAAAATCGGAAATATTACTGCAATTACAATGTCAGTAATTATTTCCCCTTTGTCTCCCTCTGGGAGGGGGGTTAAAATTACGATTAGGGTAAGGGTATGTATAGTACTTAGATAAATTTGGTGCCAAAGGTTTTATTGCATATGTGAGAACCAGCTCCATGCCCGTCTAACACACCCATTATTGCAGATATATGTAATAAATAGCAAGAGGATAGCTTATTAAAGACCGAGTATACATGGGAACGTGTTTTTTGATTTGATCATTTGTATTCTAGCACCTGTCATCTCTGAAATGCGTTATTATTTGGCCTAACTTGATAATCCAGCTAAAAATTTCAAGTGACTTGTTGAAAATATTTTGAAATATTTTATAAAACAATTAGGCTGCTTGGGTGCTAAAAGATTTCGTGTTAAATGTTTCAGGAACTTTTCTTCTTGTAGAACTCATAGCCACTTAAAGTTTTATTACTTTTTATATAATAACCATAATGACGTGATACCCGTGTATCTACAACTATAAAGACAACAGATTTAGATGTAATCTATTTGTTAATCACCCAACAGATACACAAAACTGTTAAATACGCGTTTATTTTACTCTTCTACGATATCAAAGGTATTCATTAGATAGCTAAAATGTTTCTCGCAATTAAATTGTCATGTAACCACCAAACCACCAGTTGGTTGTCGAAAGCCTGCTTGCAGTGCAACGAAATTTCTTGTTAACATGACTATAGTAGCCAAAGTTATCTTCATAAATTATAGAACCAGTGCGAGCGTCAAGTTGACAAGCTGAAAACCAACTATCGATGTGTGCCATGTATTTATTCAATACTTGCCACCATTTTGACGTACATTGAGCACATTGATGACCACGGATGTTTACAAACTCTACTTTCTTACAAATACCATAGCCAGCAAAAGTCATGACGTCAAAATCAGAAAACTTTGCTCTCACATAATCTCTATAATCGACTTTGTTCTTCGGATAACTGCATGTTGCTCTCCAGTGGGTCGACTGTGATTTCAGATAACTCATTTGATAGTGGCTCATACGATAAATCTCCCAGTTAGGCGAATTCTCATTTACCGGAGCGTCTTCTTGTAAGCCTTTCTTTTTAAACTGTTCTACTTGTCTATTTTTAAATGCAAACGACATGACCAACGTCCAGGCTGATCCAGATTCCGAGGTCAAGTCACAATAGACTGTAATGATCCTGTTCGCTTTAAAATCGCGGACTTTGTAGAAACCATCAGATTTGTAGCCTTTTTTAAGGTAATCCAGACAACTTTGTGCAATGACTCGCGTTGATGAGTGCAACTCCATAGTCTTTGCATCAACGACTATCGTTTGAAGAAGAATAAGACAAAAAAGGAAAGAAAACATTTTTATTGATTGACTGAAGTATTTAATTTTTTCTCTTCTACTGTTGTTAGCGTTCATTAAAACGATGTAGCATGTCTTGAAGTATCGAGTTTTTAAATGGTTTGAATTCAGTAAGATGCTGAAACAATTAAGCTGATCTAGTGTCTTACGCAAACACATTCTTTTTAAACACAAAAGACAAAGGTACACTTAAGTCTTGCAACTTCTTGCATGTAAGTTCTAATCATTTATGTATTTACATTTTTGCTTTGACTTTTTTGATGAAAAACTGGAGTGACAAAATAGTTTGTGTCACACTTTGCTTTTAACAGATAAAGATACTGCACATTTATATTAATGTGGTCGTATTACAGTCATATAGCGTATAGAGAGCCTGCTACTTTGTTATAGATTGTTTATTCATTATTTTCTTGTTTGTTTCTACAAGAAGTGAACAACGAAATATTTGCAAGGCAAGAATATACATGCAGACACAGCACGCTATTGTTGAGAACTCATACAGAGGTGCTAAATTAAGTAATATTTCATTTCAATTCATTTCGAGTCTACATATCAGTCATACTTGTGGATTCATTAAGATAACCATTATAATTATATCCATTTTAATTAAAGTAGAGTCTTAAAACTGTGAAAATTATTTGGATTGGTGGCAAAGGTTTTCTAATAATATAAGTATTATGACATAAAGAATACACTTACCCCAAGTTGCAAATCGTAAGTTGTGTCGAAGCCTTTATGTGAATGAAAAAAATGTCGAAGGACATAATTTTTGGCTGTATTGGCACTGGCATGAGTTTCGGAAATCATTATACACAATCATACAGAGTTAAACAGCTAAAAGGTTGTATTTTCTCAATACTTATTCTTATAATTTCACTTTCTCCAATTTTCGAAAGTGGCGTGTATGACGAAATCTATACATCCTCCCTACACTCAGGTGAAGGGCGATATCATATCTACAGAAAAGAACAATGTATTCCCTGTTTTGTTCAAAAATCTTGCATTAAGATATCCTTACTTCATTTTAATTATGTAATTTCATGAACATGTAACAGATCACGGACAAATACGTTCCTTTGATATAGTTTCACACATAAGATCTGTAGCAAGCAAAGAATTGATGGAAACATATATTTTGGTCTTTATCTTAAAAATCTTATTCTCCAGTTGTTGCTATACAATATACTACAGTCTCCACATCATGTTAAATCAGATCTCTCTCTCTCTCTTTCGAACCTTTTTTAAAATTTAAAATAATTTAACGATTCAAAAAGAACAACAAGTGAATACAATAAATATTATTCGTTTGACTAAATTTTTTGCGCATGTATGATAGAGGAATTAAACAGCAAATATTACCACACTACACAGATGAGAATTAATTGCGCTATTGCTAAATAATTTTAACCTACATAGGTTGTACGCATATGACTGAGAACGTGCCACTATAACAACAAATGATTTTTTCAAATTTTAGTGAATATTGCCAAGTCAACACAAAACAACATAGGCAATGTAGCTGCATTCGATACAAAGGGATTGTGGCTAATTAAAATAGAAGTAATATTCTTTAAAGACTACTTCATTTCAATCAAATAAAATAAGGCCTGTTGCAAACGTCGAATTTTGCATGTGTTGAATACAATTAGCAATTTAATTCAAACGAAATGCAAAATTTGACTGTGCATTTCCAACATCGAATTTGGCATGCGTCGAATGCAATTATTACACGACGTCTTCGCTTTATCTCGTTTCAGACTTTGTTGTGAGTAAACACGGGAGCCAAATTGTATTTGACACATGCAAAATTCAGCGTGTGAAACGATGTCGCACTTTCGTCGCATAATGCAATAAAACCGGTCGAATTTAAACTTAAGGTCCACCTCAATCAAAGCAGTCGAAGTTAATTGTTTCATACGTTGAATTTCGCATGCACTTAATTCAAACTATTTTATTCGACAAATGCAAAATACGACGTTTGAAACATGTCTAAATGCCTGTATTTTTATGCAATAGATTTAAATGTTTAGTTATAAATACAGGTAGTTGATTTGACTGAAAATCTCTGATTGTGCAAGTTAGGTTGTGAACATAATGTTCTGTTAACTTTTGTGACTGGCTAAGATGGACATGGAGCCTAAAAATTTTGTAAAGACCTGTGATAGTCTGCTGATTAATTTTTAAATTTACTGATGTTTATTAACAGTTGTGGTTTTTTACACTTTAATTTTACCTTCATTTGCATCCCATTTGCATTTGCAAAACAAAACTTCTTTGTACACTCTGCTGAAGGAAGATATCGACACGTGAACGCAACGGTAATCATTGTTGTTGACTTTACAATGATTCTCCTTGACACGTTATAATGTTGTTATGATTATGAAAATACACAACAGACAAAGGTTCAGGTAATGTTTAAGGGTTTTAGATCGCGTAGACATAATTGACATAATTTCATATGTCTGAACATCTCATTCTCGTCAAATATTATTCAGATCTGGTCTGTGATATGGCAAATATCTAATTGAAGCCTAATAATATTTATAACTATTGAGCTTCTATAAATCAATCACTTTAACTACTTCATAGCTACACGCGTTTCAACGGGTGTCTTGGTTTTTAGTGTTAAACAATGTTTCTTTTGGAACCGTATTATGTCTTTTAAAACACTTAACAAAACTGACAGAACAATTTTATAAAATCATAAAACTTCAATTAAATAACGTAACATGGGCCACGAACATCTTATCTGTATCATCGATCTTTGCAGTATTTATGCATGGCAGTCAATGTGACTAGAGAGTAATATCAGTACTTTGGATGATTCAAGACATAGAACCATTTAGTAACATCATTTAAATCAAATTTTATGTCAAAGCTAAAACACTCTTAAGTACATCATCATACATATGTAACATATGTTTAGGACTCCACTGGCTTCAAACTCATCTGATGTCAGCAATTTCTCCCATTACTAATTGGAGTTGTTTATAATTTATTATACAAATTGTTCAATCATCATCCCTTATTCACTTGCACTGAGAGTCAAAAATTGAAATTCTTAGCGGTGTATAGGAGACAAATTGCTTACCTAAGCGCTGGGCATCGTCTTTGGCATTTTTTTGAAAGATATAGAAGCATGGGAAATGACCTTTTTATTGTTCAGACGATTTGTTACTCAGACTAGCGAGCTCCTCCAAAAAGAAAATACCAAAATCATTACATCGATTTACATTAACGAACCCAGCACCCTCACTTACTGCGAAAACAACGAACTCCTCATGTAATAAATAATGACAATCATCTGAAATTGCTGGTACAGTACTGCCAATGGTACAAAAGCAATCTTATTTATTTGTGCAGCTATGATACTACGCAGCCTGCAAGCTTGTTGGTGCTTACAAAGTTCTACATTCATCGCAGTCAAGACCCTAATGCTTGACGACATTTGCTACATAAAAATTTTGAAGCAATCGAATACTATACTGAGTCTTAACTTCAACGAAATAATTTTTCGTTCCCATCGTTCTAATTGTATATACTGAAAAGAAAAATCGCAATAATTTCTTTGGAGATGTGAAATTGTTCAAATCCAAGTTTTTTCACAACGCACCGAAGGTTTGCTAAAAAGACAGGTTTCTTTTGGGTTCATTGCATTCACTTTTTGCTTTTATAAAAAATATAAAATTAGAGTTCAAATACATTGTCTGACCGTATTATTGATTATACTCAACTTAATTATAGCTACCTCAATCTTTATCTATCCTTTTTTCAATTATGTGTGTTAATGGGAATAAAATATTTAAAAGAACTGACGAGAATAAGACGTTCAAAGATGTGAAATCATGTCAATTGTCAAATAAATTTTTTGCCATCTAAACACCTAACAACATATTACCTGTGTCTTTGTCTGTTGAGTCCTTTCATAACTATCATTTTATCATATCTTATTTAAGTTACATTATTAAATTAACAGCAGGGGCTATATTGCATTGACGTGTTGATATTTTCCTTCAGCTCAATGTACAAAGAAGTTTTGTTTTCTAAAATGGATATGAAAAGAAAAGAAATGAAAGGTGAATGTGTGAGATACCTCATCTTTTATTTTGTCCATGACATAACTTATGTAACTTAAAAACTGTAAGACACTTTGTTGTCAACTTTATATAACCAGAAATTTAATTATTGCATGTCAGCGAATCTTTTGCAAAGCTTTATTTGAACACCATGGCCATCGCAGCGATTTAGTCACAGACTATATTTCGTTTTCACCATAGCTTGCGTAATCACTGATTTTCTGTCTATGTCTTCTTATAACTATGTTTCTGCTTGAACTAAGGTTCGCCTAACATCAAGGGATTCTCCTCCAGTTTTAATTGTTCAAAATCTTGTTGTGAGTATCAGAATATGTGCAACGAACGTGTTTTCATGTTTTCAGGACGATGTTCAATAGTCTTCGGGTCATTTGTTGTTGCTAGTGCATTATTGGTGATGAACGTAACAACATGACAAAATCAACAGAAACGTCTTGTAGGTCAAAATGATTTAGGCAGAATGCAATGTCATCTATACTGTAATTATAAACTCATGGCTGAAATACAGATGATCGTAATAAAGACGGAAAAAGCTATTCGTGTTATATAAACGGGAAAAAATTAGTCTGAGTAAATTAGTAGTCATAGGTACTACTCATTGTGCTTCTTTTTAAAATCATTTCAAAGTGTTGAGTTGGTTGTATGAAGCTTCTTGAATAAGGAAATTAACAGTGCATGGTGCGGAGACAAAGCATAACCAATAAAATTAAAACCGACATATACTCAACTCAAATGGCGTCAATTCCATTCTCTTTGTGCGTATGTTTTAGCAGTTTAAAGTTTGACGAATAAAGTCATGAGCCATGATTAATTCTTTGCACTGAACATACCATGCTATACACCAGATGTACAAACATCTGTTTTGTATGTATTTGCATAGCTGAGATTAAATAATCATATCTTTACTCAAGATCTCTTGAAGTTCACAACAGGGGATATATTGTGTTCTGGTGTCGATCTTATTTTCTTTAGCCAAGTGTATGATAAGTCAGGAAAGGTAACTTATTCTCTCATTCAAAATTTACAGATCATATGCGACCAATAATTATCTCTGTATTATGAGGCATTGCATATACGGTGGGAAAGTCAAAACAATGGAAAACACTCTTTCCAACAAACATTTCTTTTGTGTTACTTATGTCGCTTACGAATTGCAATATGAAGTATGCTTATTTTTTTATGTAATTTGCATTTGTTGCAACATGTTATCTTGATCTTACAAAATAATGTTTTGCTAAAAAGTTAAAGTTCAAGACTTTTCAACTTAATAATACTTACTAAATTTCTACATTGTGTTTAGAAGCTAATCAAGGCAAGGTAATTAATTGCTATGACTTGTTAATTTTTTCTCTTGCCCTTCAGTAGAACGATTTGAAAGTTGACGCAGTAATAAGTGCGTTGTAAATGTAAATAGGTTGTATCACTTGCCCTTAATACAAATTGAAAGGCTTTACCAAAAATCCAATTATCATACACCGTGAAACACGGTAAAAATAATTTTTAATTGATGCACGCATGCTAGAAGTTTGAGCAACACTAAGTTTTTAATCCTTAGACTTGGTCAATAAAGATCAATAACTTAACGCTTATGTAGATTACGTAGCTAGAGTTATTGCAATCTTCCAGCGCTGATGTTCGTTTTCGTTTAATTTTCTGTAAATTTGTTTTTGATTATAGGAATCTATAGATAGGCACAAGAAAAGCAGAGAGCTTATAAAAATTCATTTCTTCATATTTGGGTTTAATTCTATTGAGATCAGCTAACTAAAGAACAAAAACTGATTAAATATAGCAAGTAAACATAAACAATCTGTCAAACTTCCCTTACACTGTATTAAAAAAAGTGTTCTTGGAATTGATTTTTTAAGAAACATAATTCCATGGTATGTTTTAAGGGGGTATGCAATTGCAGAGCAGATCAAGTCATGTCTGCATAGCTCGATCGATCTTGAAATTAACTATTGTACGTAATATATAAACAAGTGTGAAATTTATAATAGCACACTTGCTTTGAAACACTTTTTTGAGAGTTCTTTCATCATTGGATACAAAATTTAATTTAAAAAAATCTTTGATAAAAAATTTTTCAAAGAAAAACATTTTACAAATGTAATTAGCTTCAATCTTTAGGTATATGTGAAAGCAACAAAGGGACGAACGTGCCTAAATTATTGCTACTCAGTGGCGTAGCTAGCGGTCCCGCCACTCCCGCCCGGCGGGAGTAGAAATTTCCCAAAAAAATAATAAATATTCTATTTGGACATAAGATATACATTATTTCACGAACAATTTGTAATATTATGTTTTATTCGTTCATATTTACGCTTTTATTAGGTGGTTCGTAATCGTAATACAGCAAAATCTCAAGATTTGTTATGTAACCTAGCAACCGCCTTTTCTCGCACATTGCATACTCGCGCGATTCTCCACGTATTCCGCCCATCTTCAGAGGGCGGAACATACAATATAATTCTATATAAGAAGTTTGGAATTCTGGTTGGCTAAGGGACTTGACGCATGCTCAAATCTGCTGTTTTTATAGTCGAACTCCCGCTATTTTAAATTGGCGGAGGTTGTAATTATTCGACCTTTTAATACGAGTACAGCGATTAGTGATTATCAAATTACGTGTCATTGTCGGTATTAATTTTCCATTGTGTTTACTCTCAAATTGCTATTTTGTATTTGTGTATGACACAATGGCTTCAAGTGCGACTGCGATTTGCTCAACTGATGTTGATTTAGTAAATAGCTTATTAGCTAAACCGTTCTCTGCTCGATCGTCGGTCGAACAGAATGTTATCGTTCATGAACGGCCTACTCCTGATTTAACTATCCAAAATAAGGGAAGAGCATTTCAGAGAGATTGGTATGAGGCGAAGGACTGGCTGTGTGGCAGTACAACCTTGCAGAAAGTGTTTTGTTGGCCATGTCTAATGTTTTCCCCAAAACATCGCCATCGTGGACTAAGAATGGCTACAACGATATGCGGAGTATTATGTCTGATGCTAAGAAGCATGAAAAATCTAAATCGCATTTGACTGCATTTAAGACATGGAAAACGTATGGAGCTAGTGAACGAATTGATTGTCTTATGTCCCTCGCTAGAAGAAATGAGATTCAGCGTCACAATGAGGAGGTAAGACAAAATCGAGAAATTTTAAAACTGTTACTGAGGCCGTGCTGTATTTGTCAAAGCAAGAGTTGCCATTTAGAGGTCACAATGAGTCCGAAGGTAGCTTGAACAAAGGTAATTATAGGAGTTGCTCGAATGTTTTGCTAAGTTTGATTCTGTATTTGAGCGTCGACTGCACAGTAGACTAGCAGAATCTGATATAGTTGGTGACAGAAGATTTACTGGAGTCTCCCAGAAATTCAAAATGGTCTTATCAGCTGTCTTGATTCAATTATTGAAGATGAAATCAGAAAGGAAATAAATGATTGCACATTTATGAGTATTCAGGTTGATGAAGCATCTGATGTCTCCACCAAAGAGCAGCTAAGTGTTATTGCTCGGTTTGACAAAGCAAGTGAAATTATGGAGAGGCAATTAGGATTTGTGGATGTAAGTATGAACAGAAATGCCACAGCAATATCACAAGTTGTCAAAGATAAACTTGGTGAGTATTCTAATATAAAAGAAAAACTGGTTTTACAAACATATGATGGTGCTTCTGTCATTTCTGGCCATATCAATGGTGTTCAAGCATTGGTTCGACAAGAGTATCCTTTTGCTCATTTTGTTCATTGTGCCGCTCATAGATTGAACCTGGTCCTATGCCAGTCAGCCTCATCAATTTCTCCTGTTAAAATCTTTTTTATTAATATAGCTACATTCAGCACATTTACAAGCAATGCCCCAAAAGAAAAGCTTTTCTCACATCTAACAACCTTGAGTTTCCTGCCCTGGTGAAACAAGATGGTATTATCGCTCTAGATTAATCAATGTATTGCACAAAAACTATGAAAACTTTTAGATATTTTTGAGGGGTACTTGAACAACCAGCTGGGTGGGATGATGAGTCATTAAGTAAAATAAGTGGCTTACTGCATTATCTTGATAGCTTTCTCTTTTGTTTTCTAGTGTGTGTTTTTTACAGGATTTTAGAACAGTCCACAATTTTGTATTCCATTCTTCAAAATAGGAAACCCATTTTAACTATGGCATAAGCAAGATTGACAATTTCAAGCAGTTTATTGTGTCACTTCGCACAGATCAAGCTTTCACCGAGTTTTACCAAACTGCACTAGAAAAAGTAGGCCCACCAGCAACCAGAGCAGATAGTAGATACAATTACAAACAGCTTTATTTTGAGATTATTGATTCCATTAAAGGCATGTTAAGTGAACGATTTCAAGATATTAATCAGTTCGAGTTTTTAGACCTTGTAAATCCTAAACTATTTACTACATGGAAGGGCATAGTTCCACAGGAGAAGATCAATCTTCTCAAAGATAAGTATAGTCCTCTTTTGACATCCAAACTTTGGAGAGTCAACTTTCCTTCATTTACAACGACAAGGACTTTCACAAAGAGTGCAGTAATGAGGTTCTTAAATACATCTTCAAATTTAATCTCCAGTCGAGTTTAGGTCAAGTGGTAAATTTGTTAAAATTGAATGGTGTGTTGGCAGTGGCAAGTGCTTCAGTAGAGAGGTCGTTTTCTTGCTTAAAAAGGGTAAAAAGCTATTTAAGAAATAGAATGGGTCAAGGTCGGCTTAGCTCTTTGTGTAGAATATCTATTCACAAAGATATCATTGAAAAGAAAGAGGAATCAGAGGTGTTGCATAACGAGGTGGTTGAAAAATTTGTAGAAAAACCCAGGAGGCTGGCCTTTCTTTATAAATGATGAGTATAGTATGTGTTTTGATATTTGTTCGTATAATACATGGTACTTCATTGAGAAAATTAAGCATAACTTTAAAGAATAAAGCCATCCCTGTCTACTTGCCCCAATCTAAACAAGTTTAAACTAACAAGTAGAATGCTAAGAAAAATCTCTCTCTATGCACTTTAGAAGTGTCGTATACTATATTATTTTTGTGCTAATACAAATTTCTTCTGTTTATGCAGGGCAGTGATGAGTAAATTATGTTTTAGGGGAAAATTGTCTCCTGCGTAACGTTTCTCTGAGCCACCTTTAGTACCTTTTTAACTAGTTGCAGTTTCAACGATTGCCACATTAAGAATGCAGCTAACAAAAATGGGTTTTTATAAATTATTGTACAACAAATAATTCGCCCTCGAAATCGCAGGAAATGCTGTTTCCAAGGCTCTGGATTTCAAAATTTTCCGGGGAGCATGCCCCCGGACCCCCCTAGTGGGGTCGCGCCTCCGGCGCGAGATGGATTGGCGGGAGTGACTATTTTTCCTAGCTACGCCACTGTTGCTACTATACGAAAGCCTTTAGCTGCGGTGTAAAAACATTTATTAAATTAACCTAAATTTATGTTTCTGCGCGTATGCTCACTGCCATAATATTGTTTGTGTTTTGTTGAATTCTGTTAAATTCTGTTGGTTCGTAAATTCTGAGGATAACTTTGGCTACTATGGTTATGTTAACAGGAAGTTTCGTCGCACAGCAAACAGGTTCTCCACGACTTACAGGTGTTTTGGTGGTTACACGACTATTTAATGTTTAGAAACATTTTAGCAATTTATTTAGTGCATCGTAGCAGTTTATGATAACAATGACAACTAAATGCATTGCGTATTTCCATTAATTTTATTCTCAATAATTTGCGACAACGTTTTTGAACATTTGTAAAATTTGATATTGTTAATCCACCTAATTTTTATTTTTAATTATTTGGAACTCTTACGAGATGACAAACCTTATCCATCCGTGCTTGCAAACAATAACTAAAGTACCATTTTCATTTATCGTCCACTTCAATAAAACATTCTTCTCAACACAAACACAGTAGGTTTTCTACAGTCAGTTATGAAGTCTGAGATTAAAGTCTTTTGAGCTACGCTTAACATGTTTTAGTGCATTACTGCAGGCTAATACATGCCGCGTGGAGAGGTATTATTGACGAGATTTAAATGTTTAGGATTTTGACTATTCAATTGTGTCCTGATCAGTTCTTTGCTTACAGGCTTGTTATTATCTGTGTCTATTTCTACTGTGTTTTTACATATAATAAAGATGGATTAAGTGCATGTGTTAGGCAAAACTTTTTAAAGTCAATGGGTTATATTTACCAGGTGAGGATCTTCTTGTAGTTTACAAACTGATGAATCGCACTTTTTTACTTATTCAAGATTAAAATTTAAATTACCAATTTTTCACCGAACAACTGCATGCAGAAAAGTAGGTCCGCAATGCGTTTATGTGGGTAGCCTTCCTTTACACAGATAAGATGTTACAATATTCATTAGTTAACTAGGAAAACAAGTCGAATGAAACAATAAAAATATTGATTTTGTGTCAAAATGCCTCAAAATAAAATCATTATTTATACAATACTTTGCGTGGTGTAAAAATGTGCCTGTATTCACTGTTTAATCAAAAGGCTTAATAATTGTCTTAATTTTTCTCTGCTTATAACCTCCTGCTTAACTTGCGTACTTGCATTTGCTATCTTATTTGCCAAAAACGTGTGACAGTGACCTTGGGACTACAGCAAAATATCAGTGAAGTTCTCAAAAAGTCAATTATCTTTCATATAATACTGACGGTAAATTCATTGCCGTTTCGATGGAAACCATTTTTAAAGAAACTATATCTCTTATATTAGTTATCTAATGCATGCCATTAGAACACACAACACTGAAAAGACAATGGCAAGAGAAGTGAAGATGCTCAACATAAAGCTTTCAGTAGAGTCGTCAAAAATACCTACAAGTGGTTAGCTATATAACTATGAGTATGTGTATTATATTGTAATTGTAGTTGACGAGACTATGAGTTATGACATGTATGACATGACTGATCTCGAATATTAGCTAGACTACTCCCAAAAAGATTGAATGTCTTTAAAGAGACATTATCTTTATTTGCTTTTTGCTTATTTCTTGGATGTTTCACAACATAAACACTTCTCCAGTGCGTCAATACAGTAACACAAGAAAGTCCCTATATATATTATTGATGTTACTACAGCTATTACTAAATGGTTTAATGTCTAGAGGTCGAGAAATATTGAATGAACACAACATGTTGGGTGGGATATGTATATATAGTGCTGTGTTGTCCGAAAGAGTTTTAAATAAAACGCATGCTAATAAATGTGAAATAAAAAATAATTTTTGGCATTCATATTAAATATATATGTCGTAATCAAGGCACTTTGTTTGGTGATATTTTGTGTTCTTTCAAAATGCCTATTAGTCTCGTTATATTTGAAAATAAATGTTGTAAAATTTTTATAGGTCTTTTCAATAACTGTCTTTCATCCAACTTCTATACGGTGTTCTCTTCAGTTCATCTCCGTAAACGCCTGACCAGCATTAGCAAATTTTCCATGTCCGGTATATTATTTTCCTTACCTTAATTGGTGCCATTTTCCTGTCATTGTTGATGGTGCTGTCAAAATTGATTATGATCCATAAGTTTTCTGTATATGACTGAGAGCAACACACAAGCGTTATAACAATAAGTCATCCTGAGTTGCCCGTCATTAGGCTATTAAGTACTTAGTTCAGATTCTACGTATAGTAACGTCATTGCGCAAATGCCATTCACCAATTTTGGCAAAATATACCTTCAAGTTTTGAAATTTTTAGTAATTTCTATAAGGTCTACTGTCCAACCCCACATTTATTAGTTGTATGTATAGAATAAGTACAGAAATATTCACAATTTCATTGCCCCTGCAGTTTCAGTTATTTCACTAACATAAGTACAAATTGATATCTATAGAAAGAATATAGACAGTTTGCAGGAATGTTAGCTTCAATATTATAGGTTGAGTAAAAAGTTCTTTATTCAATTCGTACTTATAATGTAATACACCCCATACAAGATCGTTTATGGCAGTGATCGATCTACAAGTGAAATGAAAACCGCTTAGCAGCTGGTTGGGTGAAATTACAATGAAAGCTTCCATTCAAAACGAATCATTTCTTAACTAATCTTTGCAAAAAAATAACTGACAGATCTTGTATCTTTTAAGGGAGGAGAAGAGTCATTTTTATCAATGATCATCCATATGTAATACAAGCACGTTTATCTTACGTTTTGCACAAAAAACCGAGTCATCCAAGACACCAGGCAATAGGCATGGTTTTGATGCTTGTATCTCATTTCAAAGAACGTTGATATTGTTTTCAAAAAGCATCGAAATTCCACGAGAAATGATATAGAGGTCTCCACTAAGTTCCCGTTCAACAAAAGGAAAGTAAAAAGAAACTAAACTTTACTTTACCAAAAGCAACACATCTCATCTTTACATAATTTCACATATTTTCTAAATGGCTTTACTTATTGAAACATTCCGTTGACCATTGAATATTCTATATTGTAAATTCTATTCGTGTTAGGTTTCAATGGCAGGTAATAAGATAAACAAATATATTGTTATTCAAATACAAAAATTAGCACCCAACCGCTTATCTGATAGTTTGCAAGGTGAAAGTGAACACTTAATACAGTTAATTGGAGGGCATTGGCTTATTAAATCTTCTAGAAAAAATTCCGACTGTTTATCTCGAAAGACTTGTGTCGTATAAAAAGCTTTATCTCCTTATGGCAGCCAACACGGTAGGTAAATCATCAACGTATTACGGATTAATGAAAGACTGGTGAAAAGAAGAGCATTAAAATACATTTAATTTTCAACATTTTAATACAAAGCTGCATTCAGCAGCACAATCGATGATGAATCGGTATGCCTTTAATTATCGCCTAAAAATAGGAAAGACTTCCGTTCCCGCGCTTCAAGATCATGTAAACGAAGACAATAATTATTATTAAAAGAATGTCATATGAAGAATGTTTTATGCAGTGCGGTTTTATTGCGAAATTCACATCTTCAGTTAATTTCGCAATAATTATTAAATTCATTCATGCAAGCAATCCTTCTTTCAACTTAACATACAGGATGTTGGTTCTGAGACAGAAGCATGTTTTCCAGTATAAGTAGATGAGAGTCCAAGACTGGTTAACTACGTACAGGAAAAATTTAGTAGGATAAAGCAACACCAAAACGTATTGGGTAACGATTGTTTTGGAAAATAGACTGGAATGAGAGGCCATAAATGCACACAGTTTCCTTCTTCCTACTTTCCTTGTATTTCCTCATTACTAATAAAGAAAATATTTCTTATTTTCCTAATAATGTCATATTCGTAAAATTCAAGGCGCAAATTCAGACATTAGCTGAGTCGCAAGCCAGTCGAGTCCCTCACGAAGCCCTCTGCCGCTGTGAGCATTGCAGCCAATCACAGTCCAGCTTCGCCCACAACACAGTTTATGTAATGAAAGACGTTCGGTGATTTGATCAACGTTTAAAGCCGTTGGTAGATCCTACAAAAAACAGTTAGCTGGGTTTGACCCTTATGTTTAAAATGCTTAAAATTAAGTCTGTTTCATGTGAAGTCAACGAAAAATCAATGCTAGATAAATCAATAAAAGTTAAAAGTTTCATGTTTTTAGAAATTAATGTCACAACTTTCCTTCTAAAAGAGCACACAGAAATTATGAAAAGGTAAAATGAAACATAATGAATTAAGGTGAAATGCTGTGTCATGACGTCTGTTTCAATGAAGCATGGCGAGGTGAAAAAGGATGAAGTGAGGTGAAAAAATATGATACGAGGTCTTCTAGGATGAAATGAAGTAAAATGATGTGATACGAGGTCTGTTTAAACGAAGCATGGCATGGTGTAACCATGATGAAGAGAAAGAAAATGACACAAAGTTTATAAGATGAAATGCCGTGAAATGAGGTCAGGAGAAATGACGTAAGAATTTAAACAAGACGAATTAAGGTGATATAAGGCACAGAAAGCGTCACCTGTTTGTTAGCATATACAACTAGTAAGGCATCTCTAAGTCGTTTCTCGGTCATTAACTTCACTAACTCTTCACGAGATTCTTCAATTCTCTCTTTGTTGTTGCTGTCGACAACATAGATTACAGCTGAAATATGATCACGTAATTCATACAGTTCAAAAAATTGTTTTGAAAAACTTCTTTATGTACCTATATGGCAGAAAAATTAACTGTTGCAGGTTTTAAGGGTTGTCTGTGTGAGAAAACCTGTTCCGGGATGAGATGAATTTCCGCCATCATAATGTCGTTGAAATTTCTCAAGCTTGAGAATGTTTACAATAAAAACAGGGACATTTAACAACGCACTAAATTGAATTCAAAAGCTGAAATAAACAATTTCTTAACTAGACACATACCTTGCGTGTTGAGATAGTAATGTCTCCACAGCGGACGTAATTTGTGCAATCCACCAACATCCCAAATCGTAAACTTTAAATTCTGGTGTTCGATTGTTTCAACGTTAAATCCTGCGGGAAAATTATTTAGTAAGAAGTGGAGAGATAATGAAGTTTGGAACAATGTAATGATACAGTGTCCTAGGTTTTTTGTCGCAATGCAAATTTTGAAATAGATATGATATGACTTTCTGTTTACGTCATATAAGAAATAGAAATCGCAAGATTATACGAATATTATTACCTTAGACAAAATACTTATCATCAACCTTCAAACCTCAAAACAAATCGCACCTTCGTGTATTTTCAAGTACGTACGTAGCGCACTAAACTATAATCCATTTAGCAAACGGAAAGCATTACCAATAGTTGTTATAGTCGACACAAACTCATCTTGTTTGAGTTTAAAAAGTATTGAGGTTTTTCCTGCACCGTCCAAACCTAGCGCGACGACTCTCATTTCCATCTTGGGACCGATATGAATGCGATTATCTTTAGTGAAAGCAATGGGAATACTGCCATCGGATGAACACAGTTCGGCCGTTTCTAGGAAATGCTGTTGTTGTTCTTGCACAGTTTGAAGGACTTTATGTATGTCCAAACGGGAGGCTACAACCTTAAATTAATTTTCGGTTAACGGGTTTGGTTAAAGTTACACTAAGTTTTACGTAGGCGAATATAATATTACGTAATCTTGGGACAACTATATCTGTAGACAAGATGAAACGCTTACTTGACTGTGCTCTGATTTTAGTGTTTTCTCGCAATGACCACAGACTGCAGAAGTATGAGAATTAAGGGCAACCATGTCTTCTTGTCTCTGACGTAGCCATGACAATTGGTCACGAAGGTAGCCATCAACAACGGCAAGACCAGCCTCTTCTTGTCTGTTCACAGTCTCGCGTAAATCGTTAAAATATTCACGCACCCTAGATCGTGCCATGTCCCCTGTACCAAGGACGTGTCGTGTATGCGTTTGACCGTCAACATCATCTTCAACAACTATCGAGCCTGTTCAACCATGTCAAGCAATATTTTATTGGGTTTTTTAATATAACTATGCAATCATGGTTCTAGTCAGTGCTAACTAATGTTGCCTCAGTTAGACTTGCAAATTTATGGGAAATACGTACGAAAAGGGATAAGTTGGTGGCATTCTAACCAAAATTAAACTAAAAATACTAAATACGTTCGTGTTTATCACGCAAGTAATCTCTCCCTATTTAAGTACTAATTCACAATTAGTACTACAATCCATTTTAAATAATTATTTTCTGAAAAGTGAGATTCGAGATAAACTTTGCATGTAAAGCATGGGCGACACATATGCCCTACTCAAGTAAAAGCACACCTTCAATTTTTTGAATCACCGTTTCAATTTTCTGCGTAGCTTTTGCAATGTCTTCGCTGAACAACTTGATGTGCTGTATCGCACTCGATATGGAGGATCGAACATTCTCAGCTTCTGTGATCACAAGATTGTGTTTGTGTCCCTTGTGCTTTCCGTAATCCTTACACAACACGCACATCAATGGATTCGTTTGGCAACTATCTTCTAAGCATGCAAACTCGATGATTCGTCCTTGATGTTCGGGGCATACAGCTTTCTCGGAGGGTTTCTCCGACAAAGGTACACGTTTGTGTTTGCTTAATGTCTTCGTCGCATGGGTGATTTCGCTACAAGAACTACACAAGTGTGTACAGCAGACAGTGCAGTACACGGTTGCCAAATGTTCTTCGTTTTCATCACACTTTACTTTGTTCTCCTCTTCTTCAAAGTTGCTCAGGAGTGGTACACGTGAGACTTTCAATCGCTCGAGCAGCTCAAGAAGCGCAAAGTTCTTCTTCAAACCCCAAACTCCAGAGTCACTGAGCTCAGTTTTCTGACGGTCAAATGGGCAAACAACGACACGATTTCGTACAGGGAGTTTTGTGAGACATTCGTGACACAAGGTATGGCCGCACAACAAAAGACGAGGAACTTTTTCTCCGTGAAATTCAAAAAGATCTTCACACACACCACATTCCAATACCTTAAGGCACAAAAATATCAAAAATGTATCGTCTTTTATCTACTCAAGTACTAATAGCCAAGAGATAATCTGTAGCTGAGTTATTCTATTCAGTCTATTGTGCAATAGTACATAATAGTTTCACAACATGCTAGACTAGCAACCTTAATTGACGTTGGTTTGAATCTGGTTTAAAATAATAGTGGCTCAAGAATACAATTCTTCAAGTAAATTCCAAATTCAAGGTCAATATTTGTTCGACATTTATTTATTCTATTTAATGTAAATATTTTTTGGAAAGCTCTACCAAGTTATTGCTACACACCTATAGTATTTTGAAGATAATGGTGTACTCATTGTAACAAATCTATACTTGGAATGTTACCTTGAGGAAAACAATCGGGTCTGGAGGTAAAATCCTGCATTTACCTCACTGACTTAATGAATTTCTTCGGGTTGTGTGGGTAAATATTGGAAAAAGTTACATTATGGCATCAAATTTTGGTAATAGGTAGCCTTCCATAGTTCAAACTGGTGTGCCCAAACGTACACTTTGCAAGTAAATAAAATTATGATCTAATGGTTCAATCTTGTTTCTAATCACATAGCATAATTTTTTGTTGTACAATATACGTCAAAAAGTCTTACTTTTACTTTTTGATGCCATTTTACTTATCATTAGTAGAAGATACTTTATGCTCCAGACAGTCATTCGTGATGTGCTCGCATTCCATAAAATACGTTGAGTGACTTTCTGTCAACCCAAATATTATAATATCGAAACTGATTAAATAAAATCAAAATGAATAATCATTAAAAGAACTAAATATGATATTCTCTGAGCTGAAAAAGAAAATATTCAAGAAATATCATTGAGATGACAAGCAAAAAAGGATTTGATGCCAACTGTACTGGAACGGTGGAACCAAATTCTTGGAACAAAAGCGACTTACCCCATTGATTATCGTTTTTTTCACGCGAGGATTGCCATTTAGTTCAGCCATTTGTGTGAATTATTTCTAAAAACATAGTTGAGTGTATTTGATACTGACATTTCTCATGTATCTATTCGTATTTTTTCCCTTCTGATCTTTTTTATTTTTTTCGACAAACCGCCATTGTGTTCTTGTTTTGATAACGCTGGTCATTAATATTGAAGGCTCAGTCAAAATGGAGACGGCCACGGTGCATCTACTTGAAATAAAAGGTAAATATTCCTTATTTTTGAGATAATGTGGTGTTTTTCTTTTATGATTATATTGATGAGATACACTCCTGTTGAATTTATGTTTACAGCTCTCTTTCTATCACTTGTATACATGGTACAAAAAGTTGAAAACTTATTGAGAATGAGAAATACCACCAACAAACAGGCAACAGCAACATGGGAAACTATAGTTAAAAGATGTTTGTGAATGTAGATCGTCCAGGTTAGTATATTCCTGAGAAGGGATGTTGGTGTTGATGTTGACTGACGTTTTGACAAACTCAGCGGTAGTCATTTTCAATGTCCATCACCATCAACACCAACATACTCAGGACTCTACTAACCTCAGTAACCAGGGCGATACATCCACAAACATCAAACAATACTCCTGGGTTCAAACCATTCACTTTGTTAAAATAAAATACAATCAGCCAGATTTCAGAATGTGTTCTTTTGCACTAGAACAACGATAATGTTTTGCACCTGTAATGTCTGCCATTCAAAAGAAAAACATACAAAAAAGCAATCACTATTCCCAGTGTCAACTGTCTAATGATTGATGCTCAGAGTCCTCAGCGACCTTACCTCATACTATATGCAGGCAACAGTTGCAGTTTGATGAAATAATACTTGTCACTTGCAATTGTTAATTCATTGTATTAGCTAACTGTGGGTGTCTTCTGAAAACTTATAATTTTATATTTAAAATTAGTTTTATAATTTATTTGTCGCTTTTTTAATGTTGCTTACTGTTTTATGACTCAGAGATATTACTGAAAATGGACACATTCTGTTGTCTGGAAGAAGTGTTTATGAGACCCTGTAAGTATGTATGTATATTTTTTTGTAGTTTAATTTTAACTATTTTTTGCAGCAACTATGTTAACAAAGCCATCTTTATACACATCAATCCCAATTGCTGTGGAGAAACACGATCTACCAGGTAAGTTATTGCATTTGAAAGTTGACGTGTTAAAGTATTTATGTATGGTAGACATTCTTTTTTATTCTTGCTAAGGTAAAGCATTTTCTGAAGCCTTTACGAAGGATATTGGTATTTCCAAAGGATTGGAGAATTTTGCACTTGGCGAGATGCTTGTCCTGTCACAGGCATTAGGGTTGGTATTTTGCCAACTCGTTACTTGTGTTGTTTTAGGATTAAAATATGAATTAATAAAAAAGCACAAAAAGCCCAAATTGTCTGAAGTGAAGAAAATGTTGAACACTCAACCATGAAAAAGTTGATGTAGTCTGACATGTATCCTCTTGAACTTATCGCTGTAATGCTGCGTATGTTGCTATGTACCTCAATTTTTTAGAAATATTTTCCTTGGAGAGACATTTTCTGCTTTTATCTGTGTGCATAATGATAGCAATCAAATTGCCAAAGATATTGTGATAAAGGTCAGTGTGATGATCAAATTAGCTTTGTATACGTAGTTGTTTGAACAACGTACGTACCTACGTAGAAGTTACCACTGACTCATTTCCACATTGGTGAAAAAGCATTTTTGAACTAATAATTGCAACCCGTATATATTATCCCTGATATACATTATTTTTGTTGTTAAATAAAGCTATTAATTTGTTATACTTGTTGAGTGCCACTCCATTTGCTTACAATTGTCACTTTACGTTTGTAAGAGCAAGTTGCCTGTGTTTTACTATCATACATTGTGACATTCATCTTATTTAGACTGATTTACAGACGTCCTCACAAAGACTGACGTTACTTAGTGCAACTATCAATGAACCTGTGCCCAAATTAGATCCTTCAGAAAGCATTGAACAAGTCATACAACATGAAGTCAAAGAACTTGGAATGCATTTGTGAGTGACTGAAAAGCTCATGTGATGGATGGGGTTTAATAGATTGTACAAGTCTAAAGTAATGATGCATAGGAAAAACCGTCGACTTTGTCCACTCGGTTTTTTGTTTTGGATCAAAGTTGCCCTGGCTGTAGTTATACACAAAATGAGCTATAGCTACATCGTTGCATTGCGAAAATTTATTTGTTTATCTACCCCAAGTTGTTTCGTATGGCTTAGTTTTGCTACAGCTCTTTACGACGTAAATAGTTTGAACCCGGGAGTATCGTTACATGTTTGTGGATGTATATCATCCAGGTTAGTAGAGTCCTGAGAAGGACTGTTTTGTTGTTGATGTTGACTGACGTTTTGAGAACCTTAGCGGTAGTCATCTTCATAGTCAAGTGAGGAGTAAACGTCAGGTTAGCCGTATTTCTTATCTATTGTTAACAGTCTTTCCCAGGACTCTACTAACCTGGACAATCAACATCAACAAACATGTAACAACTCTTTACCTTAGTTATGTATTAATCGCATTTCCTGTCACAATGCCTTTACAAAGTATCTCTTACGTTTACGTTGCACCTATACTGTATGAAATAGATCTTTTATTAAGATAATTACGTTTACGCTAACTGCGATGATTTTGCGTTCGGTAGTCACTGGCGTAAAGTGAAAACTAATTTTCAGCAAAGAACTTGTCTTGCATGTTTTGTCCGTTAAATCAATGTTATTATTTTACAGTCGTACTGGAGTTTGTCCTGTAATTTTCGCGAGTGCACCATGTTGGCTATTTTATGAAATGCCCAAAACTTGCATTTACAGACTCGTTTGTGCAGTCAGTTATACGTCACCAAAAGGAGAAAAGATGTTTTTCAGAAAGCTTTTTAAATTTAATGTAAGTCACACTCTGATGTTTTCATAGGACGACTTTTTCAAACCAAATATATTCGGAATAAACTTTGAAAATATAGCATTAGTAAATATATAATCACTAATCGATATGCAATGTTTTCTGATTGTTGTCTCAGCTGCACGCTCGTTGCTAGCTTAAAGGAAAGTCTTTTAAAAATACAAGCATGTTCATTGTTCAATGGTAATCTATCTGTCTTTATAGCTATAGTTCTATTTAGTTATAAATGCTTTCTTTTCATCTCTTGATATTTTTCATTTTTTTCTTCTTTTAAATTAAAGGTGATCAAGCCGCTTGATGTCAAAACAAAATTTTATCCAGAGGTTCGTCAAGTTTTATTTCAATAAATACGTAATTGTGTGAGTTTCATAGCATAATTTCAAACGGAGACAAAGGTAATTTGCTCTCTTACGTATATATTTAGGACTTCCAATCTCTTTCTCTTGAAATGTAAATATAAAACCCAAAAACTGATTGTGCGTTCTTTTTCCAAAAAATCCCTCAGAAGTCGGTTGCCGAGGTTTTACCACACCATAACCAAGAAGGTTGCTTGTTTTCATTCCTGTGACGTTTTTACTAAAAATCACTGAAACAAATTGACATTTGATAGAATTGTTTCTTCGCTTATAGGAAAATGAGATGTACTTAGAGGCTCAGGTCCAAAACATTACTAAAGTTCCTTTGACAATGGAGTCGGTAAAGTTTGAACCATCTCTGCACTATACTTCAGAGGACCTCAACGATCTCACCAGGTATTCGGTATTTGTAATCGATATTTATCTTGATAAGCAGTTATGATGTCAGTAGTGTACGTACGTCCATGCGCTCCCAATCCGTTACTTGCTCCTAAGAAATACTGCGAAATATCATTGACTCGTAGTGTTTATTCGCACTTTAAAATTTGTCAACTTAAAAATTTTTTCAGTCCTTTTCACGTTGGAAAGAGTTTTCTTCTCAACCCGAATGACACCTATCAGTATTTGTATCGCATAAGAACAAAATATTCTTCCACAATGCAAGAAAGAGTTAAGGTAGGTCACCATAATTGTTGTCGGGAAGGGTTTTAAGGTGTGCTGGGCGACAATATCTTTCAAAAAATGGTCTTTTGTAAAATTAAAATATTTGTGACATCAAAAAATACGTAAGTGTATTAGGTAAATGCCATTTTGCGCGGTTTTTGTTCAACTACATACGTATGAAATAAGACCTTTCCCAGTACCTTTGGTTGTCAACTTGTGTTGTTTCTGTTACTTTTGTTTTTTTTCTTTCTTTATTATTGTATCTTGTGTTGATGCTCAGATTAGCTAGCTCAATTTAAAGATCGCGAATATTTAGTGTGTAATTAAACGTTGTTCGCATTTCTCAAATAATCAAAACTCTTATGTATTTCAGTCTCCTTCTTCGGCTGTCGGCAAGCTCGACATTGTATGGAGATCGGCCATGGGAGAAAAGGGACGATTGCAAACTAGTCAGTTACAGAAAGCTGTAAGTTTTGTTGTCTTTTTTTTTACATACATACATTGTTTAACAAGAAATTCTTGCTTTATTTCAACAGCCATTCACAGTGCCCGAGTTGAATCTTAAGATCACAAAACTACCCGATGCAATTTGCGTGGAGAAGAAATTCGAAATGACTTGTACCTTACAGAACACAAGGTAGGATTTGGTAATTTGCTTAAAATCGATGTATTTTATCCTTGCATGTTATTAGGTTTGGCTTATAAATGACTACGTATATTCTCAAAGAAGCAAACGTGCCTCAATTAAGACATTTTCGCTTGTATTCTAAAAGCTCACTCACATACATACTCATTGAGAAGATTTTTGATAAAATACTCCTTATCAAGCAATCTGTGGATTGAAAATACCGTCTTCAAATGATTGTAAGGTGATTTTGAATCTCCCACTCATTGATTTTTAGTGATCTTTCAGAATGCAGGTGTTAGTGCATGATTTTATTAGATGCACGCACGACGGTGCTGGTAACTATGAACTTCAGGTAATACTTTTTTCTGATTTTACATTTTCCAAGTGAAAGGAAGTTTGACTGTCAACTGTTGATGACTAAATCAAAAGATGGTGGTATTGTGTGGTGCGGTACATCTGGCAAGGTGATTATTTCATCTTAACCTTCGAAGAAATTGAGTTAGAAACTCAACAAACTTTTTGCTACGGTATATGTCCCACAACACCAAGTTTTCCGGAGCAGACCCTCTCTCCCGAGAAAGTTTCTGACTAAAATAGTTTGGTAGAATGTAGAAATAAATTTACCAACCGACTTTTTTTTTGCTTTTGCAGTTGGTTATAGGATTGGTTCTTTGTTTATCTGATCTACTACGTACGTAACAGTAAAATCAAATTTAACTTGGGGAATACAACCATAGGAAGTTATTCTTGTTTTACGGTTGTAACGTTCCGTGCTTATTATACCGTGTGAAGTTACAGTGAGAAGTGATTCTCGTGTAAAACAAGCCAAGAACAATGGCATGCCTGTATGTTTACTAGGCATCCGGAAAGAAAAATTGCAGTTCGCCCTACGCCGCGGTCTAAAGTCATAGTGCGAACTTCGTATTGCAAACCACATTCTTACGTAGCTATGTTTGCGTAAGATCTTTTAACCACAGTTTCTAGTTAGCCTCAGGCACTTGCAAGTAACACGACCACCTAGAGGACCCCATCCCTTGTCATTCATGAGCAATCAAATAATGGCATATTTTTGCAATTTGACTGATGTTCGCAATTTGACTGATGTTCGCAATTTTACAGAGACTGGGAATCTTAACACCTGGCACATCGATTGGATTACAGTTGCAATTTCTTCCTTTGGCAACAGGTTTACAGGTATTGTACTGGTAGATTGGATTGTCATTTGCGTTTTACATGGAAAAAAAAATGACGGAAATTTTTGTTGCAGACTATCGGAGGAATCAAAATATTGGACAGTATAACATCCAAAACTTACAGCTTCGACGACATTGCCAAGATATTTGTATACGCTTCTCTACAATCGCCTTTTCCGACTTAAAAACGTTACTTGTAAATTTTGTGAATAATTATCAACGCACGCTGCCCACTGATAAGGGTTCTGTCGTACGTGTAGGGATACTATTGTGAGTGTTACAAATAATGCGTTGTGCTATGAATTCTAGCCGATCAAGGTAAGCACACCAGCATTTTTTGTGATAAAAACAATAGTATGAATATTCCATGTGTATGGAGAAAATAGAAATGTTTTCGCAAGTATGGAGTACTAATGGACTGCAACTACTGTAAGGTATTCAGAGAGTGGTATTAGGTCAAAATCAACACGGTTCCCATATATTTCTCACTAATCAAGGTAGATCTCAGGACATGCTATTCCAGAATATAGTGCAATGTTTAGCCAAGAGATATCTTACGCCGTTTGCAATTCTTTACGGAATAAAATCAGACTAAGTCAAAAAATCAGAGGTCAGACCGACGCGAACTTCATTACTAACAGTAAATCATTACAATATAAACAAAATCTTTTCTTAAAGAATCACCTATCCTAATTATATATATATAACAAACAAACTAATATATTCATTTTTATTTTGAATTGAATTATAACACCAATATATCGGAACGCACACGAACGAAAATAAACCTCCGAAATGCACATGACGTCCTAATGGGTGTAATCACGATCTAACTAGCGAGTGAGCTGTTTTCACTATTGTCACTGGAGTGATGCACTCTATGACGCAATGAGGTCCCGTCATTGACGGGCGAATTGTGTTCATCGTAGGCTATGTAATTGATGTCGGATTCCGTAGTCTGATCGCGGTTACTAGTGGCAGATATGTTAGAATCGATTTCAGCGTCCCTTACGTCATTTACATTACTGTCATCTCGAATGGCATCAATATTATTTTCGGGATCTTGGTCATCTGTACCGTTCAATTCAGCTGGAATAACCTCAGGAATAACCTCAGCAATATCGTTGCTCCCGATCACTATCGGATCAATTATCTCAAGGTTCAGCTGATGTTCGATCACTTCCTCTTCCGCACCATGAGCATCCGGCCGTCTCAGTATTGCCGGTAATTCGTAGTGATGAAAGAAGAATATCATAGAATGCTAGAAATCATAAATATGATTTATTAATTCCACAGATTATAGAATGAACATTTAATACAAATCCATAAAGTTATGAGACGTTTAAGACCTGATTACATTTACAATATCCTAAATTTTCATTTGTGATATAGAAAATGTATTAAGTTTAAGGACAACAGCCGTAAGCTATGTATAGCGCTACAGCATTAGTGTTTTACTGCAGTGAAGCTAAGAGTCCTTTAAAGGTGATTTGCCCTTTATAGCATTTAAATGGTGGAATAGGCCTTAAACGTAATCCACGTAAACTGTAAAGTTTATTACCTGAATATAAAGCCAAGTTGTGAGCAAAGCCAGACTACTGTATTGTCCGTTAAACCGGTAGTGATAAGCGTAGAAAGCAAAATGATATAAGTAGAAAAATCTGTGAAAAAAAAACACAAACTTGCTCATGGCCCATGGGTAATGGTGTTATGCAAATTGCGCTTAGAATAAAATGAAAATAAATATTCCTTTGAGTACTTCTTTTGTTGGCGAAACCTAACGAGCACTAATTCTCTGCATAAAATTTTTCTTCGCAGAAACTAAATCTCAACAAACAAACACTTTTTCCATACAGTGAGGCATGTATCAAGACATGAATATTATGATTTTTTACAATTAATTCATAAAATTTTTACCTTAACCAAAATCTTTTACTAATTCTTGTGTGACAGCATATTGCTTCAAATTGATCCGCAACCCACACAATAAGAATCACATAAAAACTTGTCGTTGCATCATTGAAAAATTCGGACATTATCGCTTCCATGCCTGGACATAAAAAATACAAGTAATCAGCCCCTATTTCGCTTGAATTTTTAGAGGCAAATGCTAACATGTCAGGGTGTGGGTTGATTTCTTTACGCAGGCAACTGGTGTCAAGTAAAAGAGAGTGTTTTGGCGCTAGACAATTTCTGAAATTTAAGACTGTTACCTCCTTTATATAGTTAATCATTCCGAACCCTTAATTCAGTAGTTCTTGTGCTCAAAATCCAGGGAAAAGTTGACCGCCAAGGGTAAAATACTCAACATATCAAACATGCAGTGAGTATTGTAAAATCTTTTATTACGATGCAAACTATTTATGCTTATCCCATGAATTTAACCATCGCTTCTCGTAAGATGGTACACAATATCGATATCTGTATTATACAGTTAGGACCACTCTCTGCATCATGACTTTTGAGACAAGAAGGGCCACCAGCTTTTCTACTAGAAAATCTGCCCACTTGTCGTCATGGTGAACAAAATTTCAAGTTCAAGTAAAAGCGTAGCGACATATAAGAAGGACTAAACCTTGTATTTTACTTTCTCACAGCAAAAATGCTTTTATTGCTATTTAGTATGATCAATCTGAAGATCTGAACATTCGTCATTTATATGTAAGGCGATACTCCAGCCACGTGAGTGACATTGTAACTGTAGCTAATTCTGTGGTTATTCATGGCACCATGAGCAAACAAAGATCTTGCAAAGTGTAGGATGTCTATCATCTATTGTCTCTTAGAGTCATTTTATGTGATAATATACGCCGTTGAAGTGTTACATATTCTCAGAGATCACTAAGGCACATGTGCTGCGTCACGTGTGTGACTCAAAAATAGAAGTTCGCTACGTTCTTTTAACTTTGATTAGGCAAAGTAATGTACGTGCATGCAATAATCCTAATTTAAACTGAAATAGACAGTAACATTATAACATATTACACTACGTACTACATAGTTTTAAACCTCTGCAACGCAGGCTGTATTTCAGAGAATTGCCCATAAGTAACTATTATGTATATTGCATCCCTAAAAGTACGGTTGGAAATTTTATAAGTGACGTCACCACTTACCGACCAACGAAAGTATTACTGTAAATAATGGAGCAAGGGGGACAGCGATGATTTCGTTTATATCCAACATTTGAAGAAGATTTACTGAAACGAGAAAAAATCCTGTAACTTTTGGGAAAACTCTAGTGAAAACAACAACGCATGGGGTACGCGATCATGACCCATATCAATTCAGCAAATGAAGATTCAAAACTTACCGATAAAAATAAAAATTTGATGATGGCAATACCGCAGCAACATAGATATTGAAATAGTCTATAAAAGAAACACACATAACTATGGATCACTCCTCACGCACACCAGAACGTCCTGGTACCAATAACGCTATATCTAAAGTGGATTTTGCATATCCACCTAAAACTTTGGTTTCCTCTACTTGACAAAATCTACTTGAGATTTCTAAAATATATGCATACACACTAGATCTACATTATTTCAAACTTACAAATGTCAACATGAGAATGAAAGCAATAACATATGAGCTTCTGGCCATCCACGAACTCACAAACCGATAGTGCTCACCAGTGGCTAGATTTCTCAAATAACCTAGCAGAAAAATTGAGCAGGAAAGATGTCAATAAAAAAATCAATTCCATGAAATTTTCTCCAAGGCCATCAACCTTTATTATCTTCAAATTCTGCAAGCCTTTTTATACTCGACATTAAAACATCATCATAACCAAGGAACTCTTTTAACAAAAACCGACTAAATGCATCACCAAAACATTTTTCTTTATCTGGATCTATACAATTGAAGAGTTCATTCATTTGTCAATAAACATTCTATGAATGATTTGTGTAGATCAGAACTTGAATTTACATACTTAACTCCACCAGCATAACAGGAATTTTTAATCTTGTGCGTGTGGTTTGCGAAAGTCTGAGGAATCCAAATTCTAATGAGTACTCCATACAATATTGTTTACCGAAGGATTCTTTACGTAAATCAAAGGAGCAATAAGTTGAGATAATTGGAATTAAATAATAATTGAAATATTGTTGATACAGAAACTTTTTCTAATACATCCTACCTTCAGAAATTGACTCATGTGAATGAAGAAGAGTTTCCCTTAAATGCTTGAAAGGTATTGATGGTTTTTCATCAGGTACAGAATGAAAAAGATCAAGATTGGAGTTATTAACAAAAGTGGAAACATTTTTAAAATGCACTGCTTCAGTTTCCTTGTCAACTGATTCATTAAGGTAAATGTCATTGTCTGTATAATGACTGAATACAGTGTGGCCATTATTTAGGCGAACTGATGAGTTGAGGGAAATTCTAACCCTTAAGATGCCATCACGAGGCCATGTCTTTTGAACACTATCCAAACATTTATTTGGTAGGCTTGTAAAATTGGCATGAATGTAGATGAGGGTAAACAACAGCACTATAGCCTGAAAAATTAAACAATTACACTCAATTAGAAACATCTGCATTACGACTTGTTGGGCATACACTGAAGCAAAAACACGCAGAGAAACAGTAATTCAGCTCAATGTATTCATATCACCTAGTTCAGATGTTAACATACATAACATAGCATAAAAATGATACTAAATTACTTTCGGTTTTACACGACCTAACTTATCAATTGTACATCGGAATCAAATTTAAATTTGAGTAAAACAAACCCACCTTCGTCAATATTCCAAACTCAATTATATTTCTCACTGAAGGCGAAAAGTTTCTCGCATAAATATGAGATAACTTAAAAAATAAAACACGAAACAATCGATCGCGAGCATTAAATAGAGGATTGAGAGCTTCATTAGGCATCCTGTAATATTCTCAAAACCACATTCTCTTTATATAAGTCGTATTCTCCTTAAACTTAAATCTAGTATCGATGTTTTCTTTTTCCAACTGTTCGTAAAACATGAAAAGACGATGTTAAGTACTGAAATATTTGACTTTAAAAAAGAAAACATACGTCAAACGTAGATCTGAGACAAACACCGGCTATTGTCGGTGCTTCTGAAACCTGATTGGCTTGGCAGGATTGCTTTTTAAAAAACAAGGTTGTTGGTTGTTCTAAGAAACAGCCGATTTAATAGCACAGAGAAGTTAAAAGTTAGCCGAATGGTGACTTCATGTTGAGCTGTCAAGTCTTATTTTTGTGCATTGATCCTTGTCACAGTCATATATTGACCGCACAAGTACTTGAGTAATATAATTACAGTATTCCAGTTTTGGCGGATAGAAATTATTAATGTGTAGCAAGTCCATTTAATTTTTATGGAGGAGTGCAAAACCAAAGATCTTTACAGCAGCTTGACTAACGAAGCTAGGGAACTGTATTTACCAGAAAATGTACCAGAATATGAAGGCCCTCCTAAACCGCTAGAGTTTTATCGTAATTGGGTATGTCCAAATATTCCAGTGATTTTCAAGAAGTCAATCGACCACTGGCCTGCTTTGAGCAAATGGACAAAATCGTATCTACGGGAAAAACTTGGAGAGAAAGTAATAAGTGTAGCCGTCACTCCAAACGGTTTAGCAGATGCTGTCACTGAGAACAAATTCATCTTGCCAGAAGAAAGAAAAATATCATTTTCCAAATTTTTAGATGTCATGGAATCACCACACCTGGGTGATCAAGGAATATTTTACATTCAAAAACAAAATGGCAATTTTACTAGTGAATTTTCAGAAATCATCGAAGATGCTGAAACTGAAATAGAATGGGCTACACAAGCATTTGGTAAAGGGCCTGATGTTGCCAATTTTTGGATGGGTGATTGTCGTGCAATAACTTCGTTACATAAAGATCATTATGAAAATTTATACTGTGTTATATGTGGGAAGAAAACATTTACACTTTTCCCACCTACAGATTTACCATACATTCCTCATCAAAGTTACCAAGTAGCTCGTTACAAACAAAATGAATTTAGCAAATTTGATGTAATTGATGAGAACAATAGCAATATTCCTTGGATACCAGTGGATCCATTAAATCCTGACCTTAAATTATACCCTGAATTCGCAAATGCCAAGTCAATAACATGTGTTGTCGAGAAAGGTGACATTCTTTATATCCCTTCTTTATGGTTTCATCATGTCCAACAAACACATGGGGCTATTGCTATAAACTTCTGGTATGACATGCAATATGACATAAAATATAACTACTACAAGTTTCTGGAACTTTTATGTCAAAAATAATTTTTCTTCATTTAGCCTGTATGTAAATATAATTTTATGAAATTAATGATGGTTTCTCTGGAAATTATGCAACATTTCAATCAAACATATGATTGCATATAGTTTGCACAGAAATCAAAGTTATGTTTCCATGCTCATATCTTCAATACTAGTATCAAAATTTTCACTTTCTTGAACATTTCTCTCTTCAACATCAATAGAACTATGTAACTGTTCCTCTGGAACATCTGGCAGGACGGCTAAGGAAAACTGTTCCAATGTTTGGCCAAGCATTTGAACACTAAATGTGTCATCTCTCCTTAAACTTAATGCCTTATGAAAGTAATTGATTGCATCCTCATACTTCCCAAGTAAGCTATACACAAAGCCTATTGATGAAAGTGTTTGGGAATTTTGTGGCACCAACAGCAATGCCTGTTGATGATATTCTAGGGCTTCATCATATTTTCCTTGTTTACGAAGGGCATGACCAAGATTATTTACCAACGGTTCCCATGTATCCAGGACAATGCCTTCACTCAATCCCTCCACAGAATGAAGTGCTTCAAGGAAGCATTTTTCTGCCTTAGCAAAATTACCATTTTTGAAAGCAACTAGACCAAGTTCATGTTTCACAGACGGATCATCAGGAGCAATGGTCAATGCTTGATTAAAAAATCTTTCTGCCAACTTGGAGTTGTTAGTTTTCATGTATTCCATTCCCACATAAAGTAACGGTTGATAGGAACCAGGCATTAATTTAGATGCAGAAAAATAGGCAGCCATTGCATGATCATGTTCACCTTCCACAGCAAAGGAATGACCAAATCCAATCCAAGCTGGTCCAAAGTTGTGATCAATGGTTGTGGCTTTGCTAAAAAATCGTCTGGCCGCCTCATACTTTGAGAGAAGGTAGTAATAGGAAGCAACTGCATACCAGGAAACAGCTTGATGTGGATAATTTTCAACCAGCTTATGAGCAAGGAAGAAAAGATCATTAGATTTCTTGAGCTCCACCATGCAAGAAATGTGCAATGGTAAGCAGGCATTGTGAAGTGAATCTTCTTGTATTATCTGGCTTGTCATTTTATAACATGATTGAAAATCACATTTAGAGAATTGTTTTTGAGCAACACAGAGAGTAACATCCAAGCTATTGCTTAACCTTTCAAATGGAGATGGTGGTTTGACAACTTTTTTGCATTCTTGCATTTTGATTTCGTACAGGTATTTTAGCAATGGAATCTCCTCAGGAAGGCACTGCTCATCAAAAGGCAACAACTTCAGAAAATCAGCTTCTTCATTAGGCATGAGCATAAAATGTGACATCAAGTTGTCAAATGCTTCATAACAGTGAACATCATTTCTTAAGGCTTCTTTATAACAATCACTTGCCATTGGACCATTGTCCATAGCATCATAGACTACCCCCCTTAACAATTGAATAGCGGCGTCAAGTTTCTTGCTGCCCGCGCCAAGTTCCACAGAGAAACTAATTTTTGAACATTTTTCTTCCATTTCAAGGACATCCAAAGCTTCTTGCCACTTTTTGCACTCAGCGTAGCACTTACCAACCAAATAGCGACATGCTAAATTGCTCTCGTGAAGCCCTCTGCTAGTTAAAGCATGCACCGCCCTATCATATTGTTTCGTATAGAACAAGGCTTGACAAAACCAGTACACATCCTGCAGCTCATTGTTCGATAAAGACATAGCTTTCTCAGCCCAAAATAAAGCTGTCGGATACAAGTGTTGATCGATATAACTTCGAACTAAATTTCGAAGCTGAGAAATAGACACTTTCCCACCGGACTCCATGTCTCATTTTGCAACTAGCGAAGTCAAAGCTCAAAGCTGAACAATGTTCGAATCCATGATAACCGTACATATTCCACTAAGTCCCTCCATGTCCCCGCGTTCTTGGTCGCCACCATATGCATGTATGAAATAAATGTGAAGAACTTAATGGTTCTATGGAAAAAATTCAGTAGAAGTTGAAAATCATGATTTTCATCGCACGTGTCAGTAAAACATTTCAAAGTTTTTACGAATACAGAAAAATGAAGGAAACTTCTTCGAATAAATGAATTCAAAGAATGCAGGCAGTGAGACATACATCGTTTGCGATCCTACATTACCCAATTTATCCCTTACCACGAAAGGATATATTGAAAAGTCCATAATGATGCTAAAGTAAATGTTTTGAAAAATGTCGAAAAGTAATCGCCTTTATATCCGCCATTTGTTGTCGTGTTTAAAGTGACTACATTTCGTAACAAAAAACTTAAAAACGTGCATTTTAATTTTGAATTGTTGATTAATTAATTCGCCGAAGAGGTTTGGAACACGCACAAAATAAGAGCAAATAACTTCATATTTACTCAGACAGCTGTACGCTGTGTACCTACTGAATGGAGGGGAGTACTGCTGTGGCTAAACAAAAAGTAAAATTAAAAGGAAATAAAAAGGAAGAGCGAGAAAAAAGTTCAAAAGGGAAGGTTGCGAAAGGAAAAGGTGGTATATCGCTAAGTTGTGTTGTATTTCACTTTTGTTTTTGTTTTGAAAATCATAAATGTTATGTGGAATCTGAAATATGTTATTGTGGACGTGCAGCTAAATGAATTACTAATATCATACTTCCAAAACATTTTAGTTTATACTAGAAACATTAACACAAATTAAACAATATTTTTTCTTGTGAAATAGGCAAGGATGTGGTACTTAATGCTGGCAAATATGAAGGGCAGGGACTTATTTATAAAGCAAAAGTAAGTTGAAAACCAAATCATTGCTTTTAATTGGTTTATGTACATGCCTTCAATAGACACCAGTTTAAGAACGCAAAATTTTGCACTATACAAAGACATTAAGAACTCACACTGAATATGACCTGCTTACACAGTGGGGTATGGAACCATCTAAGCTTGAGGTGGAATTATATTTTTGGGGACTCTAGACTTTGCCAATGCCTAAGATGTTAATTTTGCCTGTACTAACAGCAAAGAAATCTGGCATATTTCATTTCACATATCATTTGCTTCAAAGCTGCGACACGCAAGCAACATTTTAGTTAGTAATCAATTGATTTTTTGACATATAAGTTTCTCCTCACCATTATTCAAACTATATTTTAGTTGTTTGGCTTTGTTGAAGTACCTGGCCCTAGAGGTGATGACACCTGTGTTAATGCAATTCAAAAACTTAAGGTGAATTATATTTTGTATCGTGATGTATCAATAACGGCATATCAGTATCAACAGATCTGCTCTAAAACAGAATTATTGGCAACAGTATTTTTCTTGATCATAATACTGATTTTTAGACATTTCATTGAAATAGAAATATAATTGAAACGAATCATAGCTTAACATTACTATATATATTAACTTAACAATTTTTGTTAAATTAATATTGCTTAAAATTTGTTAGTTCCACACGCCATTAATTTCCATTGACAGTTGTGCTTTTGAAATAAGGCTGCTGTGTAAATAACCACTTTGAATTTTATATTTTTTATCAAATGAACAGTCACTGGTGACGCACAAAGTGGCATACTTTATGATGTTTAAGTTTCATAAAATGGCATAAAATATTGGTTTTTTAATATCGATTAGTCGGTGTATCGGTAAAATCCTAAAATGGTACATCCCTAGTTTTGTAATATACTGATGTACCAATGTTTCAACCAGTGCAATGTGGTGGAAGTCTTCATTATGTGTCAGGAATCTAGCATATGAAAAATATAAATTCACCAATTAGAAAAGTAAGGATTTACCACACAAGGATTTCATGCTATAATTAAAACTCTAGTGTTATTGAAACAAGTTTAGAGTATGGTATTTTGGAAATTTGTCTTGCAATATCTTAACTGTATTGTAATGAATACGACAAACACTTTAATTTAGTTTTGTGGTTATGCAAATCCATGTTACCAAAATTATTTATAATTTTATTTCAGCAACAAGCAAAACAGTTAAAAAAGGGAGCCAATGAGCACAAACTAAAAATAACAGTCAACATAACACTCAAAGGAATAAGATTGTACAATGACAAAACTCTGGTAAATTTCCTATTAAAGAACTTGTACTTAGCATTGTATACATGTCTTCACCGATATGACTGTGTATGCACTGCATATGACAACACGTAACTCAACTTTATCATATTCTTCTTTAATGTGTACAATATAATATTTTCAGGCCCTTGAACATGAGCACCCAATCCACAAAATATCTTTCATTTCACATGATCCAGAGGACAGGCATGTTTTTGGTTACATTTTTTCTCCCCCACGATCTTCCTTGAATGAGGCAAGAAAGTATTGTCTCTTTGCTATCAAGTCAGAAAAATTAGTAAGTTTCTTAAACATCATTTAAAATTTTCATGAATGTCTTTTTCATGTAAAGTTTTTACCTATTTTTCAATTTCTATTCAAACATGGTATTTTCTTCAGGCTGAAGTGATAACTACTCAGTTGTATGAATTGTTTCAAGTTGTTTACAAGATGCGAGAACACAGAAAAAATACCACGAAGGAAAACATGACAAGTAATCAAAAGCAGGATAACAAGTCAGCAAAGCCTTTGGAGCCTTTGCAAAACAAAATGCTTCTTGGTAGGTGCAATGAATGATGTAATCATTTAAATTTAATGTTTGTGATGATAATATTTCTAATGTTTCATGACAGTAATCTTTATGGACATACATTCTTGATCAAAAAACGTCCAGTTGGTCATTTCATCCATGCAAAATTAGTTTTATCTCTCATTCCTACAGACCTCTGATGAAATTTTTCAGACTGTGGAGTTGATGATATTACATTGACCATTTTACGATCATTTTCATTTCCTTTTACCTGTGCAAATACGTAACTTGAATATATACAATGATGACGTATTGAATTGTGTGGTGATTACGTAGTTTTCCTTTTTTATTCGAAAATTTGCAATTACACAGTTTTTTCTTGCAGAAATGTCTAATAAAATTGGTGGAGAGCAGAAGCAAAATCAAGAAGAACATTTATATTCGGTAGGAGCGATATTCTGTCAACAATTTACTTTGTGTGGACATCAAGCTTGCCATTAGCAAGTTAACATCATCGATAAACGTATTTCCCATCCTCTATCACTAGTAGATAAAACTTACTGTGCAGTTTTCTGTAACGTTAATTTACCTATGTAGGAACCAACTTTACCTAGAGAGAGTTCGGAAACATCTCATTATGATGTAAGCAAATGTATCTTGTGTTTGTACCGTACACGTACGTAGAACAACTATTTATGATTAGGTAATACGTAATTCTTGTTGACAACAATGTACGTACTTACGTGTTTATTTTTGCTCAGGTTCCTCGTGCTCCAGGTTCTCACAGGGCAACTGCTGTTGGAAATGACGAATATCAGGTTGTTTGCTGTTGTGAATGTAAATTTTTCATCCTTTTACCATTAGTAGTTATTACTTTAGAAAAGTAATGTTTTTAAAATGAGTGAATTCCAAAATATTTACATAGCATGAACACACTTGCAGGCTGGCAGCTCCACTTTATGCACTCTGTAGGTAATTAGATACAAAAGGCATATTTCTTGGTCCTAGTATGCTTTTGTTTGCTACAGTTGCGTAACAGATTAAGGTCGTGGCTGCAGTAACTGCCCTAATTAATTTATGATGTGAGAAGCTTAGCTACACTGGAGGTTTTAGACGTGCTATGTAAATTTCAAGTATTATTTCGTAATAGTCATTCCTTTAGAAGTCTGTTGTTTTCACAGTATGTGAACACTGAGTAACTTGCGTAGCAGCATAAAATTAGCGGTTCAGTTGCATCATGATTTTGAAAATGAGTTGGACTTTAAAGGCTACAATGCAAGAAATGCCATTCACAATATTGATACGTAAATCAGGCAGTTTTATCGATCATAAGTACGTAAGGGTGCAGATGCAAGGGATGACGTCACATGAATTTCTTAGCTCTGCTTTCAATACAAAAACATAACTCTAAAGGTTTAATTGTTGTCAATTGAGTCTTTATACTTGTGACCACTTTAGGGGGCTTGGATATTCAAGTAAAATTCTCATGCAACCCTCCTCCCCTTCCTACAAGTTCTGTCACCGTATTGTGTTGCTTATTGAACTTCAAAAGGTTGATGCAATGTCTATGGCATGAAAAATTTTTTGGGGGAAACTTTGAAACTTATTTTCTAAAACAAAACTTTTTGCAACCTTCCTCCCCTCCCTACAAGTTCTGTTACTGTAATCTGTGGCTTATTGAACGTCAAAAGGCATGTTTATGGCATGAAACATTTTTTTTTTGGGGGACTTCGAAACTTATTTTCTAAAACAAGACTTTTTTTAATTTTTTTTATTGTAGATTGGTAATATTGTTACTCTCCCTAAATCTGTATTTAATTTCATGCCTAGGTTTCGCAACCTAATGAAGACGGCTTGAGTGAGAAAGAGCGGGAAGATATTGCGACTGCCATTGCTTTGTCGTTGAGCATGCAAGAAAAGTCAGGTCTTCCTGAAGCGGAAACGGACACATTATCTCATGAAAATAACTCAATTAGTGAAAGCGCGTTTCATGCCGAATTTCCGCCTGTCGAAAACGGATTTTCGAGTTCTTATGAATTTAGATCAGAACAGAATGATGATTCAAGTTATTCTATGCATACCGACATTGCTGACTTACCTGACGAGGAGCTAAACCCCAAAACGAACAATGCGCGTGGCAACGTTTCATCCGATTTTGATCTCAAATTGGCCGTTGAGAACAGCAGTGAGACGTCGCCTGCCGAAAACGTTTCGGAAGAAGGCATCTTTAAGAAAACGCAAGAGCCTAATTCCACTGGTAAAGAAATTACCCCAAACAGCAAGGAATATAAGCCTATTGACAGTACGAAAGACAGTGACAATAACCACGGCGATATTGAAAAGAGAAAAGTTTCTGCTGATTCAAGTGTTCACGTCGTGTATTCTTCATTTGAAGTAAATTTCGACACAGAAAATGAGAACGTAATAACAGCAAAGCAGTCTGAGCAAGACACGTTTGCTTTTAGCTCTACTTCAGACGTGTTTTCAAATGAAGATCCTTTCGCATCCTCGAGTGCAAACGAATTCAACGAGGCAAAATTTACCTCATTTTCAGACGATGATCCATTCTCCCCTCGCGGGGGCAGCGCAAGCGTCGAATTTAAATCTGATCCTTTTGGTGGAAGCAGTGATGCATTTGCCAATTCCTTTGATGATATAGCAACAGGTGGCTCTGCGCAGATCCAGCCGCGACATTCTGCAAAAGAGTCTAGCCTCGAGAACGATCCTTCAATGTTTGAAGAAATAAAGGAAAATGCTCCTCAGAATGTTGCGTATGGAAATGATAGTTTTGATTTGGACACAATAAAGTCGTCGGAAGGCGAAGTCGAATATGTTAAAGTTGATCATTCTTTAAAAAATGATTTTGCAATGGTTAATAACTCTTCCGTCGCAGATTTGGACAACTCCGATCCTCCTGACAATACTGCATCCGTGAAAGAGCAAGAAGAAACTCTAGATAATATTGGTAAAGCGCACGCCGTTGCTGATGAAACAAGCTCTTCAGATTCTTCACTAAATAACTCTGATGTTACTGCAAATACCGCAGCTTTAAAGAGTATACTGTCATCAACGACAGAATCTTCACCCCCACCCCTGCCTCCTCGACCTGATGTTCCCCCAAGAGAACTGAATGAAGTTGTAGCAAGTAGTCCTAAAATACCACCTGCTCTTCCGCCAAGACCTTCCATAAATGTACCCTCGCCTAAAGTGGAGACTTCCCAACGCCAGCCTCCTGAACTTCCGCCGAGAATTGACCTGGAAGATGATGCTGTACTAAAGGACGAGCTCTCTGATGGAGAACTAGAACCTAGTGAAAATGAGTTTTCCATAAACACAAGTGAAGATGATACAGAAAATAATTTTGATAAAAATATCGCTGAAGACGAAACTCGAATTGACTTTTTTGATGAATCATTCGGTGAGTCAAAGTTGGAATCATTTTCTCCGGCGGACAACAAATCCGAAGTTTATTCCGAACAAAACACTGATATATCTAGCAAAGTGGACATGTCTTCAACATTTGATACAAATTTTGATGCTTTTGATTTTGATAATGTTGATGTTAATTCCGCTTCACGCAGTGAAACTACGACTCCTGTATTCATCTCCGACGATCCTTTCAAGGACCCTTTTGCTGGCACAGACCCGTTTCAAACCCCTAATACCGGTGACCCATTTGCCTCCTCGCCTTTGTTTGATGAGAATACACTAAAAAGTGGCAAAGATTTTGATCCATTTTCCGGAGATGATCCATTTGCGATGACACCTGCCTTTGACAAGAAAGCGTCGGCTGATGTGTCCATTCAGAAAAGTCGTCTGAATAAAAAACAATCATCTTCCAATGACTTTGGTGATGACGCCGACCAAGAAAAGGTAAATGATATTTTTGTCAGGATGTCAAAATAGTTTAAAGTAGTTTTTCTGATTCCAAAATTTGTCAGTACTGAGTACGCACGTACTTGTTCAAGTCAATCAATTTTCCCCATCATGAGTACAGAATGCACTAGCTCTTGCGACCTTTTTGAAACGAGGAGACGTTGCGGTTGTATTAGTTACCAAAAACGATCAGGGAAAATTTAATGAGATAGATTTTTAATTGTTGTAGAGAAATGCAACAGTCTGGCATGCCTGTGTGTAAGTGTTTCAAGCACGTAATCATGTATTGAACTTTTAAATTTTATTCAGTTTGCAGATTTTTCTTCGTCGTTTCGCTGAAAAGTGCCACCGACATAAAGATGCCGTCAATGCCATGTGGCAAACAAAGTGAATAAATGAAATTTTTGTTAAATTTAGTTCTCTATGATTAGGTTTCATCAAGAATAACGTATTATCTCAACTTATCGAACAGTGGGAACCTTTCCATTTGCAGGCATCTTTTCTTTCTATACCGACTTGCTGCCTTGTTTTATTTTCATGCCTATCGTGATTTATTTGTATATTTTTATGGTTGTATCATACAGTTAATTTAATATATTATACAATGGTCCGTATTTAACTTGAATTTAGTTGAATGATTGCTGTCCCCCTTTTTGAGTATACTTCCCTTCATCTGCAAATCAGTTCCTCGCCTTGTGGTGTTTTTTGTCATTAGTTTTCGATATTTGACTTGTTTTAGAGGGTATTTTCCAAGAGCGATAAAAGTTTTAATAGCATTCAATTTCATAATGATTCCTCAAGAATCATGCTGTTTTTGCGTGTCGACAAGCGTGACGTTCTCACTTAGACCATTCTGAGGTGTCTTCGGAACAGTTTACCGCAATGTTTCATATGAAAAAAGAGATCATCTTATAATTGTTAGGATTTCGACATTACTAAACATTACTGCATTATTGAACTACTTTCCTAAGTTGGTTGGGGTTGTTTTTTGTAATTTCACGTTTTATAAATTTTGAAATTTAAATTAAAATATTTCCCTTATTTCCATATGGGTATTTCCCCCTGGGTAATTGATGTTGGCCGCGCAATGGGCGGAAGTAGCCTGGATAAGAAAAGCGGGACTCATTGAAATATGACGTCAAAATTGTGTGCATTATAAACCGTGGTGTCGACGAGAGTTGATCGTCATGTCTTGGTACAGCTTGCATGGCATGAGAAAGGACTCCGAACGCCAAATTTCGGGTCTTAATGCAGCACTCGCCACAAGAAATCAAAACAAAACTAGGCGAAGCAGTCGACCCAGACGGAAATGTACGTGATTTGGATTTTTGATGTATTTTTTAAAGCGTAATATTATAAAATCTGTTCTGAAAATTTTGACTCCTCTTTTAGGTTTTAAATATGGCGACCCTGATTGAGGTTGTTGGACTTCTTGAGCGCACCCCTCTAACGAAAGAAGCCTTAGAGGTATATTATTTCTTCTATGACGATATCAGAATTGTTCTAGGATTACTGATGTATTCTGTTCTATTTCATTACATTTATTCTCCTTAAGTTTGTTTTGGACATGTACACATTTGACTGATTGATAGATTTCATATTGTATCTACACATTGTTTTCTCTAATGTCATGGGTTACATGGATTGAACATTATGATGTTTACTTTCTTTAATAATTTCTATAATTTACATGAAAAGTCAGTACAGCGAAATGCAACCTAAGATTTAATTTAGGAAAAAGCATGCTCTGTTAATGTTCTTAACCCTACTAAGTGAAAGTGTCCATCCTTACTGTACTTCAGTTCTATTTGCATTCTAATCACCATACTCTTTTGATATTTTATAAGCAAACAAGAATAGGTCGAACTGTTAATTTACTGAGAAAGAAAACTAATAATGAAGACATAGCAAGAAGAGCCAAACGACTGGTTAAAAAATGGCAAAAATTGGTTCAAAATCACATGGAAGCAGCAAGGACTACCAACTCACCACTGAATGGAATGAGATCAAACTCTCCTGTTGCTAATGGCATTAACAAGAGTGAGGAACAAGTTAACTCACCAGCATGTGAAGTTGAACAGATTGATTCAAAGACTAAAGGGACAAAACGCAAAAGACCAAGCGTTGATAGTCCTCCATTACAAAGTAAGGTCAAATCAAGGGATAAGACTAATCTTATAGCAGTGAAAAATGACCAAATCACTGATTTGAATGATGAGTTATCAGACAAATGTTCACAAGATGTAGAGAATAACCATGGGGAAGCACAGAATTATTCCAAACCATCGTCATGTCTGGAACCTGATTCTAAGAAACATATTAAAACTGATAATAATGGTGATTGCAGTAATCATTTCTCTCCTGTTGAGTGTAATACAAAAAGCAATGATGAAAACATTAGAAACAAAACAGAGATGACACCCCTTTAGTAATGAATAATGTGGATCATACCGATGTTAGGTGGGAAGGAAAAGATGTTGGTGTACAAACTGATGAAATCAATGAGCGAGATTATCAAAATCATGCACTCGTTAATTCAAGTTCATTGTTGAATGTTGATACAGAGGCAAATGGGATTAATGGTAGATATGGGGAAGATGGCACATGGCATCCTTGGAGTGAAACAATGTCTTATAATGAAGGCAATTTAATCATTTTACCTTATGTACTCCTAGAGTAAATGCATCTTGAATTGTCAGTTCTGTTCACTGTGTCTAGACATGTCTAAATGCAACTTATTTTCCTATGGAATTTTTAAAGTTGAACTGTGGTGCCAAGCTACATGCTGCTTCATTGTTCAGTTCCTGCAGTTGTATGTCAATGCTTACATGGCGCAATCCCTCTTTTCAAGACTACATTAGATTTTAATCATTAATTGGAATAAACTAATGAATGAGACCAAAAGAAAACGATGAGATTTTAGAGAGAAATTTTGTGACGAAAAGGTTAATTTGAATTCATTCACCAATTTTCCCACCACAAAACCATTTCTTGTTACAACAAGAATGACTAACTCAACTATATGTGTACAGTTAAAACCATTTACGACGGATTAGAGTAACAAACGGTTGTTATAAAAAATACATGAGATACAATAGAATCTATTGAACTATTAATTTGTGTTTGTGTTCAGTATTGTTAAATAATGATCTCCTGCAGTATTGTGAGAAGATCATGTGTCATTCGTGTATTTATACGAAGTCGATAAAGCACGCGTTTAAAAGACATTCGTTCTTTAGCTGAGTTGTTCAAGTAGAACGTCTTTTTCTTTTGCCAATGTTAAAAAAAATAGTTTAATCTATTTTCGGTAAGTATTTAGAAGAAACATTTGTAGCTTTTGAGTGTATTAAAGACAAGGAAGTTTTGTTTCTTAGGAAAAGTAAGCTCCAAAGCCTTGAAAAGTGAAAATGAAATGAATACCCTACAAATACAACCTTCTGCAACAGTATTCCGGCGAGTTGTGGGAAAGTGTGCCAAACAAATCTTGTCTTGTTTGTGTTTGCTTTGAATTCATTTCTAAAATTGCACTCTGCCAAAAAAAGTTGAAAGTTCTCAATTTTTTTGGAATAAGTGTATCTAATCTCTTCATATGTCAGCTACGTTTCCAAGCAATTGAATAAACTATGTGTGTGCATGGCAAAGTGGTAGTTAATTTTTTTATCTACTAATTTCACCGTGAAACGAGGCTAATCTATAAAATCACAATGTCTGTTGTACTACATAATTGTTTTCACTGCATCCAAGGATTAATTACTATTCAGTGTCCTATCGCATTAACGCACCTCGATACACAGCCCTTGATCTTCATAATCTTTTCAGTGCTTGCACAACTAATAGTGAAGAAAGCCCACCAAATTAATGTAAATACAAGTTGATTGGTTGTATAAGTGAATAAAAAGACGAATTAAGTTTCGTATGACGTCATGACACCATGTGACATGTTTGAAATTAAGCAGTTGTGCATTTGACTATGGCGAAATTCATTATATTTCAAATTTAAAATATGCTGAAAACACTTTTATTTATAAACTCATATCACTTGGTGAATTATGAGTGTCTGTGATACTTCTACCTAAATGGAGAGGAATATTAATCTTTGTTCAATTGCAAGAGATCTAACAATGGAGTAAGTAGTTGTGCTTGTTATTTTGTTAGGATGGTCGACGTTCTCGCCCGCATCGATTATATTGAAGATGTTTTCCTAGAGTTTCTGCATCATTGATACCTAAAACCTAAGCACGTGTTTATTAAAAGAACAAGTAACAAGTCTATCGGTGTAAGCCTTAAACTGTACTTGTGCTTAATGATGAATTTCGTAAATACGTTAATCCTGATAAGTAACGCCTTCTTAGCTCGCTGTTCTTGTTTGCTGCGTTCATAAAGATTTAATTTTCAACAATCATCACTCAACTCTGCTTTTGCGATTGCCTTCAATTTGAAATTACTGATAAACAAGCAAACAATTGTAAACTGCATGGCTGTGCATGCGATTATGATAGCTGCAAAATGGACGAGAGTTCGATATTATTTTAGCTTTAAAAAACTCTTGTCTTCGCCATCATGTCCACAGGTGGGGCAACATGAATTCTCAGTAAATGACAACATTTGAAATGCCACGAGCAAAGACTCAAGAAGAACAAAGTAGGAATTCTGTGTGCAAGCATGCTCTGAAGATAATACAGATACGTATATGAATTGACCTGAGTTCCAAGCACATTGTTGAATGCAAAGACGGACCTTAAAAAATTGACAAGTGCGACAGATATCTCTTCAAAATTTAACACAGTGTTTCGGATCACTCTTCAAATCTTTGACATATTTTTGCTCGTCCCATGGACTAAATGATATTTCAAATGGCCACATACAAATTTGCATAAAATGATACTTCTCTTTGTTGCTATATATTTGACATTCTACCTACGTGTACGCCAACGTACCTATTTTTAATCATTTTCAACAATTTCACTTGTTTTTACACAATTGCAATTACGCAGTGAGCTATTGAGAGCAGCGGACGTTATTTTTCTGCTGGATACACAGTATTTATTATCATAACCAACGAGAATGTTATCAACCAATCAACAATAAACATTCACGAAAGCATACAGCTTTTAAAAGTTTCAAGTTTTATGGTTCATGCTGTCAGTTTATATGAGAAAGTAAATCAATTTGTGAAATTTTGACATCGCCTACAAACAGCAAATATATAATTGCGAAAAACTGATTTCAACAATCAAAAATATGCATGCTAGGGGATCATTTGGATCAAAATTTCACAAGTTGCATGTCTTCGTAGACGTCGAATCGTATAATATTTCTTCCAATCATATTTCAGAGAATAACACGGCCCCTTAAATAATTGCAGAGAGCTGTCAATTAACTAGTGCGGCGGCCTCACTCTTCAGGATCAAGTTGGCATGAATTGCATTTCACTTTCCTACATCGTTTTCATCAATATTATTACAATTTTTAACTGAAAGTTGGTGAGAAATAGCTCAAGCAAAGCACCATGTCAATGCTAAAGAAGCCATAAGTCAGAGGTAACGTATTAATCGCTAGTTGACGTACATTTTTATTTATTTTCTCTGGTTATTTTGTGTAAAGACTGTTCGCCAAATACTGAATCTAGTTACGGTCTGCTCGTCGTTAGACCTTGTCCTAAGGTTTGAAATGACACGAAGGTTTGAAATGACGATCATTAAAACTGACGATGGTAAGGGCAAGAAAAAAACATCTATAAAAATAGTCTTTTCACGATACTCTTGAATGGAGAAAATTGATTAAGGACATGCGCGTCATGACCCAAATTTACCACATGTCAATGGATGCCATTGGATATACTTTATTCCTCTTGTTTTTCATGGTATAGTATTTGTTGCTTAAAGTGCGATGAGCAAGCTTTTGCCTTTAGAGTTCTACAATTGCTGTGTTGCCGTCGAAGGCATATTTTCAAAGCACGTTATAAACTAAAGCCTAAAACTGATTTGTAATGAAAGACAATAAATGCTGTTCTGTCGAAGCACTTGAAATGTTTTCATCTCCCTCACATACCTCTCGCTTGTCTGAGTGGTACAGATGACGGTTTAGTGATTACTCCTTCTCGGGTTCGAGAACGCTTCGTTCTCTTTAGCTTTTTAGAGTCAATAATACGTAAATAACTAAGGCTAAAGTCATGGCCAATGTAATTGCACCTTCTAAGGTTCAAGCCCACCTTGTATATTTCTACTTCAAAGTTAAAAAAAGGGCAGGAAACTGTTAGTATACGTTGTTGAGCTTCTGGCTCAACAGGCTCTGTCTGACCTCCAATGCACGAGGTCCTTGGTTCGTCCCGGTGTCGTCGTCAGTTCGGGTTGTAGATTGAGGATTGAGTGCAAGGTTGAGGTTAGGAGGGGATGTGAAAGGGCGTTCGGTTTGCCCTCTGTTTCCTGACTATTAAAAAATGTTTCCTTCGGGAAGTCATAGAAAAATTTGATCAAAAGACTTAGTTTTTTAGGGCAAAATTTTTGCAACAGACCCCTTTTCCTTTTTTTTATTTGCGATTTTTTTCTGAAAATATACATGTCGCATTACATACTCGAAAAACCAACAATAGAATTACCATTTGTACACTTCATGTACACTATTATCTGCCCTTACTTTGCTCTTGATATTCACAGTACTCGTTCATTGCTAGTCATATGCTCAACACACCAAGCCCAACAGCAACCGACTGACCCTCGAAGGATTCGAGCCCCACAACACAACCTGAGAAACCTCACTCTACACACTCGACCAGTGAGTGCGTTGAAAACAGTTGGAAAATTAAGTCTATTTACGATAAAAGATCTTGAAGTATAATACAAAAAATTATTTTGTTAAGTGACAATAAAGAAAACAAACCACACATTTGTAGCATAAACTTTCAAACCATTGACATTTTCACAGCAACACTAGAAATAAATCGAAAAGCATTTCGTTGTAGAACACAGTCATTTAGTGTCAAACTGGCCACACGACGGCAATACATTAATATAGTTTCTAACAATGGGATCTATTCTCTCGTGAGACGTCGAAGAAAGTATGTCTGCATAATTTTGTTCTCTGTGCAATATCTCATCAAGGGTAGCCAGTACAGGTTTGTATCAGCAAACTTTACGATACGTTTTGAGAATACAATATATCACTCAACACAGGATGTAGATAGAAACTGTATTTTTCGACTTTATTACAAAGCCATTCGTCGAACAGACGTTGACCATTTTGGCATAGCAATGCTTGAATATCTGGGTAGATAGGTCAAGTACACAAACGATTACATTTCTTCTTTTTTGACAGGATATTTTACGGTAGTCTTTATCCCTTGCACACGGCTATGGCTTCTCGATGTTCAAATATTATATTCATATTCTTCTCTAAATACTTTCCATGCAAAGAAATTAACTGTTATTGAATATATTCATACAGTCATGACGGTGTTTTACAATAACTGGTCGATGTGATAACTTCAACATAAACAGCATCCCTTTCACATGCTTAAATATGGTGCGATATATCCAGTAATTAATAGCTTTCTTGGTGGAAGTCGTTGTAACTCTTCATTGATAGCTTGCAGTGTATAGTGGAATTTCGTTGAGAATCACTTCCAAACTTGACATAATAGTCATCCTACATGTACCCTCTCTTAAAAATCGGTAAATCTTTCGGCTTGCTTTCGACCGGTTCATCGCCCAAGTTATCGTCAGTTTTCCAGTAATGTTGAAAGCGTCAATCAATTATTTCTCTTCTTGTGTACTTCCATTTCTCACTCTCTCAGCCATTGCACTTGCTGTTGTCCGTTAATTCACAAGTCTGAATTCAGCGGTACTTTTATAAGCTTTGTTGATAATTATTAGACATAAACTTGTGCTTGGTTTACACGTGTCTGATCACTTAAACGATAATACTTTTATTTCTTCTACCTTAGAGGTTTACAAAGACAAAGAATTTGGGATTTTTATTCAAATTTTTTTTGTTCTTTTTTTAAATCATTTATTAATCTTTTCCTTATGCTTGCGCTTGTATAAATGACTATTTCACATGCTTCGTTGATTGCCTTTGTTTCATTCTTTGTTATAGTTTTTGTATTTCACTCGTGTGAACCAGGCTTAACACGTAAGACATTGGTGTATCTTTATGTCCACCTTTATATTTACCTTTTTGTCTACCTTTATGTCTATTTTTACGTCTACCTTTATGTCTACCTTTATGTCTAACTTTATGTCTATTTTTATGTCTACTTTTATGTTCACCTTTGTGTCTACCTTTATGTGTACCTTTATGTGTACCTTTATGTGTACCTTTATGTGTACCTTTGTGTCTACCTTTATGTCTAGCTTTATGTCTACCTTTATGTCTAGTTTTATGTCTACCTTTATGGTACCTTTGTGTCTACTTTTATGTGTACCTTTATGTGTACCTTTGCGTCTATCTTTATGTCTATCTTTATGTCTACCTTTGTGTCTACCTTTATGTCAACCTTTGTGTCTACCTTTATGTTTACGTTTATGTCTACCTTTGTGTCTATCTTTATGTCTACCTTTGTGTAACACGAAAAAAAGCGTTTCCAGAACCTAGAAGCCCCGTCTTTTTGGGATGTGCTCTCCAGTATGAACAAAGTATTTATATTAAAAATGCCCAAACAGAGGTATTGATGATAACTCTGTATGGGAAATACTTTTGACGAGTAAGTTTATTAGTATTTTTAAAATATGGTTGCTAACAAGATTCTTAGTATTTCTTTTAGTTTTCTTAGCTTAAACTAAATATAAGCGTATATAGCTTATTGAGCTCAACTTTCGAATAAAACTGCAATATTCAACAATAAAAGTTTTTCGTTGATGCTATAAACAGCATGAAAATATTATGATTAAAATTAAAAAATAAATTTATAATTCTTGAGAAAAATTTCAGGTTTGTTTTTCCTTCAAATGATATAACCCACAATGAGATAAAACCCATCACGTGATAAAACCCCCACGAGATAAAACCCACCACGAGATAACACCCATCACGTGATAAAATCAAACTCGTAACACAGTAGCAACCATTGAGTTCTATAATAACTGGAGCGGCTATCTTTACTGGGGCGAGGTCGCCAAAAAAATGGCGGCCAACGGACGTATTTCCGCTGAAATGATCGCTTTGCAGAAAAATAATATTCTCGACCTCCCCCTGGTGTCTATAGTAAATTATAAAGAATTTTTCAAAAACAAACACGATATCACAGAATATGGATATCGTTAGTTCCATATTCTGTGACGATTCTTTTTTTGGCATTTCTTTTATAATGCCAACACTTCAATCGTTCAATTGTTGGATGTCGTAGTTTCCACAAAAAGGTACATATCGCTTCCCACAGGTGAGGTAGTTGTTTGTTTTGTTAGTCCGTCAACGATTGAAAAGCAATTATACATGCACTTGAAAAGCCATAAAATACATATTAAAGATCGTATTTTTTAAGACTGACTTGAACGCCAAATATACTGATGTTTTCCTGTTTTTGTCTATAAATTTCTGCATACTTTTCTGTCATTTGTTAATGCATGAAATCGTAAATTTACCTATCTATTTGCAAAATAGTTTCCCTAAAGCAAAAGACCCTGCACACATTTTGCTCTGTGAAAAGTATCAAGAAGAAATGATCAGCCCCAACAGTACCCATGATTTGGAGCAGAGCTTGTTATGTTGTATTTGCTGACAACATGCAGGGAAGACCAAGAAGTAAAGATGACTGGAATATGTTATAGATCAGGCAGAGTCTTAAAAATGATAATGCTGTAAAGATAATTGATTTATTGTCTGCCTTATCCAGAGTTATTTAATTTGATCATGGTCAAATTCTATGGATGGAGACAATGGATTCACTAATGATGCCTTGAATGCTTTGAAGTTGAAGTTCATGAACCAAAAAGATGGCAAGAAGGTTGTGTGTTTTGATGCTTAATTAAATGTCAATTCACAACATATAAAATGGAAAGGCCATAAAGTTTGTGTCTATGTAAACATTTGTACTGAGATTGATGATGACTTGATGCAGATGTGAAGCATTAAACTGAATAAGCCATTGGGTTTTATATAACATAATGTTTAAATCATGGCATATCTTTATCAAAATATTTTAGTTGAGTGTTGTTTAAATGTTACTAATATCTAATGCACTATACTGAAGCATTAAAGATTCAGTGATGAAACCTTTAAATTTACTGTACTGTATATTTCTTATATATTTCTTATATTTCTTTAAGAAACAGTTTGAGCTTATTTACCTATTAGAGTACAGAATGGGATTTATCATATGCATCATTGCTGCTTTTTTAAATAAATGTTTTTCACTTTTCAAAGCTTTTCTACAAATATTTTGCTTCTTATTTCTTTTCATGAGATTGATGATATAGAGGTAATATAATCCAATAACTTTATAATTTCTAGAAAGCTGTTAAGCTTCTAGCATAAAAGTACACTATAGGTATTTAATTCATTTGGTTTTATTGCCTTGTTATGACATATCCATATGCATTTCATCATTCATGTATGAAGAAAACACCAAATGTGGATACTCAGAGAACAAAATGCACTACCAACTGCTTATGAAATTTATTATTGAAGTGAAAACTGTTTTAATCATTCAAATTGTGCACTTATATTGAAAATATAGGAAAAACAAAACAAAGTGAAAAATAAGGGTAGAAGTATTAAAACTAAAATGAATTATAAACACCATTGGAAGCATAAGTGTTTTGATGATTATTTGCATTTTGCCCAATTTATATATCAATACAACAAAATCAAAATGTGCTACAACTTTACAAGTATTTGATGCAGTTGCACTTCAGAACATCACAAAAGGTTACTTAAAGTAATTTCTATACAATATTGTTTGTTTTCATTTACCAAACCTATGCAGACTTGAGTCTTTTGAAATTTAATATGAAACTCAATTACAGAAAATACGTAAATATCCAGAGATTTAATATTTACTTTTTTAAAGAAACAAGTAAAAAGAAGCAAAATAGCAATGATAAAAATAAGCTAACTTCTCTCTCGTGAACCACTGTGGAGATGAACTATGATATACTTTTTGTATAGACTAAAGAGTTTAATCGATCAAACAAGTTTGACGCTGGTAAGAAAACGACGCATATCTGCATTCATAGATGTGTAGCCGACATATAGCTCTTTCATCGATAGTTATAAATACATCCTCGTAGGAGCCGATAACTGGAAAGCTATGTTGACTCGCTGTTACGAATTGTAGGTTTTTATCGTGATTTTCATCAAAAATTGCTTGCCGAATCCCAAATACACACATTTTCTTCTCTTTCCTCAGGAGGGAGTGGGAAATTGTGAAATTTTCGGAAAAGCGGTCAATTTCGGTAAATCTCAGCGGCAACGGACGAAATCCGCCATTTTTTTGGCGTCACCAGATATCTAAGGCCGCGCTTGAGATAGCCGCTCCAGTTATTATAGAACTCAATGGTAGCAACTGGTAGCAACCAGTTACGGTTGTTAATCACTGCACAATTGTTACATGAATCGTCATGAATGTTGATGTAATAAACGTTGTGATCAACAGTGCTCTAATGCCGATGTTTCATTTTCTTCTTATCACGTCTTCTGTGCTTCTTCTTCTTGCTAATGAAGTCAAAGGAACCCATCATGTTACATTATGTTTTTTTCAAGTAATATTATTTTAGAAAAATAACTTGGAATAAAATCATGGGTAAATATGTACATACCTTTCCTTTTTGCGCTTCTTGTGTTGTTTTTGAAACTTCCGTTTTTTCCTTTCTTTTTCATCTGAATCAGAAGCTAAAATAAACGATGTTGAAATTGTTACACTTATTCAATGCATACAATAAATGAACTTCAAACTCTTGTATAAAGAAATTCAGATTGGAAAAAAACTTTCCTAGGCTTCAATTCTTACATGATGCATCGCTAGAGGAACTTTTTCGTCTTCTGAAATAGAAAAGAAACAGATTTCACAATCTTGAATTTCCAACCCTATTTCAAACGCATTTGTTTTTACAACAATTAGTTCATCATCTGAATGTACCTTTTTCGCTCGGGTGTTACTGAGGATTTCTGTTGACGTGGCATATTTCGGTCTTGCAAGGCTTGCTTCAGAGAGCGAGATCTAGCCTTTAATCTAAACAATGTAAGAGACAGTTACAAATATTGTGCTGACAAGTTGCATGGATTTTATTTTTTCACTTGCTATATTGAAATAACACCAGGTTTGAGGTTGGTCAACAGCAAGGCATGCAATGATGGGGAGGGGTTGGGGTAATGGTTGTGGAAGGAGGTTGGGGTGGCGGTTATGGTAGGGTTTGTGGGGGGTATAACACATCCCGAAACTATACTTGTAAAATGTCATTTATTGACAAATTAACTTACACCAAACATAAATAATTTTCATTTTTAATCACACCCATTTTTTCTTAACATTCATTTTCACCCCCTTTTCTACACACTAAGCTCTTCATAATAGCACTAACAAGTTATCTACAAACCTATCAGAGTCACTGGAACTACTATATGGGTGTCGCTTTTGTTAGTCTGTTTAAAATATTTATCCCTTCTTCCTAAAAAAGAAAAATACTGAAAATTCATTTCTTTGACACTTAAAGAGGATAATTATAAATGTAGATCAGGTCAAAGAGGAGGAAGATTAGTAAAAATGACCAGTTGCAATCAAAGAAATTACTCTTTCTTAAACTTAAACAAATGTAATATCACTACAAGGCAACAAGTTGTATGACCACAAATATAACTGATTTTTAGAATGAAAACAGGCAAATGGCATTTGCCATAAGCATTTAAACTAAATCTAGCTCACTTTTGGATGGAGAAGACAAGCTTTCACTGTCACTTTCTTCACTTGAAGTACTGCTAACATCAACCACAACATCATGCTCCGAATCAATCTTCAAAATATTGCGACATTGAAATGTCAAATGTCCACCTTTAAAAGATAAATAATCATAGCCAATAACTTATTTAGCAAATAATAATAAAGATAAAAAGTTCTAATGTTCTGGTAATAGTTGTTTGGATTAAATATGTACAGCACAAGTTTAAGAAAAGTTTTTAACATAAACTGAAGATGGATACATACTGTAGCCACATTTCTTGCATCCAGCTTTAAAACTACTTTCTTCCCTTTGGGTTAACCGTCCAATAAGTCCTCCAGGAACAATACAATCAGACGTCAAATGTTTTCGTCAGATGGACTAAAATGTCTTATTTAAATTACCTTCAATATCAGCCTGATTTTGCATCACATCAATGTAAAAAGTCCAAATTGCCTTTTCTATCGTGATACAACACAATAAATAAATAATAATTGGGAAATACAAATATGAAATGTTTGTTAAGCAGCGTACTTCATGTAGTATTATAATAAAATTTGATAAAGTTTTAAAAAAATGAGCCTGCGCTCTTTTGTAAAAGTAACCAAAATACAATCATTTTCCACTTGGCCTTCCAAGAACGGCTAGACGCACTCTTGCAAAGGTTTCCTTTATACCTAAATAATTTTCACCCAGCTGGTGATAAATATCAGAGATCCCTCCCTTCTTGCTACACATTTATCCAGGGATGTTTTCAGTTTCCACCTCTCAAATATCTGAGCGGATGAATGAAAACGCATCCAGTTTAACAATTTCGCGTCAACGCTAAAAATATTTACAAGGAGTATGTTAAGCTCCTGTGAATTTTCCACACTCCTGCATATGACCAATAAAATGATGATTGATGATACTATGTGCAGAAAATGATTCACAGTCACGAAATATTATACAAAATACGACAGTTAGAACGCACAAGCATGCAATATTAACAACTAGGTCCGTTTTAAAGAAAGATAGAGTTTTCCTTTGATCATTTTTTGTTCTGGAACGATTTTCTTTAAGATGGCAGCTATCTGCTGTACTGTCGTCCCACTGGACAAGCCAGTTTTCTTGGTCTTAAATTTCTTCAGTAAGTCCTTGGTGGTCATTGGTTTGTGCGAAAGATAGCGGCGGACTGCCTCCTCTGTAATTCCAGACTCAGCGGCTCCTCGGGATGACGGTCTCTCAGGTTCATTCAAAACACGTGATGACAAAGAGCTGCCACTAGCTGCGCGAGATATCGGACTATCAGTATCTTTACGAGCTTTTTTGCTTGGAGTTTCGTCTCCGGGAGAGTTCTTCGTGCGCTTCTTTCCTGAAGGTGAAAGTTTGTCAACATGTAATGGTGAAAATGCTAATGTAGCTAACATACAACTTCAAAAAATTCATTCCTAGCGAACATAACATAATAATTTGTCGAAACATGTTAACATGTGAAACGAACCAGTTTGACATAACAGATGCAAGTCTTTTGGCATTGTTCAAGCTCAAAAACCAATCTTAGGCAGGCCGTAAACCGAGCGCAGAAAGACTGACTGTTATAACAACATTATAAACCTTGCCAAAAAATTTGGATACAATTTAAACATGTCAAGAGACAAAATTTAAACGTCCTTCTTTACCTGATGGGTTAATATCCTTCAACTTGTTAGCAGCATCTGCAATGGTCTTGTCAGCAGATTCAACACCTTTAACTGGTGTACCAGATCTGCTACTTGATGATGTGCTAGATGCACTTTCAACCTTTTTACCTTTCTTCTTTTGCCCTATAACAGATCGTATGTTTAAAGCACTTTGTAATGTAAATATTTAACACAAATCACAGCGGCTTTAGATATTGAATACACGAAAAGCATACAGAGACCGACACATGTAAAAGGAGCAGTCGAAAACTTTGCAGGTATTACAACACACGTGATTAAACAAGAACTCACCTTGTAGTAATACAGCAGACTTTGTTGGATCTTCATCACTATCCATATCATCTTCATCATCTTCTGAACTATCATCATTCTGCTTCAGCATACCTTTCAATACCAAACCTCCCTTGCTTAATCTATCCTCTTCGAGCTCACTGTCGTCTTCGCTATCTGGATTAAGTTGAGCATTTAGATCATCTTCAGCCTTTGGTTTCCCATCATCTTCTATTTTGATTTCATCGTCTATGTCGGATATATGAGTCAAATTACTAATCGTCAAATCTTTAAACGACTGAATCCCACAATCAACAAAACCCACCGGAAGACATATTTTCAGAATAATCGTGCTCTTTTGAGTCTTCGTAGCCATCTTCCATTTCATCAAAGTCGCTACCACCATCATCTTTCTCTGATTTTCTGGTCTTTCCCAACTTTTTCTTAGCTTTCTTGAACTTTTCTGAAAAACCATAAAAAATTTCATCACATCCATGCAAAACATTAGCCATTACACACAAGTTTAGTTAAGACCGATATCATTTATAATATTGCTAAGGTAAGGAAGTGAATATCGACGGCTACAACGTACCCATGTACACTCGTCAAAAATACCTTCATCCATATGTTCCTGGTCATCTTCTTCACCTTCATCATCCGATACATCGAGTAGATCATCGTCATTATAGATTTGCTAGTTGAAAATGAAAAAAGTGATGAAAGAAAACAAAAGTGGAAAAGTAAAAGTACGGTACCACCATGGCTGTATGCCTCGAACTCTAACATCTATAAAAAAAATTAATGATACGCTCATAGGGAATTGTGCTAAATTATGAAAATCCTTTTCAACTTTTTGCAAAATTGTCATAACTTGGTAGTTCTAAATATCTAAGAAGTTTGTTTGTCATACGAAATTTCTCTTATAAGCTGAATAAAGTATGTTTTTCCACATAAAACGTTGAACATTACAGTAAGCAACAATCAAATCCACTACACATTACCCAAGATTAAATGATTGTGCACTTACCAGCTTATCAACTTTCGACTTCACTTTAGGAATAACAATTTCTTCATCTTTTTCCTCTGCATCGGTTAGTCTTTTCTTTACCATGAGCGAGAAATAGTTGATGGTTCTGTTTCTCAATGAAAATTCCTCCTCCGCTTCGTCTGCTGTAAGCGTTCTATAGTTGATGACCGGAGTGAACCTGTACTGTGAGTCGACTGGGTGGGCTTCGAACGATCCATCATCAGCCTGAGTGAATATGTAATAAGCAGCGTTCTGAACCATTGTAGCTTCTTTTACGCCTTTGTACCTAAATATTTCAAAACAACGAAAGCTTTTGACTTTTGTTGAGGCAATTATTGTCCACAGTTTTTTTGTATAACATTGCGACGAACAAAATTCATCTTAGTGAAGAGTTGTTACCATTTGACGAATGCAAAAGTAATGAAAACATGACCATGGATTAAAAATAGTTTATGTGCACTTAGCCTCTGTCCAATCAAAAAGAGCTAAATGGATGACATCATAAACTTGTAAAAGTTGACAACTAAGAACAGTTAAGACTTACATCTTGCCACCTTTACCACCAATCTTCAAAAGCCATGGCAAATCCTCATCCTTGACTTTTTTTTTGGAGTAGCCTCGTTTCTTTCTTAGTGCCTCCAATCTTTGTTCCCGTCCATATTCACTTCCAGCTCCAAACTTTGGCATTTCCTCTTCTTTCAATTCAACTGTGTTTCTCTCGCGCATCAGATGGGCCTGGATAGTTATGAAAAGCACAATGTTATTTCAGTTGTTTGCTGTAAACATCTATGATGGAAACTGGTAAGTTAGTAAGTAGTTTACACCTTGGTTATAGTGGATAAATCAACTTTTGTGTTGAACTTCATTATGGAATGCCTTTTGCTCGCATCTCTGAATTCAAAAGAAGACATACCTTTGGAAAATGAATAATTCAAAATATGTTTGATTATAATGATAATACTAATGCTTGTTCTCATACAAAATCCCATGAAGAGACACATCCAAGAAATGAAAGTATAAATGCTTCATATAGGGTCATAAATTCTACCTCAGGCAACTCATCATTAAACTGACATAAAAAATTTAATTGCCGAAATTAAAGACATTGAGATAATGTGTATAATGACAGCAATTTAGTAATTGCTTACCTTTATGACAGCCCCGTAGATGAACGTGGTTAGGCAAAATAAATTGTAATGATAATTTTAAATTTAAAATATGTTTATAACAATGTCATTTGTAATGAATTTCAAAATATTTTGCAATATATTTTGCCTAATGTTGTCAGAGAAGTAAAACAATGAAATTTTCTTCATGTTTTAAGAGTGTGGATTATCAAACAGACTTTTTCAATTTAAATTATAATACTACTCTACCACAAGTCCAACCTTGAAATTTGAACAAATGCACAATTGTGTACATGCTTTATGACAATTAAGCATTCACAAGAGTGAAATACTTTGCAAGGGACAAACTATATAACTTGGTACAAGACCTCTAAAGAAAAGGGTTGGTTTTTCTAAACTACGTACTTGAAAACTTTCACCATAAATGAGTTATAATTATCAGCATTAAAAGGAGCAAATGCTTTATTTCCATTCGCTGAAGAAGCTTTGATCTGAAATACAAATTAGTGGTAACAAACATCTCACACCACATAAAGAGGGGTATATCAAGAGGAAGTTGTATATTGCTATCAATCAAAGCTATCTTGTTACATACTGACGATTTTCTTATCTCTTATCAGTATATTCAGCATAATAATAAAAAATTGCTTAAGAAAATGTAAATCTTTCATTCTGTATGAATATAATTGACTGTTTGAGTAATCAATCAACGACAAAAGACAATTAGTAAATTACAACGGAAATGGGAAAGTTGAAAATATTGAAGTTTTTGCACGTTACAAAGCAAAGAAACTTCATACTTTCTAACACAATATCAAGAAATGAAAATTATATATGCTTATGTTTAGATATACAACACTGCATCATACCTGTGAAGAGGAAGATGGCCTTAATGGAATCTGTTCCTGAACTAAAGGTAAACCTATTTTGTTCGCCATTTTGATGACTAATGATAAACTTCATGTAATACGACACAAACACTACCTTCTGACAACAACCTCTTCCGACAAGTAGGTTGCCAGTTACCACCTCTTGGAAAATCAAAGACCACACTCGACTTACAGAAATTATCAATAATGGTTGGGATAATAATATTTTACATGATAAGTTTGATAGAAATACACAGTATTCTATCAATATCATATCCACTTGACATCACTTTACCATTGCACATATTAACGAGCGAAGGGATTTATTTTTACTTTGAAAAGTAATTCAGGGGATTTTTTATTTTTGAATTGGAGAACAACGGTTTAAGGAATATAATTTTTGTAAAAATTGATGATTGTTACACGATTTTGTAGCACGTTATAAAGATAAAACTTGCTTGCAAAACTATTTCGCTCAAAAGCTCAACTGATAGAGTGGTGTGGCTCATATGTAGGAACGAAATTTTGAATTTTTGAAGTATGAAATCACAATCTACTTAAATAGCACAGTGTCTCGTCCCTTTCTCAAGGAGCGTGGCAACGAAAGCTGGAAAATCGGGATTTCTTAAGGAAACTCGTGAAATTTTGGGAGCTTACTCGGGAATTTTACAAAAATACAGTTGGCAACACTACGAACAATTCAAAAGATCATATGTAGCTAAACAATAAAAGTAAGAACGTACTTCAAAAAATACGACCTTTGAAAATCTCATTTCTTGTCACTATAATTGAATCTAGAGTTTACAAGATGATGTGTTTTTTAGAGTATGTCTATTTTTATATTTCTTTAAAATTATCTGTTGGAATTGGAAAATGTTTTTGTTAAACAATCCACAGTAATCATGAATATTGAATGACTATAATAATATTCATATACGTTTGAGAAATAAATTTCACTGTGGGTGGAGTAGTCAAGTAAAGCATATAAAGAAATTTGGGAACGATGTTTTTCAAAAAGAGCAACTTTCCCAAAAGAGTGAAGGTCATTTGTGTGACTTACGTAACTCTAGACCTAACTCACACGTAATGAAAAAATTATTCAGCTTAAGTACAACGGCGCTCTCGTGTCTAATTTCTTCTTAATTTTTCCAGCCTCGTTTCTCAGTCTCTTGCTTTCGTGACTGTTTCCTTGCATCGCATGTGCAATACTTAGTGTATTGAGAGTACGCATCACTTCGTGATGAATATCGCCGTGAACGTTTTGATGCCCAATTAGGGCCAGCTCGAGTAGTTTCCGGCCTTGTCCTATCTTACCCAAGAAGAGATAGGCGTGACCAAGGTTTGTCACCGCGCTGCTAATTTCGGCTGCAAACCATTTACTCTCCTTGGCCATTGGGTTATTAGGACTGGCGGTCTGCAACTCCATCAGACCTTTCTCTAGAAGTTCTTTTGAGCGTGCGTTTTCACCAAGACCACCGCACGTCACTCCAAGAGCAATAAGAGCTTTACCATACTGAAAAGGACGAACGTTTTTCTGAGACGTTTTTATATGCTTCTGGTGGATGGCTATGACTCGCTCTAACATTGCTTTGCTTTCCATAAGTTCCTCTGCAGTTGAGCAAAGTTCAGCTTGCTCTGTCAAAATCTCGGCAGCTTCGATACTGTCGGCACCGTAGCGTTGTTCGATTACAGCGTAAGACTTCTTTAAAAGTTCCGTAGCTCTTGCACAATCGTTCAGCACTTGAAAATGGATATTTGCCATAATGCGATAAATTTGAGCTTTACTCTTTGCAGTTAAACTTTTTCCTGAAGGAGCACAACAAGATGCGGTAGTAACAATACCCTAGCCACTGAGGAGTTGTCATATCCACCAGAAATACGATATTGCTCATCAAAGGAATTCACGACTCGACAAAGATGTTCTTGCCGATGTGCAAAAACATGAGTTGGATCAAGACTATCATCCTTCGATCCCGGATGAAGAATACCACCTACATAAAAAGATTCCGTTGGATCTTGAAGACCAGCGTCACGAAACTCTGCAAATGTATAGTCACCAAGATTTTTCCTGTACTCGCTAATTGATCTCTGGGCATTAAAGCTTCTCAAGCGAGCAAAATATGACATACAATGCTTCCTTTCTGCCAAAAGCAAATGTTGTTTTTCCAATTCAGGAACTGTGACATACAAAAACACGTGACGAAGCACTTTATGGATACCCGGATGAACTGTCACAACTTCAACGCCTAAAATGAGACCATATGTTAAATGCTGTCCGTAAAGAGGATTAAAAAAATAGCTCAAATCAATCTTCAATTCCGAGGGTAAAAAGATTGTTCGAAAAAAGTTGAAAGAATAGATAATCTTTCCAGAGGTTTATGACGTCAGTAAACGCAACATCCGGCAAATAACTGTAAATATTTTCACAAAAGATGACGTTATAAGGCCATATCTATGGTTCGCAGGCGTAGCTAGAACGTTTAGTGGGGTTGCGTATATTCATATATCCAGTTTCGGTTCAACTTTAAGAAAAGTATCGTTACATGTTTTTCATTCCCTAAAATAAATGATTGAATGTTAAAAATTTAAGAGTAGATTAAACCAAAACTTACCAGACAAAGGCTCATGTGTTACTTTCAACAAAGGACAAGATCTTATAAAGTCTAAACCATCAGACATTGATTGAGATGGTTCAAGTGATGCACTATTGTTGTAACCAAACAAAGACTTGATGGCATCAATTTCAAGCTTTATCCTCTCAAACATGCTGATTGCACGATTGACAAAGCCACGGAAAGATAAAATATTGGATTCCTGTTCCTCATTTTCTTGAACTGTTGTACTAACCTCTTCATTTGACTTAACAGTAGCTAGATTTGGCTTCGTTTGCGTTTGTAAATGGTATTCTGGTATTTTCAAGTGATGAGAAAAAATTGCCATTGGGATAGGCTTGTTTTTACTGCATGATGCAATGAAATCAAAAATGTGAAGTAGTACAGGATAGCATTTTACTATAGCTCTTGTAGCTAAGGCTATTGAACTAGCTTGAACAATCTCGAGGTCAGTTGAGTCTGAATTTATTTCTTTCAAATTCTTAACAGCTTCATTGATGTCCGCATACAGGTCTTCATAGTTGAAGTTCTTGTTTAGCTGGATTTGATGTTTAAAATACATTGCAGCACATGTGATTGATAGGGGATTGTATAGCAGCAAGCTGAAGAGATGTTCTGGAGCATCTTTTACATTGTCTGCAGGATCATCGGACTTCCCAACAATACCAATAAATGCATGTCTAGCAGATTTCAAAGTCATTCTGCAAATGAACAGAAAAACAATACTAAGTATTTCCATCCAAATGTTTTCCAAATATATGCAGCAAAGAATTTTCAACATCTAGTGAAAATCCTGTAAATGTAGGCTTCTGGTTAGGAAGGATCTTACAAGATCTTATAGGATCTGAAGCTAGGATCCAACAAGATCTTGTAAGATCCTGCATAGGATCCTATTTTTTCCCATGCATATCCTGTAGGATCTTGTCTTATGCAGGGCCCTGTATCATACCAAAATCTTAGCAAGGGGAAATTAATGCACCTAAATAGAACAGGAAATATGCTACCCTGATTGAAAACCAGAGAAAGCTCCTTTAAAAAAGACTTTGACCACAGAAAAAATAGTAAGGTCCAAATCAACGCTACACCACTCCCTTCTAAATAACTTCCTGATATTGTTATAAACTTTAAGATGCTCACTTTCTTGCAAAAATCACCTGAAACATGCATGGACACATAATTGAATCACACGGCCTTCCAATTTTAATTTCTTCAGACTGCCGTGAAAATGCACAAAATAGACACCATGTTAAGCAATTTGATTTCACATTAAAAATTCCACATTCTTACCTTTTCATGTGAAAACAAACAGGACTACTGTTCACATCATTTTCAGCATGTGAAGTATAAATAATGTACCCATTCCCCCAATCTTGGTCAGGCAACCACTCCTTGATTGGTAGTCTTTCATCTAGATTTTCAACTAAAATATCCAATACAGTTTTTTCTTTAATTTCTCTTTAATAGCTTCACTAAATTTTTTCAGCTTTTCGTCAAATGTTACATCAGCAAACTGCATATTCTCGAAGTCACAACCAAGTTTACTAGCAAGCTGTTTATAGCTTTCCAGAAGACTCTCTTTATTTAAGGCATTCAATGTGGCAGTCACTTCATCCTTTGGCCACAATTTGAAACGAAAACTTTCATTCCTGGTTTCTGTCAAGTTTCCTGCAAAAAGTCGAGCTAGTTGTGTTCTTCCTGAGCCTGGCAAACCAACAATTTTCACTTCATTGTTTCTATGAAGAATTGAGTTTAATATTTCTAAGTCTTCTACATAAGGTACAATTTGATGATTTGGTGCTGCTGGAAGAACATTTAGCACAAATTTCTTCCTTTGTTGATTACTGTAGATATAATATGCTGTGCTAGCAGTAACACACAGCGTCGCTAGAAAATAGTACTTGGCAGAAGGATTGTCTTTAAACACATTTCTAATGTAAAGTTTCTTGGATGCATCTGTTGCAGATGAATTGAATCTAACATTTACAAGTCTTGCAAATCGATGTCGAACTCTTATTATATCTACACGACGACCAAAGTTGTACCAGTACATTTTCTTCTCATTATTCACATGCAAACATGACTACAAATTCGGTATGAAACATAAAATCTGAAAATTCTCTTTTAACAATTTAAATAATCGACGTACATCTTTCCCACGTGAATGGCATATGTGGGATTCCCATGGGATCCATATTTCTTCGTGTGTATCCGGATTCCCGACCATATTCCGAGGGGACACGAGTATACATCATACTATCACCCCCCCGTCCGTTACCGGGATGTTGATTAGGGACAGGCGATACCAGCTTTCTCGTGCGATACGATATTTATAACAAAAAGGAGTATTTTATGACAAGCAGGGTAAATGATATGACTATACTTAGATTGTGTACTTAATAGTGTCAATTTTTATTGATAATATTACATTATAATACTAAAATATAAATAAATTTAATTTAACGTATCTTGTAAGCACTAGTATCGTACAAGTATCGAAACTTTTCTTCAAAACCCTGGTATCGATAGTTTCGAGTATTTGGTATCGGTATCGGTCTAATGTTGATAGTCGTGCAAGGACTCGTAATTTGAATAAACCAAGAATTGTTTCACACATATATTTCATTTCTCCATTAAACGTTAACATGCGATACCCTAATGCTCAGCTAAACTGTCTATGGGTAACGGGAGGAATCGACCAAACGGAATTTTTTGGGTGGGAAAATTTTCTTTAGTTTAAGCGAGTTCTTCCCATAAGATTAACTATAATATCCAAGTTAAAACTCTCTTATTCTTTGTATAACAAGCAAACTGGCCTCCCCTGTTTAATTTAAGGATTTACCTTATATGTTACAAAATTTAAATTCATTTTGGATTAACTGCATCACTTAAATACTAAAAGAAAGAAGCCAATCTGAATCAAACGGCAAAACAGAATTTATCTTGATAGAAACAAGATTACGAGTGAGTCTTATGAAAATAAAATGCTCAAAAACGGCCATTTAAAATCCTAAAGCAGTAAGAATTAACATTATGACAGTATTTACAATAAAATACAGATTCTTTATACAAAATTTGTCATGCATACTTATGATAAATATGAATTAGAAAGGAAAGGAATAACATGATTTATGGTGCGCACTTAAACAAACGAAACAGTTAAACGAATGAGCAGAAAAAAATCATCTAATCCTCAGAAGCGAAGTCATCGTTGCATTCATCATCGCCGTCAAATTTTATGTAAAACTTACGTTAAGGAAATGCAAGTGAATAAAAAGGAAGAAATTGTATTGCACATATATTTTCTTTTCCAAGATATTCAAAACAAGAAAGGATATTTTTTTACGTTTCTTCTTTGATTTTGGCTTTGGTCTACTTCTGTTGTTTGACGGCGTCTTCCTTGAAGGAGTTTTGCGCCCTTTTGTGAGTTTCTTTTCCTAAAAAAGCATTCGTTTTAGAATATGGAATGTGAATGTAGAAGATTACAGACATTTCTGCACAGAAAATATTGCATTAAAAAACTTTTTTATTTTCTTTCATTGCTTTTGAAAACTGTGAGATTTTTTCAAACATCTCGCACTTGGTAGGCATATCTGGAACACGAGGAACCATATTTTGAAGTACCTGGCAGTTATCGACACCTGATTCACCAAGAGGACTGTCCCGACCATTCGAGTCATCACTATCTTCTTCTGATTTGTCCAAATCCATTATCATTTTCTTGAACTACAAAATTTATTTTTTTAATTACAGTCAGATATACACGAGGCGATGCATGCAAGTAGATGGTGTAGGATCAATTGCCTATACAGGTATAGGCAGGGCGAAACTGAACGTTAATTGCGGGGGGGTATATATTCATATATTCAGCTCAGCCCTGCTGATTTCCTTTGTTTGCGATGTTAATTTCAAAAGAAATCAGCAGGGCTGAGCAGAATATATGAATATCTACCTCCCCCAATTAGCGTTCTAGTTTCGCCCTTGCGTATAGGGTGGTGTAAATACGGAAATCACAGATATTTCCCCAAGTGAAAGTCACCATGATGAACAAAACAGTGCTTAGTGTAAAAATATTTAATAGTGAAAACAGTAAAATAGTGATAATAGTAAAAATTATTAACGATGGCTTACAAATTAGAACAACATATTAGAACAACAACTGACCTGTACATACTGTTTCACCACCTCTACGGAGGAAGGCATCGAACACCCTGATTCAATACAAGCAATTGATTGCTCCGGGTTAAATTTGACACCATGCTTCCTCGTTATTCCTTTATCGTACGCTTTACTTGGTTCTGATGGTGAGTATTTTTTACATTTGCTGCAAATGAAAAAGATTCGATGTAAGACATATGGGCAGGGTAACAGATCACATGAGTTTGCCAATGATATTACCCTGGCGTGCAATCGATAAAGTAGAATACCAATAGTAAGAGTAGAAACACATTTTCCAAAGTAATTACAACTACGTAGGGTCTTAATGCTAAATCTCAATAGCCACTTTTATATGCTAATCTCCTTAAAATGCTAGTCACCGAAAGCACTCCGCATGTATTATGGACAAAATTATTTGCCATCATTAGAAACTCTTTGACTCATACACCATAAAAAGCCTCCGAGACATTCAGTAAAATCTAAGATTATCTTTAAATTTAGAGAATAATGAAACTGAAAATACACTATATTATAACAATTAAGGAATGCGTAAGTTTATAGAAGTGTAAAAGCATACTTTACAATTAAATAAAATGAGAAAATCAAATATGCAAGGATACCCTATGCAAAAAGGAGTACTGCAGTTATTAGTACAAATTTTCATGTAATCTCTACCTGTCATGAATGTTGTAGGTCTCCTTCAGATGTTGCCGTAAATAAATCAACAATAAGCATTTTTGCCACGATTTCCAACAATCCTCTATTTGCTTTAAATCATCTGGCAATCGCACTGTGAATGAAATGAATCATATACACATACGCGTGTCACAGAATTGATGTCTTTGTAAAAGCTTCACCGAAATTACGAGAGCCTTCTTTAGTTTATTTCGCTGTTTTTTTTTACTCTTTAGACGGTGGCGGACACTTTATGAAATATTGGAGGGACTCGTCCTCGAGGCATGACATTTCTAGGAAGATTCCAGGGCATGTCCATAGGTATACTTTTAAAATTCGATCTCCAGAAATTTAATTTAAGTAATCCTATGTACAGATAATCTTACACACGCAAGAAGATTTAATTCGTCTGCTGGTACGTGCACAGTACAGAAGTCTATCAAACTGTTATAATTTAACATCACAATTGTTTTATGTAGGTGTGATTTGAGGAATTTGACGAATGATTTTAAATCTTTCAAAATTATTGAGGGGCTTAAGCCTTCCTCGCCCCCGCCCCCAGTATCTGCCATTGTTTTCAGATAAATACTAGACCACCCAGATTAACTTCTTGTTACAGAGTCAAACGTATAATTAGCATACCTAAAATTTCATCGGCATTTTCTTCAGTTTCCATACTTTCGTTCTGAGTTTCAGATTGATCATGCGCACGAAGAGCCTACAAAACCGCGTCATTGACACACAATGAAACGATATCACAAAACAATTTGAAGGCGAAGTCGTCGTAACGTAGCCATGCAATACCTGTTGAAATGATTGCATGACATTCATGCCAGTGTACGAAAGTCTGGCATCAATGTTATGTATAATGAACAAAGGCTCCTCTAAGGTCACGAACGGGAAATACGCGAGGGAATCAACAACAAAAAGAAGCATATCCAGATCATATTTCTATAAAAGAAATCATAGTATAGAAAGAAACTAAATCACTACCGATAAAAAATTATTTGGTTTGTCATGAATTTTGATTCTGTCCAAAGACATTTAAACTGAATGAGCTCATTATTGCAGCTGCAACTGTCATTGTTACCATATGTAGGAAATTATTGCTGAAATATCCGCATGAAAAAAAAAAAGCAAAAGCACTGGAAACCTTCTCGTCGTCAACCATTCGAATCAAAGACAAGAGGAAAGAGCGTCGATGTTGACGATTTGAACGGATGATTAAATAAAGATAACTTAGCAAACTTGTGCCTTCCTCTTTAAAACCACGAACGAATAGTTCATCCTAAAAACGGCATTATTGCAATCACAACAATCCACGAGTCTTTGATAAAGCAAAAGCCAGCAACGAAGGAGAGAGTGCAGGTCACTGAAAACTATATACCTTATGGATTATTTTCTGCAAATCAAAAGACATCTTTACTCCAGGTAGTGCTTTCATCTACATGAATATTGCAAGATTATGCGTATATGTATAGAATGGGATGAAAATTCAACATTCAGCATAACAGTAATCAACCCGAGAGTACACTGATGGGGCGAATATGAAAGTGATCATCTACATCATCCTACCTGTATGAATCCCGGATATTTACGATCAATTTCCTCCAATCTATGCGCAGCTTTCGTCCGTGCTACTTTGTCATTGTTAGTCCCAATGGCAATGAGATACGACACGCACTACATCATATTCACAAATAGAAGAATGATTCGTTAGGAATTTATATGTTTTCCCGAAACGACACCATTTCATCACCTGTACAGGATGTACCAAGCCCCGCCCCAGTATCATATCCACGACGGAGAAAGCTGTAAATCGAACCGTTGGCTGAGGATGGAAAAACATCTCCAAAAGTTGTTTCAAGTACAACTGCATTATCTCGCTTGTTGTTCTACAAAAAAAGTTAACCGACTATTTTCTGATACTTTCCTTTGAATTTCAGGAGTTAACAGTGTTACCAAAAGTACTTTTCTTCAAACATTACAATACTACGCACCCTGAATACGAGTCCCCAAGTTCCTTCAGATTTTCTTTATTTGCTTTCTTTTTCCCTGGAAGAAATGAGACCGGAAATATGTAAATGCTAACTGGTTTAAATACTGTAGAAGAGCTGCTCACAGCCGTGAAAATACATACGAAAAAAATATATGAATATAACAAAAGATCATTCGAGCTTACATGACGAATCACGAACAGACATAACTTTTTCCTCCTCAACCAAATGTTGCGTGATATTTTTCATGACCTATGACATAAAAAGTATACTTTTTCATCATCACGACACACAATACGCGAAACGCAATTCTTTACCTGATTTTTTAATTGTGTAGACTCGCACGTTGGCGATAAAATTTTCCCATATAGACCGCGAGCATCTTCTTCCAGGAGTAATTTTGGGTATCGAATGGACAGAAAACCTGTATTGAAAATAAAAAGATTGTGCGATAAAGACCAAGTAGATACAAGTTAACACTGCATAAATATAAATGCCTTGACCGACCCAAGTCAACTCCATATATTAAAATATGTATTGATCTAACATGTTGTTAGAAATTGCATAGTTGATCAAATCACCTCCCACAACCTCAAATTGCAATTTAGAAAAGATAGATTTTCTCTCATAAAAGATGAAAACACCGAGTCGTAATCTGTATAGTAAACAGAAACCGTTGTTGCAAAAATATATTATTAATATCTGTTCAATAAAGGATATAACTCAATATTTTCATGCACATATTCTTACAACTAGATAAATGCAATGCACCAATGAAGTTTAACCAAACTAAATCTATAAGAAGTATGACGGATATTGATAAGACTATATGTCAAGAACTTGAACAAAACTCATACCGAGACCCATAATCGCTTTCTGTGACACCTCTTCATCCGGTATTTTGGCATAAAAAATATGCAAGGTGTATACTCGACGATAGACAGAGTCCTGCTTCATAAAAAAAAAACAAAAAACGAAATATTGAGATTTACGAAGAAGTGTCCACCTTTCCTTTTTAACACTTGGAGTGTTTAAGAGAATTACCATATCAACAATAAAAACATTTTAGAGGAAAAACTAAAACATTTGATTAAAATTTGTCTGTTTCGCATTATTGAGCAGCTCTCGAGCAGTTGAAGCTTGCACTGGTCTCCCAAAGCTCACCCGGGTTGACATAAGCCTGTGCAAACACAGTAAACATCTTTTATTTCATAAATGATTCAAAAGAAACCCCCCACCCCTCACAATTGTGAACTGCATGCACTACTAAATAAGGAATATTCATAAATTCGTAAATTTATGAGAAATAAATATAAATATTTCGAAAATATTTTTAACAGCAAGTTATTCTAAAAAACAGTCTGTTCGGCGAGCAATTAATTATACAATTCCCACATGTAAACAGTCAAATATGAAATTACACTTTTCACGTACTATATTTTCAACCTTGGCATCACTCTCGAAATCAAAGTGCTTGCAGAGAAGACCCAAAGTGAACAGAGATCTAAGCAACAAGGGACGATTGAACTTCGGCCCAGTTGACGACTGATTTTGGACAAACTCTTTCTTGACCCGAATTAAAAATCCTTTGGGAAGAAAAAGTATAGCTCATTCAAGAAATGTCAATATCCCGTAAAGCTGCGCTTGTATGAAATGCGCCGAACGAAACAAAATGAAGTAGTTACGTATGCTCTCACCAAAATATCGTTGAAAACAATCTTTTACCAATTTATAGTTTCGAGTGACTTTGTTCACGACGGCCGCAAGGCAAGCCACGCAACTCTGAACGACCTACGAACGAAAATACACCAAGACTTCTTCATGCGGCAAGAGTCTGATAGTTTGGTAAAGACATACACAACGATGCTGTTCAATACTTACGGTTTGTCCCTGCTTGATGATAAGCATCATTAGATCCTCTTCAATGCTGGCCAAAAAAGCTTCGCCAGGATGTTCAATGAGAGGTAAAACCAGTTCCAAAATACGAGCAATATAATGGAGGATAAGATAATCACCTTGTGACTATAACACAACGATTTTATTGATGGAAATGGAGCTCAATGTACATGAATATAAATGTTTACACCACACACAATGTACTACATACACCTATTGGCGAAATTTGTCTTGTCTCTACGAAGCATTCAGCGCATATTTCTATATCTGAGTTGAAATTTTTTTCTTGTTTGTCGTGATAATTTCACTTCAACTTACATTGACTTTGGTGCTCAGGTATGGCTGAAGTGTCGCAGCATGTGGAACCATCATTGATGGTTTGAATCTACTCATCATGTACAGAGTTGTTAAACATCCAATCAAGCGATAACTATTTGATGCTTTTCCTTCAGATTTCTCTACAGATTGAAGCAAAATCGAGATACATATTGGCAAATAGCTGCCTTTACTCTACCACAAGGCTTTTAAAATACGTGCATTAAAGAAAAGGATATTTAACCTCTGAATGTTTACACAAACTAGCACTACCTAGACAAACTAACCAAAACTGATCAGGACTTAACACGTGCTCGTGTTTCTCCCGGAGCAAAAAATGGCTTTGAACAATTAAGGCTTTTGAGCAAGCATCATTGTCCTGTCATATGCTAGACTTAGATCATGCTTTGGTGCACAACGCCAATATCTCAATTTCCACAAGGTTCTTAAATAAATCAAAAAAAGGATTTTCCTATGGTTAGAAACGAGACAATACTTGAGGATTAATGTGTGGGACCACCAAAAAGATCCTAGGTAAAACCACTTTGGAAAAACACTTTCGGGAGTCCAAAGTCCATTTTTAAAACCCTCTTCTAAAATCTCTCCGTAAACGTTCACTATTTAAGTCGGCTATAAAAGCCCACCACTAGAGATCTCCGAGAAAAGACCTCAAAAAAGAACCCCAGGAAAAGACCGCTGGAAAAAGACTTCAAGGGCAAGAACGTCGGGTAAAGATCCCCAGGAAAATGTCCATCCATATGTCTGTCGCTTGCCATAGGCACATGCGTTTTACAGATCTCTGATTCCCTACGATATACAACAGGGGTACATATGCAACATCAACAACTTACCAACAACATTTTTTTCGATCGTTAAGAGCCTATCCACCAAACAATCAACAATTTGTGAACAAGCTTCGAGTACTTGCTTCGAAGCGGAAGAAAGTTCGTCAGACTCTTCATCATTCTTTATAAGCTAAATCAAGCACAAGTTGTAGAAACAGTTAACTCTGGGACAAAATTAAGAGATCATTTCCTTATATTTAGGACGACATGTGTTGCTTACATTTTCCAATAGTTGTTGCAGCCACTCACCACCAGATTCACCAAAAGCTGTCACCTGTAACAAAAACAACATTTAGGATTAGGAAGTTCCTTCATACGTACAAGGCAGTGATGGCACGAATAATTTTTTTTTGGGAGAAAGACAGATTCAAAAATGACATACGAATGAAACAAAGCCAACCGCTGCTTACGAAGCAAATTTACAAAAACACATATCGTAAAATTGTGGCAGCGGACGGTAACAAATCAAACATTCCTTGGTTTGTGGAAGATTGAGTACATATCCCTAGAGAGCCCTCTTCTTGGGAATTGAACCACACCCACATATACAAGATCAGGTTGAAACCAATTCATACGGATGTCTCTTTGGGCAGGGTCAGTTGAATGCGTTAAAAGTTTTTGTATGTATGCATATTAAATGCTGAACATAATGATAAGCAAACTTTTATATTACTACGTCATTCTACATACTAAGTCAGCAATGTTGGTCGCGCGTTTTAAAAGGTCATCGTCCTGATGCATCTTGCTTTTTTCAACAGGAACAAACCACATTTGCTGAAATACTTTCGTCACAAGTTCCTGCAAATAAAATAAACCATGAAATATTTAACACGTATCGAGTATGACAGATTAACAGTGTGTTTTGTTTGCCCGACACTATTAGGAAATAATAACAGTTTGGTACAATAATTGCAAATGTTATATTTCCAACAGGGGTGAATTATCTGGGAGTGCAAGATTTTCAATTGAGTTTCTTCCATGCGCGTTATAAACATTATAGAAACATTAAAATCGAAATAAATTACTAAACGCGAAGTAACCTCTTACTTTGATAAACTCCGTTTGCCTTTTGTTTTCTTTTCCCTTATTTGTCATGTGTGAAAGCTACTGTTGTATTCGTGTTTCACTCGTTGTTGGCAATATTTGAGTACATAATTTATGAAGCTTTGTTGATTATGTAAGGAAGTACTTTAAAGCTATGCAACTAGGATTCCTAATTTACTTAACTTAAGGAGAAATTCTTATAAAGTTATTAACCTTTTCCTTACGCAGGATTGCTCCTCTTAAAGCCTATAAATCTACAACAGCCCGAGTCCCAGGCACCTTTAGCAAAGACAATGATGCACCTTCCTCGGAAAATCGGCAACACTCCTATCAAATAAGCTTAGCTCCACCCCTTATTTCCACTCTCTCCATAAAGGGTTGGTTTCAAAATGCTAAAAAAACAACAACATGCACATTAATCTTTTTACCTTTATTCCATCTGCGTCGTTTATCCGACAAATCATTTTCATGCAGATATCAGTTATCTTAGGAAAGTCAGGTTGAGCAATACAAATGTCTTTGAGAATTTTAATCACTCTTTTCCGTACACTGACCCCGGTGTCCTAAAATGAAAATAAATGCTTTGTCAAACTTATGAAGGAAGATGAACCAAAACGATTTTGAAGACTGTCTTTGAGGCATTTCAATGTAATATTATCGTGGTATGGAACCTCACCAAAATCCTTTCCATGATCATATCATAATACTGGTGGGTCAACTCTGGTTTATTCAAAATAAAACGGCCAACCAATTCGACAGCAGCTTCCCGTACACTCGTAGATTGATCCATAAATCGTCCTTGAACTCCATTTTGTATATCCTCCTGCATGAACAAGTAGACTGGAATTTTACAAAAAACTCGTGCACTGTAAAGTTCAGTTTTGCCGAGCAACATTTTTCTTAAGGATTTTGATACAGATATGCCCAAAAACTCACCCTCGCCAAAATACCAGGATCAACAGAAATAATCGAGGACAATGCTTTCATAGCTTTCGTTCTTATTGCAACCACTGTTTCATTGAGGACTCTCAAGATCTAATGAGAAAGTATGGAAATATAAAGGTCTAGAACAGAAGGTAAATACAATTTCTGGCACACACGGTACTATTATACACGATGAAATTTCTTTGGTTACGTTGAACTGTCAATCTCAGACCATACATAAACAAATATTTCAATCTAACATGCTAAATGCATCTAACAGGAATCTTGTAGTTATTGGACACATGGTTTATACCTGTTGGAGATAAATATCAAAACTCTTGAGAAAGATTCGTTTCGATGAAAGATGTTTAGCAACCAAATTTGCACGATTATAATCCAAGAAACCATTTGGAACCCTGCAATGAAATATTTTTCCCTGTCATTGAGTTTGCTCGTCGAAGGTTACGGATGGGTGTTTGTAGTAGGAGTAAATCTTTGTACAGGAATTGATCCAGGATGTTTTTGCAGCCCTTTCCCTTGCTAGTTTGAATTAGATTTCAATGGCTACTTTGTCATGTTGAATTCTGTTACTCTGATACCATTGAAAGTGTGCTCCATCAAACAAAACTCAGAATACTTTCGCTTTACTAGGTGTGTGTACTAATGTTTCGTAAGGATATTAGCACCTCTCCAGCCAAGGCAGGTGTGCGCCCCCCCCCTTATTAAATCCATTTTTAACCTAGTACATGGTCAAAAACTATGCAAACTACAATGCATAAATACTACTTTCTCCCAGTAAACAAGGGACATCAGATCGCCACAAAGTTAACATTATCGACGGTGAACAAATGACACCTACAGAAATATTCAACTTCACAAAATTGCCAAAGAACAACATTCCTAAAGAGAGCAAAAGTAATCACACATACCTCAGCTGAGACCAGTCCTCATCAATGAGAGATAATAGGAACGACTTCTTCATTTCTAGCGCTGACACACCGCCACCCCCATCCCCAGTTTGCTGTAAATCACTTTCGCTCCCGTTAGGAACGGTCGCCTTGTACGCTCTCTCCAGCTCAGCTTGATTATCTCGGATCCATTGACATAAATAGAACTGTCTTGCAAACTTTATAAACAGAAAAAAATTTGCAATTACAAGCACATAAAATTGGCTTCTTTTGTTTAATATGTCTATATCTTATTCTTTAGAGAGCGGTTGTGGTCAAGGGAACTCGGTTTAACCCTTTTGCTGTCCTTTAACAAGTACTATACAGTAATAACAAAATTGACAACTATTTAAAATCATACATTTTTGTTCTGTTCTAAAATTCTTTCCGGTATCAATGAAGGAAATTAACAAAAGTTTTACGGTCTTAGAACTACAGAAAATCCTTATTAAAATATATGCTATCGCATGACTAAAATTAAAAAGCTGATTTTATGAGGCGACAAGGGAGAAAATAGGTAGGATTGAATACAATCCTAAATTTTGTGCCACATATACGTCAATGCTATCAGATTGGCGTAACTTACGGATAATGCAGAATCATTCTTCCCTTTAACGTGAAAATATTTCAATAGATATTTCCGTAACGTTTTCTCCATTTCAAGATCTTCTTCATCCTACAAAAAAACAGTCAACAACCTCCTTTACAATTAAAGACCATAAGCCGGTTGCACGAAGCATGTAAGCGCTATCCATTGGATAGTGAAATTTTCAAACGTAAGAAAAAGGTGGTTATATTTTCCTTACGATAATGAAGCTTTGTAATTGTGGAAGCACTATTTTATTTCTGTGATTGCTCAGTTCAAATCGTATATTTTGCCCTTTTAAGAGATTTTTTAAACGTTCGAAAAAGTTTGCTATCTAATGGACAGCGCTATTTGGCCTTTGAGCAGCAGGGCCCATCATTGTAAATCATAACCTACATAGGCTATACGTATGTGCACATCATAGTAACTAATTAACAACCATTTACATCATTTACATGTGTAAGCAGCAATAAAACTGACAACGATTGATTTCATACCAATTGCCTGATTTTTTCTTCATCTCTTAATTCGTCACCACCAATCTGTAATACGTATATGGACAGTAGCTAAAGACAGCCTGCAACTAGTATCGCGCAGGCATGTGCGGGTGTGTGTGTGGGGGAGGGGCATCGGCGATATTTAAAGAGAAAATAGTTAGAACTAGATGCCTAGCATTGCCAACAGATGAGAAAGACAATTCACAACAGGAACTAAATGTTTTTTTGCTTTCTGATTACGCAACTCTTAAGAAATACTCCGATTAACGTTAAGAAGTACACCACAGTTTTGAAACTCGAGAGCTGAGGATAGTGCAAAGTTTCAAAAAAATACGGCCTTTTGACTCTTAATTTGAACCAACAACAAAATGTGTCAAACATTTATTGAATTTCTCCAGTAATTCCCAATTGATTTTGATTTATCCAGAAGTAGGTCGCAACGGCACTCAACCTGCGCACAGTTAGAAATTCTGTGGCAACCAAGAATTAGCTATACTGTGCATCATTCTATTATCAATTCAAATGATAATCGTAATACTTAAGGCTCGCGAATTGCCATATCTTACAGCTAGCTTCTATTTCCAATATGGCAACATTCACAAATTTCAACATACAATATAAAAAGCGCATGCTCTTAAGAAAAAGCAGAAAGTTAAGGGGATAAAACCTTATAAAAAAACGTTATGATATAATGAGGCTTCTACGGTTTTCAATTAGACGAAAGACCGTAGAAAATCAAACAAGTCTCAAAATTGTGCTTCTGGATGATATTGTAATTGTTCATCGATTTGTATCGCTCAAAGTAGATAAAGAATAAAACATGCATTTTGGAACATTCCATGTAAAGTTTACGCTACATATTTGTCATCCATTGAATTTTTGCCCCTGCTCACTATACTGCATGTTTCCATTTTTACATAAAAAAGGCAACAGTGAGAGATATATATCATACACATGCATACAAAAGAAGTGTACAGACCTCTGACATGATAGCCAATAGATCTTCTTGTTCCTGTTCTTTGTCTAACATCGCTTTTCGTCGAAGATGTGTAGCAACCAGTCCGAGATAGTCTATCGACGCCACACGCAGTCCCATTTCACACGAGCGATTAGTAAAGGTCACTATCTATTAAACAAGAACAATATTCTTGATTAACTAGGGGCATGAGTTAATGGACAGTGACGTCATAAAACATGTTGCTATTCTATTTGAAAATGACCATGTATGGTCGTTTTACGAACCAATAATCTTCCCAATAGAGTTAACAAAGCTTCTGATGCTGGCCAATCATTCTTGTTCAAGGTCACCAGCAGGTCTTGCAAGAAATTCTCGAAAAGAGGTCGATAATCTTCCTCGTCCTTTCCTGCAGTGTTGCACCTAAGAAAATGAAATGCAACACTGGAGTTGAAAAATGCTGTTACAAAACATACAATATAAAAGATACGCAGTTAGGTTAATCTCTCCTTGTGCACTCACTTGTTTAAAAACATGGAAAGAAAGTTTTGGGCTGCACGTAGAGAGTTTTCATACGAACCAATGATTTCAAGTTCTCTATCCATCTACAATGTCAAAAGTGCTACTTTCAAAGATGACAAATTATAAAAAGCAGCTGACAGTGACAAAAGAATGACTTTTTGTCATCAAAATTAAACAAGTGCTGAAATAGAACAATTGAAAAACCCAATCGATAAAATTTGTCTCAGATGACACATCTTCATTAAAAGTGGAGGCAATAAATTCAACTTGCAAAACTTGCAAAATAGTGTGCTGTTGTCGATTAATGTTGGTCGTGAATAAAGACTAAAATGAGACTAAAGTCTTAAAATTCTAGCAAAAAGTAATTCCGGAAAACAGTTTCGTATGATTTCGTTACCATGTAAACTTTCTCTCCTCAACGTAAGTCAATAGCACAAAATATACAACATCTACATGGGTACCCACAATATACATACATACATGTTCTACAGCACTTTAAAACGCATTATGATTTTGAAAATGTGTCAACTGGATTCAAGCAATAAAGTACAGGTCTGGCACAAACATTGTAAACACTTGAATCCAAAATAAGGCAGCCACTATCTCTATTACATCAAAAAGAAATAAGTATACATTACATTGAGTGTTTCATTATCTGAAAAGGTATCATTCAATGACGATTTCTTCTCAATTTTCACTGAACACTGAATGAGTTGAAGAACTAGAGCAGATAGCATTTGAATGTACTCATCCCCATGGATTCTATAAATTTAACACAAAGATTTTGAAATACATCACTGATATTGCTATTATCTCACATATTGCCATACTAAGCAATATCTTTCGGATGGCAAAGGCAAAATACATTCGCAGGAGCGATTGATTGATTTTTCTGATTTCTTTTTTTTCCTAGTTCCCTTATCAAAGTTACGTATGTATTTGCTCACTACTTATTCAAACTACTATGGTTTTTACGCGAAATGGGTTATTCATTCGTCAATGGTAATATGCCCAATGATTTAAAAATCACGACAAATTATCAAAATTTGATTTTGTGACTACAGCTACACATACTGTTGCGTTGGTTTGCAAAGACCTAATCTACTGCTACAATTCTCTGAGCATTTTTAATCATTAAATGTTTATTCTGAAGCAATTAGTCACTGTCTTTCCATTCCTTTTTGGCATCCCATTCCAATCTCTTACCGATAGCTCCTTAAATTTCGTTTACTTGAAGGAAGCCTTGCTAGTGAAGCTAAGATGTCCTCCAGAATGAGCTCACGATGCTTCAAATATTTGCGGAAAGTCTGAGGGGTAGAAATCATAAATATAAAATAATACAATATACTCGACACCATCACGAACCATGACGCAATTACATACTACGTATCTTAGACGCTCAAAACACTATAAAAACAACTCACCGTTCGGACGAGTTTTAGAGCACAATGCTGTAATTCGCTGACGTTTTCTACAAAGAATGCAGTAGTACCTACGCTTGATATCTATAAAAATGTAGAGCATGACAACACCACAAAAAGGCTTTGGTTATAGATTGGAATTTAGGTAGACTATAGGATTAGGGTCAGGATTAGGTTAGCTACGTCTTCCCTTAATCCTGTTTCATTAAAGGGTTTCTACAATTTTAATCCACACGTCAACGGTCTGTAAAAAGGTCATTTAGTATTAATAGTCGAAAATTTACAGAAATAGCCAAACAGCGAAAGAAATAAAATGAAATTGCTATTTTTTCTGTTGGCAAAATTATGAATTTGAAACTAAAATTTGGGACACGATTGTGTCATATTTCACGTGAGAGCAGTATAAAATGAAGCACTGTGAAAATTAACGGGGATCAGTTGTGTAAAGGAAGCTGAATTCTGCAAGTAAAGCATTTATCGAAAGCATATCAACTGATCTAGCTACGTAAAATGACATCTTTCATACATTTTGTTTACAAAGCATGAGCAAGTAACGAGCAGCTATTAAAACTTTTTCAAGATTCTTCTCTTCATTTGATTTCAGTGAAAAAGGTGTGTACTACATGATGACTAAGGGATATTACATATGAAAACATTTGGCCATTGACGCATTTTGATTCATCACAGATGAGCATATGACGTACCTTTAATACTATGGTATCAGTAAGTCTTTCGATGTCAAGAAGATCAGCGAGTAGTGAGACAGCAGTACAAATCTTGTTGTAAAGCTCCACAAATACCTTGCCTTTATTAGCGTACTTTGCACGTTTTGCTTTCGTTGACATCAAAATAGACTCTGAAGTGAAGAAACAATAAAATACGTATGAACCAAAGAACGTTTTATGACTTAAGAAAGAAGGCGTTTGCTAATGTTAAACGTTCGTATTTTTTTAATAAAGTTCTCTTCAATACGCAGAAATGTTTTAAAGTACAGTGGATGGTTTTTATAAACTAAAATCGATTAAAAAATCGACCAAATTAATGGTTAAGTTTGTTTGTGTTTGATCACAAACAAACAGTAGTTTAGTTATACATAGCTTTTGTACAATTAAAGCTTCAATGCGGTAGTAAAATCTTTTAAAATGAGTATCAACCTTTTGAATCCAGTTCGACTTTATATAGTGGATCATAAGCTGGATAAATATTGTGTTTCAGATTATGTTGGATCAGGCCAACCATGACTTCTATTATTTCTTCCATGTAAACTTTCTTGGGCATGCACGGTGCGGTCAACACGTGAAGTACCAGCAATGTTGCGTCGAATGACCGAAGGATGCGCTCCATGTTAAATTCCTTTAGCATTCTTTGATCTTCGTCATCATTCTGAAAAAAAGAGAGTCACATTTGAGTTGACAACAATCTTGCGAAATGCCTGACAACAAAGTGAGATAGCGATAATACTTAATATAAATGATATAAATATACTTGATATAAATGAAGATAAATAGTGAAATAAACGGGGATAGAAGTTAGTCTAATAAACGGAGATAACGAGTGAAATGAATGGAGATGGAAGTTAGTTAAATGAACGGAAATAAGTGGGGAAATTAATGGAAATAAAGAGTTGTGAAAAGAAAAGGAGATAACTAGTGAAATGAATGGAGATGGAAGTTAGTTAAATGAACGGAAATAAGTGGGGAAATTAATGGAAATACAGAGTTGTGAAAAGAAAAGGAGATAACTAGTGAAATGAATGGAGATGGAAGTTAGTTAAATGAACGGAATAAGTGGGGAAATTAATGAAAATAAAGAGTTGTGAAAAGGAACGGAGATAACTAGTGAAATGAATGGAGATAAATAGTGAAATGAATGGAGATAGAATTTAGTCAAATGAGCGGAGATAACAAGTCAATTGACTGTAGATAAAGAGTTGTGAAAAGGAACGGAGACAACTAGTAAAATGAATGAAAATAGAAGCTAGTAAAATGAATGAAAATAGAAGTTAGTGAAATGAATGGAGTTAGAAGTTAGTCGAATGAACGGAGATAACGAGACAAATGAATGAAGATAATAGACCAGTGGAATCATGCAAAGACTTTGAAAAAAATCAAAAACGAAACAGAAGATATTTGGTGTCTGCCATATCATCAAGAAACACAAAGATCGGATAAATGCTTAAAACAATTCACCTTTCCGACGGTAAACACACGTGTCAAAAATACAAGATCAAATCACAAAATTTCGGACAATCAAATGGTCGGACATAGTATTGTTGATGTAGAATAGTGGCAATAAAATAGAAAGAAGATGCTTTTGGGTTATTTGTAAATCTTATTTTAAAAATACCGAACGACTTATTATAAAGGCAGAAGGTGCAACAGTGGATAAAAACCATTTTCCGTCAAATCAAAGGAAAGCTTGGATTTGACATGCAATATGCAGACACAAAGTCATAGAGAAAAATAAAAACATTTCTAACGTTGTCGCGGATATTACGAGTGCCTTAACAAAGTGTTGATAAGTTTGATATGAATTTGTCAGAACAAGCTTAAGAGGCAAAGAGCAGTCTGCTTGAGCATGCGCAGTCGAATTGATTAGCTGCACAAGTTCATGGTCATGGCAACGACCAATTGCATCGATTTTGAAGTAAATAGCATGTTTAGTAACAATTTAATAGATAAATCATCTGCGCATGCGCTCGAGCACTCGACTAATTGTTTATAGTCATGGCAACGACTAACTATATGTACTTGCACTACATTTGTGGCAATTAGCTCACTTAGTCGCAAATTATCAAATTAGTCGCAAATTAGTCGCATGCCACTCGACTAATTGTTTATAGTCATGGCAACGACTAACTATATGTACTTGCACTACATTTGTGGCAATTAGCTCACTTAGTCGCAAATTATCAAAGAAATAATCTGAGCATGCGCAGTAGTAACTTTAATAATACCACAACATTCGTAAGCCTTTGAATTTTTGTATATATATATAAAGCCAATATTAGATGTAGTAGATGTCAACTAGCAATGGAAGCTGGGTGCGACATAGTATGCAGTGGCTTAGGGGCCCACACTTCGGTGGCGACCGCACCCTCCCTGCGTACCCCGAGCAAAGCCTATCGCAGGTGATCTCGGAGTCTGATGGGCGGAAGCTTGCTATTGCATCTCCCAAGTAGGATAGCGTGGAGGGGCCGAAATCTCCTACCGAAACGTTAACATGTGGCGTTCTTACGCTTAACAAGGTATCGGGAAGCATGGCCCAAAAACGGGGTTTTTTGCTTTTGAATTTTATCTTTTTGTTTATCTCATAAAAAAAGCTAGAACATACAAGGATGCTACAAAGGTTCAAAAAACTTCTGCCTCTTTGACTTATAATTTAAAGCAACTCTAAACATGTTTATACGTTTTTTATATGTTACCTTTTACAATGTAACTTTCTCATAACTCGCTAGTGATGAACGAGAGCCTCGTTATACAATTTAATTCTCTCATTATAAACAAAAGCATCCATGGGTTTCATGAAAAAAAGGGATTATCTACTTTTATAATAGTTTATAATACTTTTTTACAAAGATAACATTTAACAAGCCAAGCAATTTGTATCGTCCTGAACCTCGCTTTCAACCCTTATGTTATAAAATTTTGATTCATTTTGGATCGTAAATTTCTTTTAAACTTACAATATTTTCATGATTCAATCTAGAAAGGAACTTCTCTTCTCGAGCAATTTTGCGATTTAACAGAACACTTTTCGGATACAAATGAATTCTTTCGATTGCATAGAGACAGCCGTTCAATTTATTACGTAAATGCATGTAGTATGCATTTCGTTGTAAGAAACCACCCAACCGAAGAATATCCAGATTCGATTTTAGCCGCATCGAGCGAAGAAAATTGAAAGTCATAGAATTGTTTAAACTGTTATTTCTATGATATTTATGATTCGATGTATCACGAGATTCCACATGATATTCATGACTGCCTTAGAATACCCTTAACACATATTCATAATAAGACAATGTTTTATGTTATCATTTAGCGTCATCGTAATTTTATACATTTAAATTTATAGCAACAATTTAAAACTCCATTTTTACTTATATAACTTGTTTATGAATCTGAAAAGCCAGTTTTTGGGAGATGTCATCCATCAATAATAAGAATAGTGATTAATGATTATAAGACAGCAAAACCAACATGTAATAAAAATAACAGTTCAAAAATTGTATGGCTTGCTTTTTTGCGCTTTATGCAGCTGGAATCCGTCCTGGATACTCCTAGGTCACGCCGTAAAGGCCCGTAACAATCCTTATAAAAAAGTCATCACCGTGACAACATGCCAGTATTCAAGCTTTCCTTCAATCGTTATCTTTTTTCCTAACCCAGAATGGTTAATGTTTACTGTTATGCATCGTTCTGAATAACTAGAATCATACTCACAAATGCCCCAAAACTCAAAAGCATCTCCTAACCATTTTATTGCCACTATTCTACATAAACAATACTAATGTCCGACTATTTGATTGTCCGAATTTTGTAGTTTGATCTCGTATTTTAGACACGTGGGTCTACCGTCGGAAAGGTGGATTCCCTGAAAGTAATCATTTCAACTCACAAGAAATAGATTTGAGCACCGGTCAAGATAAATACAGAGTATTTTTTGGAAAAACCATGACAACAAAACTAATGAGCCTGGATTTCATGTTCTAAAAGTGTTCGTGTTCTGAAGTTGTACACAGACATGACAGTTCTGATTGCCATGAAAAACATGAATCACGTCCATTGCGACAGATCCCAAGTAAAAAAGTACCTGGCTAAACGACAACTGTATATTTCTTCCGTCTTTAATGTGCCTTTTCATGATGAAGATTAATCTGCACAAATCTTTTTCATCGATCTGATAAAGCATAGAAAAATCAATAGCTGCATGCATCTACACAATTAATATGACTGCTAAATGAACGATTGCTGCTTCGCAACTTCCCCCGGCTTCTCATCCTTTTACACTGACCTTTTCCGGATTCCACTTATCTGCAATCACTAAGTTCGAGTGGGTATTTTTACACACCTTATGAAGAATATGCATTGAATTCAGTTTGGCTGTCTCTGTACACATCTCACAGAGCGCAGTTCTAGTGAGCAGGGATTCTTGATCAATATCTTGGGATTCTAAACGAAGAAAATACGAATGCTTTTCATTGTGAATGAAAAGGGGAAAGCAAGGATCTCATAAAAACCGATCGCCATTACAAGATAAGCTATGAGCGATGAACACAGACGAGTCATATAAAATTATATTGCAAGAAAACCTTCGTGAATACAATGAAAAACAGTTCGTAAAAAAACTGTCTCCTCGGATCCAATTTGTTTTGACACACGTTGTTTACTCTGCTGTGGTGTGTTGCAACAAAACAAGCAAAGCGTACAGCTTTTTTAATAGACATGCTTTATTTTATAAGTCAGAGGTGAATTAATTCCCGAAAAATTGAATCACAAAAAGAGAAAAATAAAAAAGAACTCATACCTTCATCAATAGAGCTACTTATGTTACATTGCTCGTCAAATTCGAGCATGTCCTCCAAATTCTCGGAAAACCTCTTAAACGACGTTGAATGACGATAGTCTAAAAATAATAAACAAAAATAAAATACGCCATTGAACGATCAATTGAATAAATCATCGATAAGTCACTTCTTACCGTTCTTATCTCCCGAAAGTCGTCGATCAAGTTTTATAGGTATGGAAGGAACCATTAGTACACTATCATTGACAGCACTTGATGGTTGCGTTGTTTTTGGTCGCTTTCCACTATTATCAACATCATTATGATCATTCTCCGTAGATCTTCGTCTCTTTGTGCCTGCTCCTAAATTCCCAACAACGCTTTCCCTCACTTCATACTTGCTCCAGTCGGTAGTATTTCTCGACAAAATTAGCTTGGGTATGATTTGTTCCTCCTTGAGTTCGAGGGACATATTGGTACACTCTGATGTAGAAGCTTGACGCTCATGAGAATGACTTTCACTGATCCTTTACGTTTTCCAGATGAATATTTCAAAGTGTTTTCAACGGGATCAGCAAGCAAGATGTCCTCGGGAACGTCATTAAACGCGTCAACATTTGCATTTCTGAAGTTTTTGATATTCTTCGTTGAATTGTTCAAGCAACCATTTTTAAATGGTTTGGGATTTTTCACCCGATGACTTCCATCTTTAAATTCTTGAATATTGTTGGAATTTGTCTGTGGGGAAGCTTGAGCCGCGATAATACAGTCAATCGGCGACTTTTCTGAAAGCGAAATTTCTCATGAGAGAATTTGGTGCTGCAATTTTTATTGACAAAAAATAAAACGAAACAAATGGGCTACAGCACATTTTTAAACCTCAACACCCATTCTTCTTTCTGACTATTCCTTTGATGCTCGCTTCTTATAAATATTACTCACAAGAACAGTCAACATAAAGGACATTCAAAAGCAACTACTCAAGAGTACACTTTTATCCGCCTAAAATTGAGTTGTAACTTACTGGGTCTTACTCAAAATAATATGTTTTATACAATGACGTTAGGTATTTACGTAGAAATGTTATGTAAAATACCAAACTACTTGATTTTGACTTGCGTAATTTTGAGAATACCGTTCGTTAAAAAAAGAAATTTAACATGTGTACAATACAGTACCTTGCACAGTTTGCCTATTACAGTTTATTCCTTTGGGTTTCAAGGGCAAAATATCTGGATGGGACGCCGGACTGCTTATAGTGTGATGTAGACCTAAACATGCCCAGAAACAACGAAGTCAGTGCCACTATACATTTAAATATGTAGCAACGTTGTCTCACAAACATCGTTCTTTGCCTTCTTTCGTAACTCCAGGACGAATAATTTACTACGTTTGCTTGGAAAGAATAGAGATAGCATTCAATATATGAAAATCGTTTTAAAGATCGCAAATACCATGGTGAATGGCAAAAGTAATAAGTTAATAGTTCTTAAAAGAATTGTTTTAAGCAAAGAACACTAACCAAATAGTTTTAGATAAATGGAAATAATAGAGATAGCATTCAATATACGTATGTTTAACTGAGCGACATTGTAATATCATATCGCAATTTAACTTCCTCCAATCTCTTTATGTATTACCACAGGCGCCAAAAAATTTTGAAATGTCTAAAAAATTCATCTTTGAAAGTATCTCATAGATTTTTGTGGTACGTCCTTCACATAAAGTGAGTTAATTAATAATTAATTATCAGCAGCCGGTTGCAGAAAGATTGGATGGCGTTATCGCATTTTTTCAAACTTGTGAGAAAAGTGGGTGTATTTTCTCTATGATTTTGAAACTTTGTAATTCTAGAACCAATATTGTGTTCCATTCATTGCCCAATTCAAAACGTCAATATTTTCCCTTTTCAGAGACTTTTGAAGCGTTCAAATATATTGCTATCGGGTGGATAGCATTATCCGGCCTTCGTGCAACCAACCTCACTTCAACAAAAAAGTGAATACAACAACTAAATTTTCTGATAACTATGCCATCCATCAGTCAATTCATTCAGTAAATACACTTTACCTTGATGATCAGTCTTTGACTGTGTGATTGGGGTGCTTAAGTTTGTTCGCATTTGCCGTGTCTTCAATGGAGAAAACTCTTGAACTGGAGAATACTGCATCATTTGTGTCATTGATGGTTGCTGCAGATTCTGCATACCTTCGCACTGCATAGTAGACATATTTTGAGTGTTGCCCATCATGGAATTCATAGAAATGTTGGAGTGCTGGAAGGTTTGTCCTTCAATGGAAAGATATACAACTGAATCGTTCTTTTTTTTCCACATATTTTCTGTTTTTAAGGTTGTCGCTCAAAGCTTTCATTATATACGTATGCACGCTAAATATTATTAACTGAAGCCAAAGTTAGAACATAGGACTAAAATTGGTGCTTTATATTTATGAAATCCAAAGATAATGGCAATTTTTTGTGCACATAAGTGCAGGCTCCATTGACACAAACAACTACTATATATAGAAACAGCATGATACATTGATTTTTATGAGTACCTTCATCAATATCTTACCTATGCTGATGGATTCATTTTGAAAAAGTAACTTCATCAGATTAGGATCATTCTCATTCACAGCAGTACGTGCATCGTCAAACACAGCAGGTTTTAGTTTCCTGTATGATGACAAAAACTTATTGAGGAAATCAACAAAGAAATGTTGGAAAGGGAGAGGTGCTGCAAAATAGCTGCATATTTGTCTATTATATAAACTTATACAAATCTTTGAGTACATTAGGTGAGCTTTCTCACAAAAACGAAACGTGAACGTTTATTGGTTAAGTTTCAATAATACTCAGTTAAATGTTTGTAAATGTAGATTGTCCAGATTAGTATAGTCCTGAGAAGGACTGTTTTTGTTGTTGTTGACCGATGCAAATGACTCTGAAGATGACTACCGCTAAGAATGTCGAAACGTCAGTCAACAACAACAAAAACAGTCCTTCTCAGGACTATACCAACCTGGACGATCTACATTTACAAACATGTAATGATACTCCAGGGTTCAAACCATTTACTTTACTCAGTTAAATCACTACAAATTAAAACACTGTATTCTTCTAGTCTCTGTTGCATCTGTTTCTTGCGAACTATTCCAAAGTACAATGATGCAACCACATATTGTGCCTAAATATTATATTTCAAGTAAGAAAAGTAAAATCTTACAAGTGATTTGTGTCAACTTGACTGAGGACATTCTTCAAGTGTGCAGCCATCTTTGAATCAGAATTTTGAATGATTTTCCACGCATCTGTACATGTCTTTTTGTTAGGAAACAAGCTCACAATTTCTTTCTTGGTCTTGTGAGGTAGAGGCAATTCAGACAAAACTACATAAGTTAAAAGGAACTTACTGTTTTTGTTTTGAGAGATGCAAAATGTCAGTAGTCAAGTTTGTGTCTTGAATAAAGCAGCAAAGTAAAAACACACTTACAGTCCCCAATATTGGCAATACCAGCCAATGTTACTATTGGCACATTTTGGGCTTCCTTGCTCATGTTGTAAGCTGATTGTTGGCTGGCCACATTTTTCTTCGTTCATAAATTGACAATGCAAGCAGTCCTTTAATAAATAAGACACTTATTAATACAATACCACAAATACAAACAGGAATACTTAGCTTCAATGATGATGAACATGACAGTCTGTGATTGTCAATAACACAATGTACACTGTCGACTTCGCCGAGATTAAAATATTACAGAAAATAAAGTTTGCACGAGATATGTGTATGACATGCGTTTACCATACATAAAATAAAAAATAATATTTACCTCTACATCAATGCAGCAACAGCGACAAGTAACCACATCACAAAACAAAAATTACAACGAAAACAGTGTCATCAGTCATAGACTCCATATATCGGCGGCCATTTTTATCCATGTTATTGCCTAATTGGGCGCGAAAATAATTTTACTTAAATCTACATCCGGGTCGCTGGGAAACCAACACAGATGACCTCTCCCCCCCCCTCCCGGTGGGCGATGTCTTCGAAAGAACTAAACTACGCAGCGCGTACACTTGAGTTTAGTGGTCTTTCAAATATACATGGCGTACGGGCCGTACCAGGTTTACGTGGTTTCATTGGTTTGAAGAGCACAGTTCAAATGATATCAAAAATTTCATAAATGCTATTATTAACCCATTGTCTTACATTATTTTCTAAGCAAACATGAGCTTATTATTCTGTAAGATGACCCTGTAAATTATCATAAGCCTATTGCACGTACGCTACCGCTTTTATTGTACATGAAAAAGTGCGCGTACTTTAGGAAGATATGAACAGATAGGAAGATATCTAAACATATCTAAAAGATATGCTAAACAAAATGTAGTTTTTTAAAGATATCTATTCCTAAAATTGAGCAGTTTGGCATCGATCAATAGTACAAGGGTATTTAAAAATAAACTGTGTGATTTACGTAAAATCTGCGATCCCTGTAGCTTCGTCTATAAATGAAAATGTGAACATTGTTACCTTCTGCTTTTTAAGAAAATGAATGGTGAACGGTAAACACAGTAAATGCAGAAATATTTGCAGAACAGTACTCGTGTTATGCATGGTGTAGTGTAACTTTATCTTTTTGTCAACCGTTGTGTTTATCTTTTTATCTTTTTGTCTACGATTTTGTCAACTATTTTTAAATTTTGTCGATACGTTCTGTCTAATACTTAAGATATCTACCACTTTTTCTACCTTTCTTTCTGTATAGCTTTGTGTCCATTTTTTTTTATCTACTTTTTTGTCTACGATTGTGTCTACCTTTTTGTGTTTCTTTTGTCAACCTTTTTCATCTACCATTCTGTCAACCTTTTTCGTAGGCGTCGACATATGTAAAAGTCGTCGTTTAATAGAAGATTCAATATTTGTAATAGCGGTTATGTTATATAAGACAATAAAAGTTCAAAATGGTTATTCAAATTGAAAGTCTGAAGTAATCCGAAGATACGTATGCGTTTCCATGAATCAACATACAAAGTATCAGTCCAGCTATTAAGCTATTGCCATTTCAATTTGACCATTAATGACCCACAAGAAACCGAATACACAAAATTCTTACTTTTGTTAAATGGTGAGCACTGCACACGAAACAAAAAGTTTTGTTTAAAATATATATTTAGTACGTAAAATTTAGTCCTGCTCTATAGATAATCAAATAAAGAAAGAATTGCAAGTACTGTATGGGTTACTAGTTTAAACCGCTGGTCAAAATGAACGACTGACATTTGTTTGCGTGCACCTGAATCGACAAGAAATATGAATAATCGGTATAACTTTTTGTTTGATATTTTGTCATGTTAGTCGTGATTAGTGTTATCTCATTAGAGATATTTTACATCGTTCAATTTATCTTAAATCCATCAGCATTGAAGCAGGATTTTCAATATAGGATTTCCACAAGTTTGAAAATCTACACATTGTTGCTCCATCGATGACGCGATGATCTGCAGACCACGATACGCATCACGTGAGCTTTGTAGACGTCATCATTCTCGTCATATCTTGGTACTTCCTACCATAGAAAGAAACATCGGCGTGACACGCTCAATTTGTAGAATCAAATCAAGAATTTAACTGAAAATATTATTGCCTCTTTGTCTATGAATTGCACAGTTACCGAGCGAGGCACAATTTACTTCCTGGTCCCTATGACGTCATGATACCTGCTATTGAAAGGCATAACGTATTTCGAAGCGATGTAAAATAGCTTAATGAACTAATGTATCAAAATAGTAATGATCGTCTTAATTTCAAAGTCTCTCCATAATTGCAATCCCTGTCAGTAGTGATAAATTGATACATATAACATGTATATGTATAACATGGGAACATACCAAAAACGGTCAGTGTTAACAGCCTTTTTGCCTGCGCAGCAGAGCACTTGTTCACGATTGCTATTATCTGAACAAAACATGTCATCGCTTACGATGAGATTTGATTTCATGCTATTTTAACTTTTATTGCAATTGGAAATAAAATGAAACGAGTGAAGATTTAGGAAAAAAGAATCTTTAGAAAAATATTGCCTATAGCCGTGATCGTCAAATACGAAACTCAAGCTAACCCTAAACACTCAAAAACAAGTAAATTTACCTGAGCTTTGCCCAGAGCTCCGATGGCAACTTGAGGTGGAAGGATAACAGGGTCGGCATATGTACCACCAATCTAATAAAATGACACAAAAAAAAGAACGACATTTGATGGCATGCACAAGATGAAACAAAAGAATATACATTCTGTCCAAACAAAAGAGTATACATTCTGTACAAACAAAACAGTATACATTCTGTACGCATCAAGCAGCTCATTTTAGCAAAGCCCAGTCAACTATATATTCATTGAACGAAATGACTAACATTGTGACGCGTATGTAACATCAGCCTAAGGTTAAAATGTCGCGAATAGTTCAAAATCGGAAAATATTGAACTGTATAATATAAACAGAATCCAAGTAATCTTTGAATAATCGATAAAAACGCAAACATGACTGGATGACTACTAATTTACGCCAAAATAACAATACAAAGTTTCATGATACTTTGTAATTGGCAAACACGTGATAAAGGAATATAGATTTCGCATTATTCACAGATATATCACAATCGTATATCGATCAAAAAACAAAGCATGCATAGAGCGAAAGCAATCGTTAATCAAAAAGTGCAATTCTATTGTAACTTACAGATCCGATGTTCGATAAAGAGAACGTTCCTCCCATCAAGTGCTCTATTTCCAACCTGCCAGCTAACGCGAGCTCTTGTAACTTATTGAGTTCTTTGGCGATGTCAAATATTGATTTCGTTTGAGCATTTTTAATGTTTGGCACAACCAGGCCTTGACTCGTGTCCATCGCAACTCCTATGTTGTGAGAGGCCTGATATGTAAAAGAAAAATATCCATTTCGTTCTTACGATCTTGCCATTGATCTTAAATAGTGAATGTAATTTTATCCCCAGTGTTAAACACTCCATCGCAGTCTGTTGAAAATTTGTTTGGGGGTGGGTGGGGTGGGGAGGTGTTGGTTCAACACATGCTTGCTCTGCTCCGTTGATATTTAATAAAATCAATTCTTATAATGGTAAATATCTTACTTTGTAAGTTAAATGCTCACAGTTTTCATCCACTGAACTGTTAAGTACTGGATGATATGTTAAAGCCATTGACGCAGCTTTGATGAACATTGGCATAAATGATAATTTGACCCCGCGATCCATGGCTAAGCTCTTTGCATTCTCCCTAAAACTGCAATCAATTGTATGGTATTGAAACTGCGATGTATTCTCAGTGGAGTAATCGCGATATATTGTGGCAGTTTAGTCTTGCTATGCAAATTCTCTGTTCAGTCACTGTGGAAACAATACCTCTCTCGAAAAATAAATGAAAAATGACGCTCTGAAATTTATATAGCACGACTAAAACTCGCACTTTATGAAGTATTGAGGGGTGAAAACCACCAAAATCAGTCAAACTATATAATACAAAATACTAAACGATGGCAAATCTAAATTATTGCTAAATCACCAGCTTCTTCTAAATTATGTGTTAATTAACAATCATACAACCTTTCATATAAAAAATTTTCACGTGTTTCTACTTTTTTACGATTAAAAAAGGTGCTAAATACAAGACGTTTTCTCCGAGAAATGAGATTTTACGTCATGATAGAGGATAAAAAACAGAATAACGTACGTGATTAGTCTGTTCAGAATAATTTCATCGCAATACCCAAAATGCGGAATTCGTAGTGCTTCTGTCATTGTCTTGACCATGGCCTTTCGATAACCAGTGATTAGCTCGGTCTTATCTTCCAAAACAGGTTCAACAGAGAGAAGTGGGGTGGGTATAGTCTTGGATGGTATACGAGGGGGTATGTTGGGAGATGATTGCTCAATGGAAGGAGCCCCCTCGAGGATTTCTGAACGACTGGGAAGAGCATCTGCAAAGTAAATGAAAAAATCACTTAACAACAGCGCGTTCTGAAAGTGGAAAAGAAAGTGCATTACGTAATATATGAAACACAAGTAGAAATATTTTATGAACATACAAAACAAGACGCAAAGCAAACATAGCAGAGTGTCAAATGTGTGACTATATGGACGTTCTACGAGCTTCAAAAACGCCACCGTCAGATCTTCGCAATGGCAAAGTATTTTTGGAAAATAATCAAGTACAACCCAAGAAAATCAAAGTTGACATTGGAAGAGTTCTTTATCAACACACATAAGCACACTGAATAAAAACGGATCTGTTCGACATTGAATAATTTGAACTTTTTCATAAAAGATTAAATATTTGATCAAATTTTATAAAAAAAGCCAGCGTCATCAGGTTGTCTCAAACAAAGACAAAAACATACAGTTAATAAGTTCTACAATATTTTTTAAATTTTTATTCAAATAGCTTTTGAAAACTAAAACTTCAAACATTGCAGAATAAGTTTTCAAAACGGTCCATTTGGAGTAATTTGGCGATCGTCAATCCAAAAAGATACATATAGTACAAATAAGGATCTTTCTTCGAACATACTGTATTGCTGCCAAATAACACCTACTGTCAAGACGTTATTCCTCAGTATACAGAGACATCCTTGTGTTTGTTAGGAAAGATATATCACATGCAAATTTTTACACTCCTTGAATATTTATTAACGTATCATAATTTCAATGTTTTAAATTTTTCTTTTGAAAAGGTATTCAACAAAGTGCTGTAGAACTTATCGACTAACTTTTTACTCCCTATTCAAAAGCAAAAAATATTACATGCGATAGAAGCATTTTATACGTTATAGTTATAACTTATATATACCTTTTGCTGTAGGAAATTCAAAATATCTTCTTTTAATACTCGTCCGTTCTTACCGGAACCAGAGATGTCGCTTAAGCTTATCTAAAATATCATTGAACTTTCAAAATATACTTATGTACACTTCCAGGACTTTAGGTACCCACATGCAAAAAAACAATACCTAACTAAAAAAATTCAAATGCATTCCTTGCCTTATTCTCCATGGCCATTTTCCTTACTGCGGGAGTAGCAAGAGCTTTTCCAGTTACTTTATGTAGAGCCTCTTGATCGTCAACAGAAACAGCTTGTGATTGTGGCGCGTTGTTAGCTTGATCATCGTCGAGTAGATCAACTTTAGTAACAGTGACATCATCATCTATTAAGAAGTTATAAACTGAATATATAAAACAAACTTTTATTACAGACATGTTTCGGCAAACTTATGCCATCATCAGTGCAAATGAATGTGTTACAGAATGTGATACTTAAATATATAAATAGAGATAAACGACTTACGATAAACGGTTTATCTCTATTTATTTTAAGTTATATTGTTTTCCTGCGCTAATAAAGCGACCTATTACAACAAGACAAACCGGAAGTTGGACTTCTGTTCATTTTATCGTTGCATGACTTAGGATTTTTAATTTTTCCGTCTCAAAATCAATATACATCGTTCCATAACAGGTGTCTTGCCTCCGGAACGTTAAACTTACGACACACGATGCTAGATTAAAAAGGATTATTCTGGAGATAACGCGTAACTATAGCAGCAGACCAACTATCGTCAGGTACGTTTCGTTTTAAATCAAAAGACTGACACAACAAAACAAGTCAACCAAACAATGTACTAGCAAATTAATCCCGCATTTTTATAAATTATACGTGTTTACAGTAGCAGTAGCTAAATCTTATACCATCCGTTAATTCAAACTCAACCAAAGGTTTTCCAACAATGGCTATAGCATCTTCTTTGCAATACAACGTCTTTATGACACCGTTATGTGGACTGGTAATATTTAACGCCGCCTGTAGATTAAAAAAATCTATTGTCATTTCTTCGAAAAATATTACAACAACCATATCCAATTGTTTTAGCCTGCAGTATGTTTCAATGACACTACACATGTTAACTGACCGAAAGGAAACGCTTATAATTATCAACCTTATCTGTCTCGGCTTCACAAAGATCGTCAAATTGCTCCACTGTATCACCGACCTTAACAAACCTTGAGAATTGTGTGAATAAAAAACGAGGTTATGATAAAACTTCAAAATAGCAAAATGTATGAATGCAGAGAATGGACGATTTTTTCTTGATCGCTAACCATTTTCTTATAGTAACTTCTTGGATTCCTTCACCAGGATCTGAGAGCACAAATTGCGACAATTTCGAAAGGATGGCTGTAAACAATGTAAATCAAGCATACAGTTTCACTTCAAAAATCAAAATAATTTTTTAAGCTCCAATTAGCGAAAATATAGCTAATACTCAGACATCTATTCCAAAGCCATCATCAATATATATATTCAGACATCTACTTCATGACATAGCTCTAGGGATAACAATATATGTAACATCACCTGAATTGTGGATCTTTCTTTTAGTGAAAAAGCACGTGACATTCTAAGAAAAAACATACAATATTCAAATCATCGTTATTTAAAGAGTAGTGGCGGGTTTCATAGCGTTGAATTTGAAAATTAAATTTTTCCACTTCGCTCAGACTATATATGTTGGCAACTACGTGCAATCATCTTGACATCATGAAACGTACATACAACGTGGCTCGTTAATATTATATTCACTTCAATCTAAACCCCTTTGTTACACATCTAAGACAAGGCAGCACATTAAGTTAACCAACAATATGATAAAACATGATAAAATATAAAACAATCAATAATAAGTAATTTATTTACAGACGACGTGCCAATCGTTCATTAATCACATCCTGTCGACTGCCTGGCTCAGAATGAAGTCGTGTGTATATTAAAGATGTACATTTCAAGTTTAAATGAGAATTTCTGGGAGAGGGTGCAGACAATTAAATGACTTTTTGCATTCGTTATTCGTACAAAAACGATGTCAAATTTCGTCATCGTTGACAAATACACTATAACTGAGCACATAGAAAAGTTTTATTGTTTTTTGTGCATGCTCTGTAAAAGCACTATGCAAAGCTCACCTTTATAGGTTTGAGCACTCTGGTGACTTAACAAAACAATCCTCACAATGTTTAACCAAACATCCTGTGTCCCAAGTGCAGGAGTCACCATTGCACTATGGTGATAGCCGGGAGGGCACGTTGTCATACACTTTGTATATATACATATAGTGAGCATAATCTATATATATGTGATTGTATATACAATCAAACAATGCAATATACATATTGACAATTGATATTTTAGTGAAATGAGATTCATATGTTTATATACATATATAATGAAGTATATCAAACATATGAATCTCATTTCACCTAAATGTAAAGTGTCAATATGTATATTACATCATTTGGTTGGTTCCTTGAAGTTTGATTGTAGCATAACATTGTGATTAATTCACTAGTGACTAGTGAATTAATCGTTTGTGACTAGTGTAAAGGTCATTTAAATGGTTAACCATTTAAATTTATCAGTATAGGAGGGAACATTAACACAATTCTAGTGTCCTAGCATGTATTAACACAATTCTAGTGTCAAAATGAGGAAAACTATTCAGGTGTTTAAAATCTTGCAGATTGTGACATTGTATCTACCATATAACGGCAAAGAAGAAATGTTCACAATACTACATACATTTGTATTCCTATTTTATCATGTTATACATTGTATTGAATGTACACGACAAACATTTTGTTTTCATAACGTTCCGATGTTGTAGAAATGAATAAATCTTTAGCCCTTACTTTATTGAAGATCATGTACAAATACAATATAAGAACACGAACAGAATGGTATTAATTTTTGTGGTAATTGTATTCAAACGAAGTATACAATAAATAATAAAAAATGTTGTTCAGTGGAGTTTTTACATGACACATTAAAATCCTCTTCATAACATGCAACATACATTAATATTTCACTGTGTTATATTTAAAGCATTACAAATACCGTTTTTTTATTGAAGGCCAAGCGATTTCGTTTCACGTACAACAACCTCGTGTGCACGAGACGCCTCCCCGAACAAGCCATCATGTTTGCCCACGTGTAGAAATAAAAACACGTCCAAAATCGCTGCTCCTCCCTTATTTTTAATTAATGTATATAATACGACATTGAGATAACAGATTCTTGAAAATCTGTATAAACTCTTTTTCTGTTCCAATGTTAACTTTACATTTATAATTTGTTACTCGTCTCGGCTTGCGGGCTCATTTTGTATCCAGCAATTACCACAATCAAAATACATACACATTTCATAATTAATTGTATGATTTGTACCATTTGTATCCAGTATCCTGGAATGAATTTTAAACAGAAAAGTTTTGTAGTTGAAAAGAATTTGTGAAGATATTTTCAAAATTTCCCTGAAAAATGGAAATGTAAGGTTAGCAATTGTTCTAACGAAAAATGAGCAATATATATATACAAGAACCTCCAACAAATGGAAAGGTAAGGATGTACTGTTTACAAAACAACATCATCGTCTTCACTTGATTTTCACATTAATTTTTCAAAAATATCAACAATCCAGTCGGATTAGTATGGAATATTTTGAAATATCTTTTAATAAAACGTTGAATTCAGGTTCTGCTGAACACCAGTGTTGGTGATATTGACATAGAACTTTGGTCAAAGGAAGCTCCTAAAGCATGCCGAAATTTTGTGCAGCTTTGTCTTGAAGGTTACTATGACAACACCATATTTCATCGAATTGTCAAAGGTACGTAATCAATTTGTTTTGCAGCTCTTCCAAAAGATTCTCAGCTTATGGCGATGCAATTTATCTGATTTTAGGTTTTTGTGTCCAGGGTGGCGATCCAACTGGTACTGGTTCAGGTTAAAGAATGTTCCTTGTTAAATTTATTAATATTGCTTGGTATATTTCAGAGTGTGTTTATTTAGATAGATTATTTTAAAGGTAAAAAAACCTATCAACAGGTGTTGACACATAACATTGATTACTTTTTACTTGTTGGGTTAGCCAATGTATAAACAAACCAAATATTTGCAAATGTCATTTGTTTGCAAACTTGCCAACTTAAAAATTTGTCCAAAATTGACACTTTTTATAATCATCTAGTCATTGTATTCGTCAACAGTTTTTGAAAGTTACTTTTAGAGATATATAAATGCGATTTTTCTGTTTAAAGGTGGTGATTCAATATACGGTGAACCATTTAAGGTTTGTGCGCACAGTTTGTTTCTGACTGGTTAAAAATAGGAGGAATTAGTAATTTAAAAACATTTAATTATTTTTCACTTGATGATGTGCCAAATTGTTTTCATCTTTTATAGAATGAAGCGCATCAGAGACTGAGATTTGTAAGACGAGGACTGGTTGCAACAGCCAACTCTGGGCAAAATGATAATGGCAGTCAATTCTTCTTCACTCTTGGCAGAGCTGATGAACTGCATGGCAAACATACAATCTTTGGAAAAGTGAGGATGCTATTTGTAGTTGAAATTATGTATTTCAAATAAATGAAGAACATATGTAACTGCATTATAGATGTATAAGTACATAAGTGGAATACTCTTATACATACCTATACAACTATGTATATACTGACTACTTGCACTGACTGGTATTTTTGTCTTGACCACATTACAGTGGTCTTTTGTGTGAATTGAAACTGGTCACTGACTTGTCTTGACCTGACACTTTTTTACAATGTGTCCTTGTTTTACTTGTGATGATGGATGTTAAAACTTGAATTTCAGGTCACTGGAAACACAATCTACAACATGCTTGATATGGAGAATATGGAAGTTGACCAAAATGACTTCCCGGTTTATCCCCCAAAAATACTGAATACAGAGGTAATATTGCGATTTTGCCGATTATTTTGTACATGTATGTGTTGATATTTGCAATTTTGTCACTTGAAGAAAGCTACCCCCCCCCTCCAGTGTAAAAATTCTCAATGGAGACTTGGATGTACTTTATCTGTACATATATTAATCATATTGTGCTGCTGTCCTTCTTCACCAACTTTGATTAATCATACTACCAGGTTCTCTCCAATCCATTTGATGATATTGTTCCCAGAGAAAAAGTGAAAAATGTTGTGGAAGAATCTGTGAATAAGAAGCAAAAGAAGATAAAGGGAACAAAGTATGTCATGTGGCAATTGCTGTTGCTTTGGAACGGAGCATCTTAGTGTTTTTCAAATTTTTTTAATGTCATCTGTACTCTTGACTTTCAGCATCTGTTTGTTTTTGTTTGTTTATTATTGTGTTTACTACTTATTTGTTTGTTTATTTACTGATACACATGTGTATATTAACCTTATGCCCATGGTTATGATATGACCCATGGTTATGATATATATATGACATATTAAGAAGTTTCTTTTTGCACTAGTTACGTAGGCCAGTCTGAATACAGACTACTTAAAACATCCTTGGCTCTTGATTTAAGAGCATGGTCCACGCTTTACTTTGATCAATTAAGGAGAAGATTATGAAATATTTCAACCCTAAATAATACTTATTTTAATTTAGGAATTTTAGTCTCTTGTCATTTGGCGAAGAAGCCGAAGACGACGAAGAAGAAGTTCAGAGTTTAAATAAGGTTAATGATGGATGTGGTATCATAGCTAGATCTTTAGCATTTAAGAGCTATGAAACAGATTACAGTTACGTAACGTAAGCAAGCAGGACACCTTACGCCTTGCCTAATATACAAAGTATTAATAGAGAATAACGATCCCAACGACGTGTATCGTTGTCATAAAATATAAAGTACGGCGATTAGAAAATTTATTGATTGAAATTTTTGTCATATTACAGAAAATCAAAATCAAAAGCAGTCATGATGTGTTAAATGATCCCAAACTAAGTGCTGTTCCCGCTTTGGAACAGACAGAAAACGACAAATCTCGTGTAAGTTTGTGGTGAAGTTTGTTAAAATGTTTTTACTCTGCATACCTTTCATTGGTGTGTTGAGCTCTCATTGTCTTAGAGTGTTGATGTACTTGATGAAGAAATGGCTGATAGTATTCGACGAAAATTAAAAAAACCAAAAAATGAAGAAAAAAGTCTTGAAAAGAGCGCCAAAGATGAGATTGAGGATGGAAAGTCTGATAAAAGGTTTCTGGCTTTATATAGATCCGATATTTTTTCTTTATGTGAAATGTACTTTTCTTTTAAACATATATCTGAATCCATTTCTTATGACCATCGAAAATGTAGTTTACTGTGTGGTATGTACAATCACTGTCCGAAGATGGTGATTGCTATTCTCTGAAATGTTTAAGTGCTCCTTTTTTTAATGCAACACTAACAACAGTCCCAACAACAATCCCACCTAGCCGCATCAATGGCGTCCGAAAATTGGATTTTAGCTTTTGGATGACTGTTAACGTCTATGAATGCATGTATTACTCTCTGAAGAAACAAAGCCTTTTCAGTTTACTGTCATGCAACGTTTTAGTTGATGTAAACGTTCGAGATGCTTATAAAATTTTCTGTTTGTTCCTTTAGGAAAGAATTACAACGTGAATCAAAAAGACTTCAACGTGAATTAAGAGAAGCCAGAAAGTCAAAGCAAAACGATGAAAAGCAGGAAGAAAAAAAAGGCGACGATGATGTGAAAGATGGTATTGCAGTTTTATCACTTGAGCCAAGTCGTGTGTCATGTAAGCTAAAATATCGTATCATTTTATTGTATTTTTATTGAATTGCAGACGAGCTTGGAGCGTTGAAAGAATTTCGCCAAGAAAGAAAGGAGTATTTGCACAAGAAAAACGAAAGCATTAAGAAAAAGGGATCCGGACGAGAAGAGCAGGTAGCTCAGCCGGACTATTATAGTGTGTGTGACATTCTTTGCAGGAAATCAGAAGAGTCAAACTTGTTGCTCAAAATATCACTGATAGACTACGCCCAATTATTGTATTCTCCGTATTAGGCGTGATTGGTCAACATTACTAATGTATATTTTTTGATTAGACATTACAGTTGCTGTCAAGTTTCATGACGAAACTTGAAAATCCTGAAGAAGGAAATGATTTGTCTGCCTTACCGGATGACATAACTGACGGTGAAGTTGAAGAGAATGAAGATGAGGGAGACGCTTGGTAAGTTTCAACAGATGAATTTTACATAGTACATCTATATGATCAGGCATCGAAACGTGGTGAATTTAAGCACAATCTTGTTTATTCTCAGTGCAATAACAAAGAATAACTTAGACCAAATCATATTTCTTTTTACTCTCCATACAATAAAAACGTTAAGACTACTATTGCACATATGCGTTTGCAGCTGGATATTTTCTGAAATCATCCAGACTACATGAAAAATTTTAGCTGTAAGTGTTGGTTAACTATAACCGCCGTATTTCAATATATCAATAACACTGCTGCTGGTAATTGTTTATTAAAACCTTTGTCTCCACTAGATGGTAAATTTTTATTAAACAAAACTTTAAAACGACAGTAGAGTTTTCAAGACAGTTTATGCATAACATATAGTATACTAGTTCATACATTTCGCGTTGTACGTATAGTGACTTATAGTATGTTTTAATTTCAGTACCTTTTACCTAACTACCATTCACTTGAGCCATTTAGTCATGTTCCATTGTTTCCTTTATAATCGTATGTTCTTTTTGGTTTTGTATATAAAGGCTGCATCATAAACTCATATTTGAAGAGCAAGATCGTAAAGTGAAAGACGCTAACGTTCGTGATGAGGATACTTTTGAAATATTTGATCCTCGTAATCCAATCAACAAACGACGACGGGAAGAAAGCAAAAATAAGCAAAAAGAGAAAAGACGGAGATGACATGTTACAGGTCAGTGTTATGTTATCCCCAAATTTCACAATGGTTTTGTTTAGTAGAATGACTACAAGGAATGGGAGGGGGCTGAAGTCGTGAAGTGATAAAAAGAAACAAGAGGCAAGAATTCGAAATGAATTTCACTATCGAGAAACGCGCAACGTACTTCATATACGGGAGGAACGCGTTACTAGAAAAGGATCTGTATTTTTAGAAGGGAATCTGTGTGTTCTAAAACAAATCGATATGATTGCTAAAAAGTATGAATAGTTTTGACGTGTAATGCCAAAAACATCACAAGCAAGCACGTTCGATGTGACCTGCGGTTTTCCATTTTGCATACACACGTTTTTTTCAAGCCATTATAGCCGATATAAGTAGCACCTTTTTCGAAATTCATTCACTCACTATCTGATGATTCCTATACGCATGAGACGGTTTATAAAAGTAAATTTATAGTAAGCTTTTTCCTATTTTTAGTAATGTATATGTATATATATCCACATTCCTTTGTTAATTGATGACATTAGTAATGTTTTTGACGATCGTCTCGAATTTTTAAACAATTCACCATCAGTGTTAGATTGCAAATGGACTCAATGCTCATAACTCATACCAATGATAAATTTGTTATTGGGATCATCAAATGTTCATGAAAGCAAGAAACCAAACAACTAACAAGTTCATAACTTGTCTGTTATCCAGCGCTTTCTGTGTCGTACATGTTAGTATACAACGTATGAAGATATCCCAACGATTTATGCGAGAGCGTTTTGAATGTCTAACTCAATATGAGATCATCATGAATAATCTGTCTAATCCGAGAAGATCATTTCAAGTGCGATCTTTTCAATCGATAAGCGCAAACTTGTTTTTTTCCCAAGCGAAATTGTTTAATGGCTTGGAAAACAAGCGTATGAAATAATAAGTAAACGATTACATCTACACAAAACTTCTGTATGTCCTCCATGTTTGTACGAGAAAACACATCGCAATTTGTAATGGAAGTATTTGTGCAGACATTGACCCGGGTTGTCGGCACCTTTGTTACACTTTTGTTATCAATTATTGGTGAGATTAATGGTAATTAAATTCCTTATGAAGTAAATATTTGCCCTTCGTAAGCACTGGGTGGAAGAGTTTTTATTCTACGTATTTGTATATTTACTTGTTTATTCAGTTAAAATGTTGCTATCGTCATTTTATAACCCGTCAGTTTTTCTCCGAAGCTCTAAGAAAAAAGTCTATCTTAACTATTTTTTAAAAGCTCTTGTTTCATTTAGATTTAATCATACCCGGGGTTTTATTTTTCGTTCCTTCTTTTTCACTGGGCGTATATTATGCATGGCAGGTTTTTCGAGAAAAAAGCTGCCCTTGCATATACTACCATTAAAAATCTCAACAGTTTAAATCCTGCTAGAAAAACAAAGAGCTAGATTGTGCGAAACGCAACATAAGAATTCACAGGTGCAATTCGAAAACGTTTCGAGTAATTATGATTTGTAAAAACAATTTTATCTTGATTTTCCCAAGTGACGTGGTTGAAAACGCCACAAAGTTGCTAAGTTTATTCATATATAAAAATAACAGAAATATTTGACTTTGTGAAAGAAACTGCCTTTCTAATAATTTATATTGAAAACACAAATGGCAATGGACCAAATGTGCATGAGCGCTGCATTAACAGCAAATTCATGCATCCGGTATTTTGTCCTTCGTCAATCATAAACTTACATATTTTAACATCTGCTTGCAGACGTATGATCTTGAATGATTGTCATGTTATCAGGTTTTTGATTGTTGATAGCTAATTGTAGCATCTTCTTTGTATGATATATCGAGAACTTTTTCAAGCAATTTAATGTATCGTACAGCCACTCTTAAATTTGACATTTCGAAAGTTTTTTATCCGGAGGGTATGTTGGCAAGATTTCTCGTAATTCAGCAAAAGCATTATTGACTTTATCTTGACGTGTTTTGCTTCGCTTTTTGTTTTTCTCTATGACGTGATTCTTTCGTCTCTTCATTTTCTTCCGTCCTTGCATATCTCGACTTTTCATGATGAAGCTGTTTCTTTCTAAATTTTCTTTTCTTAGTTGTTCGTCATTTCCGTAGCAGTTGTTCCATGTGGGTTGTTTCCAGTCCCCCACGACATCGATGTAATTTTGCCGAGATTCATGTCCAGTCTTGAGAATTGTTTTTCTTAATCAATATGAAAACAAACTGTTTAAGAATACATACTTTCAATTTAGTTACGTTACGCTTTTTACAGACGCTTCTCCCAAATTCACGTCTCAAGAACGCCAATAGTTGACATCCATAAATCAACTTTAAACAACTACATTAAGGCCAACTAAATGGCTGTATGTGAGAGGAAGACGTCTTATGTATACAGATTCTCTGATACGAATCTGATGGTTTATTGCATCGTCGCCACTTATCTTCAATCATATCTTTGGCTCGATCATCACTAGTTAACATTCCTTATGTTCCTTGATTTACAACATTTATATCTTAAATTATGGGTGGTCTGCCATATTATTTTTGAGCACAATTATCTAACGTGCGATGAACGAAACGAGATTCCCCCTGAGTGCCATTGTTGAATAAAACTGTGGAAATTTCAGCTATTTTACAATTTTTTATTCCAAGCTTATTCAATTTACAAACAATAGACCATGTTTTCCAAACGTACAAAGCGCATTACAGCCTGTCGTGTAGACGATTTCAATACCAACGCCTCTCTTTGCTACCCGCTTAAAAGCAACTGAAGGTTCGATGTTTAGTTGTATTCTTAAAAATAGTACCGCTTCAAGACCGACTCTTCTGGAAAATTATTTTACATTGGGTGTTCGCACAGTCTCAAAATAAGTTATCCACACCCACTCAACGATATGCAAGAAAACTAACTTACGATATTTTTGCGATTCTGGATTGACTTCTTACATTTCTTTAACAGGTATACATTACGAATTGAAGTTATAACATTTGCGAACCTGTTTTTTTTCTCATATCAAGTTAAATCAATGTCATTGGAGATTTTACCCTTCCAATTACAACGCCTGTTGGCGATCATTGTTGGTTTATTGCTTTTGCTATTTCAGGCGATTTCGTGCTCTGTATAAACGCCAATGCAGTATGCCGCACAGACTTCATCTGTTGTTCTGTATATAATTTCTGCATGATATGTAAAACAGATGTCACACGTGTTAAAATATCATCACAATATTGTTACTCTTTCTTCAACACTAGTGCATATACAGCTTTATAATTATTGTTAAGATACTAAGCGATTTTCCATAGTGCATCAAATAACTTGCCTGAGACATGGCGGTTTTTTGCTTTTGATTGATTGTCATTAGTCAAATTCACCGCATTAATCTAAAAAGATGAACATCTTTGCTTGCAAGTGAGTTGCCTTGCTTGATTTTTAAGTTCATAGTTAAAAGATATATGATGTTTTAAGTGTGAAGTTGCAATGTGGCGCTGTCGAATTAACCACGGCACGGCTGTTTTTCTTTAGTAATCATTGTTATAAGCAACTTAGTGCTTGTAAGAACCAAAGCTTACGATCGAAGCAGATTTCATTCTAAAAAACGCTGGCCAAAGTTTAGTGTTGAAAATACACAACACACCATGGACAATCTGTTGAGCTTCTGAATTATTCTTTATATTCAGTTGCCAAATATGGCAACTGACAAGGGATACTGAAACATCACGTGTATTGAAATAGTGCTCCTCGTACAAAAATCACCAAGAACCGAGTAGGCACTCCTCGCAAATAATGTTTTTTAAACCAACACGTCGCTATCAATAAGTTTGCTCAATCATAGAGAGAAATCATTAGACTGGTGGACAGGCTTATCGTGCCAGAGACTCAGTGTATATATCAAAAGTGTATTTAAGTATTTCCCTCATTCAGTTATGTTGATAATTTTAAATACGTTCATACGAAAATACATGCGCGGGACCAAAGTTAACCCATCAAAGGTGATTAGTGAATCGATGGATACCCTAAATTAAATTGAACTGTTTTTGAAAATTTTCATCTTGTGTAGGCGATGGCTATTTTCGATTATATATATGCTAGCTATGTATGCTTTAAATGAAAAGAATAAATTTTAAATAAAAGATTTCTTCATCAGTCAATCCAAAATCTTCTCAATAATGTCACGAATCGTTCTGGCGGATTCCACGATCTCATTTTCACTCAACTTGCAATTCACGGTGATACGAATGCTAAACGGAGTGATTTGTTAAACAGATGGCGTACGTATATTTATGATATATAAATACCAAAAATGAAAAAATGACGCAGTTAGGCCAAATACAAATGAAAAACACACTCCACAAAACTGTAAACTCAAGATTCGAGTTATAACAGCAAGAAAGACAAGTTTTATAGCAATATTTCGACTTTATTTCAAAGTTATTACAAAGCTAAGTGATATTTAAGCTTGATAATGACTTTAAATCACGTAAAGTCCGGCGAAATATTGCTTTAAACCTTGTCTCTTCACAATGCTTGAGTATACAAGATGATATTTTTTGGAGTGTGTTTTCTCATTTATTTTTTCAAATTGTCGTCTGGAAAAGGCTTATAGGCTAAATATAAACACATATCATAAAAAATAATATGCCACGATATTAATCCAATGCACAAATACGAAAAAGCGAGATAATGTGTGATGACAAACACGTGCGTTTCTTATTTTCATTTTGCCCTCCTGACGTCATTAAAATCAGCTACCATCCTCTTTTATTTATAACGTATGGCAAAAGAACGTGTACCTTGGGGGAGGCAAGAAAGCTTCATCATTTTTGAGATATCGTGCCACAGCAATAACGATGTCTTTCTTCATTACCTGTTCACCAAAAATAATGCGTGTTTGTCACGTGCTTTCTGTTAGAAAAAAGCTTGATACTACGTGAAGAACAAAGCTACCTCAGCGACTATCTTTTCCAGTATTTCTTCATCTTCCTCAATGGACCCAAAAGATGTTTCGAGACGCAAATGTATAATTGGAGAAAGTTCATTACCAACAATTTTCATTCCCTTGACACTAAAAAACAATTACGTAATCCTATTGAGATGCTTTCAATTTATATAATTTAAAAATGTAATCATCCTTGACGGTACTATGTTGATCTACGTCGTCATACTCGAACCCTCACCTACCCTTTCAACTTTTCATGAAATAGCAAGGCATTGTCTCGCAAAGTCTCGAACATTTCTGTAACGATACATCGTATAATACAGGCATCACTCGCTTTTGTTTGTAGTTATGTTTCAAAAGTGTTATAAGTCAAACCTGGATTTTTATTCATAACATTCAAAGCTTCCGTGCCGGCAGATGCCAGTAGAGGAGGCAGAGACGCCGAAAACAATATCCAGCCCCAGACAGACGCTGTAGAAAAATTGTTATGTTTTCTAAGTTTAATGCTTCACCAAAATAAGAACGGTGCAAGTCAACTTTATCCTTCGTATTTTTATAATTATATGGAAATGATATGAACTGTTTCAAGAATAATGCATGTAACCAGGAAGTCGTGAATTGCAGAATTGAACATGCTCATTCATATACCTGATGATCGACAACGAACGATGAACCGCAACAAAATCCTCCTATTGTTGCAAGTGATCCCTCCATAGATGCACTGATTAGATCGATATCATCTCTCTGAAGGCAAAAGGAAACTAACCTACGTACTTACCCATCAATACGATTTTTAATACAATCTTTGTAGTGTATGCAAGTCTCACACATATGTACAATAACTGCAACGGGCATCCCTAGTTACGTATACTACTATACTTACGTCAACATCAAAATGTTCTGTAACACCGCGACCTGTGGCTCCCAGGACACCAAATGACTGACTTTCGTCCATCAGTATTCGAACTTTATACTTATACTTAAGTTCAATCTACCAAAAAAATGAAATTATCTTCTGAGTTCGAGAAAATCACCCAAGACTATTTAAACTCCTTATCACCCAATTCAATTACCATCATAATTAAATCTAAACGAAAATATCGTGCGTACCAACTTAGGTAGCGGAGCTAGATCGCCGTAGTTCGTGTACAGTCCTTCCACCACAAGAAATCGTCTTGTCACACTGGCCTTCTTCGCATTCTGCAGGAAGTTATATTAAACAATATCTAAGTATTTATCATCATTGTAAACAGCGTATAAGAAAAACAAAGTAGAAGCAACTCTTATGACGATCAGCATTTTCTTTCCACCTTTTTATCTTTTTGTTCTTGTTCCTTTAGGCAACGTTCAAGATCGTCCATGTCATTGTGTTTGAACCAGTACACCTTGCTGCGAGATGCTGTTACACCTTTCTGAATGGCAAAACACACGCCGTCATCGCTACACATCATCACAAAAAAAGAAAGAAAAAGCAACATAGTTAGCATAATATTTGCTATGGCTGGAATAACAGACGGAATGTTGTTTCTTTAACTTTATCATGAGAAATTACCGCGGCGCATTTTAAAGAAATCTTTTTTTATATAAATAAGAACAATTAACAATAAAATAAACAAGTTTGAAATGTATATGCATTTTGACGGGAGAATGTATTTGTACCGCTTTTTCAAAATTTGTTGTTTTATGTTAGCATCTTCTACCGACTACAACTTATTTAGCAGAGGTTCTTATTCAGAATGGCACTTACTCAAGGAGGGTTATGTGTTAAGTTACCATGGTTAAACACAACATAAAAATGTAAAATAAAAAAAAACAATAAATGCTGTAAAAGGGAACTTTGCATGCACATATTCTATCTTTGTACAATTGCATTTCAATTCATCAGCTTGTTAGTTAAAAAGTTTGACTGAAAATAATTAAAAATTTTCTGAAATGTAGAGAGTTCTCATTTCATACTCACCAGAATATGACATCTCCTCGCTTGGAATAGGCAGGTATTGCACTAGCAACAGTGGAAAAACCATAGGCATACATGATAGCATCTTCAGTATTCATAAATTCTGCAACTTTCTTCTCAAATTCAAGATGAACATCTGAACAAAATAGATTACAACAAGAATTATTTTAAATTTAGTAATTCAAACATAATCTTCAAATAGCAGGAAAAAAATTAAAATGGTCACCAATAGTTCCATAAAATCCTCTAGGGCCACAAGATCCAACACCATATTTTCGAAGTGATCTTATGCTTGCATCCTAGGCATATCACAGGCATTTAAAATGAAGACAAGGATGTTAGTCCAATTACGTAACAACTATAATGACAGAGTAGCAGGGACCTTAATAAAACAACAAAAGCTAGTTAAACCTCAATATCCTTGTCACCAACAAAACCAAGAAAATTGAAAGTAGCCAAGTTGAGACATGATCTACCATTAACAATAATTTTATGACCAGGTTTCCTAGTTCATAGGAAATACAATATACAAGTTATATCTACTGCAACATGACTTTATAATGTATTTTAATGCACACTAATTTATCATATAGTAAACATTTACCCCTTGATGACATTAGGATTAAGAACATATGAATAATGCTTGGCATTTTCGGGAACAAGAGGTTCGGGTTTCCATTCTTTAATAAGTTCTTCTTCTTCCTATGTTAGTAGGTATAAAATATTTATTTACTTTGTTGAATTAGTCATAAACTGCAACTCATTCATTGTAAAATTTTCATCAAGAAAGAAATTTGTTAAAAAGTCCATGGTCATTGCAGTTGAAATGTGGTTTGCATGCATGATGCATTCAAGATTAAAACCTATCATTACCTTTTCTGTTAGTTGTATTTCACTTTCTCTAACTCGATATTTCTTGGCTTGGAAAAGACGCAGTACAAGAATCACCAAAATTACTTCAAACAAGATGTGGTAAAATGGTGCCTTCAGAAAATATACAAAATATTGTTGCTTCACTCCTTAGATTTTCAACTTTCTTAACACTACATGCAGCAGTTTTTGAGTCAAAACAAACAATATCAAAAAAATGTTACACAAATTGAGTGTCAGTGTACTATTTACGTAATTATGGATGACAAAATCATCCGAAAGACTTAAAGCTTGTGCAAAAGAATTCAAGTCCACTTCAAATTTTTTTGAAGTTTTTGCTAAAAAGTGCCAAAAAAAATGTACAAACAGAAGATTAGCAATGGGAATTATTGTAAAAAAAACAGTATATTAACTCCGATCGTTTCAAGATGGGTAGAACTGAGAATGGCTTTGTGATTGACTCATTTGACTGTTAGGCAGAATGTCCCAATCATTATGTCAGTAGTCATTAGACAAGGCAAGTAACAAGAGACGAATGATTGCTTATAACCTTTTACATAAATAAGGATTAGTAGTTAGACTGATATTCTTTGGTTGTGGGTGGTTGGTTAACTTGGTTTGCATAAAGTTACTCACATGATCCTGGTGAGTGGTGATCGTAGAATTGCAATATAATAAGAATAATGCACGCAGACCTTATTACTTGTGGGATAAAAAATAAAAACATACCCCTATATATACATCCCAAAATTCAACTAGCTTCGTCAAAATGAATGTAGTATATGAAAGCGTAGTTCCTTTCTCTTTATCACAATTTTCAGCCATCTTGGAATTTGTTTGTAATGTGGATTATATGATCAGTGGATTTGACGGATTTGATGGATTATGGACTAATGGCGTTAATGGTCAATCATCGTCGCACAAATATTTGACGTACAGCATTGTCAGGAGATAGCTTATTAAGAACTAAGAATTAATTGTTGTCTATTGAACATATTGAATTGAAGGACGTCGAAGCAAACTGATCAAGTAATTTCTACACTCACATTGAGTGATTTGAGTGAGTCGCACAACATCATTTTATCTTTCTTAAAATTTGCGGGCGTGTGTTAATTTGCGGGTCTTAAAGGAATTTATAAAGCGAAGAAAAAGAGGAAAAGTAATAGTTTTTGGAAAGGAATACAGCGCCAGCAGATTGCCACGCTCTTGGATAGTTTGTTTTGGAAAAACCTTGTACTTTTAGAGTATCTTTAAAATGTCGAAAAGATTAAGAGTCTCTGAAGGGGATTGGACGTGCTCAGATGCCAGGCATGCCTCTCTCTTTTTTAGTTTTTCACATGAATGTTGTGTTTATTTTTAATATCATGTTGACAACAAGTGGTTCAATCTTCCTTAGTTGTGGTAATCTCAACTTTGCTCGAAGAACAAGCTGTAATCGATGTGGAAAGGGTAGGATTAACTATGGAAACAAATGTTTGTAATCAAAAACTATACCTGTTTACAAGACAGTGCTTGATGTGCTGATCAGTACCATGTTCACACTGCGGCTCTGCAAATGGTCATACCATCATTACCCACCCCCCACCCCTGGACGTCAAGTTAAAGTCTCCAGAGTGGAAGATTTGTATTGGATACTCATGATTTCGGGTGCACAATTGTGAGAAAAATAGGCAATTATGTGTAGACAAGTTTGAATCTGTGGAGTGCAGTTTACATGCTCTGAAGTCTGGGAAAGTACTTTATCAAAGATTTATAAGTTTATGTGGCCATTTTTTAGCATTCTATTTTGTGAGGACTACTGATATAAAACACAGTTAAAAATCTTTTTTTACAATGAAAGCTGTTACATGTTTTTTCTTTATGTCTTGGCCTATTGCTCTTTGGCAATTTGTTGGACCAGACTTGGTAGTAGAAGTACAGATATTTCTATATTTACAACCCAACCTCCCCCATTTTGGGTGCCTCAAAATGCCTGTCACCTTGAGTATTAATATGATCAACTTGCTATAATATTTATTGTTTCTTGTTTTTATTTTGTCTAAATAATCCTGCAACATCCCATTCATTATTAACTATCTCATTTATTCAAAAGTTTACTTGGTCAAGTATCTGATATTTTTCGGACAATGAAATACAAGTATTTGACTGTAGCATATCTTGGATGTAGAGAAAGGAAGAGGTGTGGATAGGGTAAGGAAAAGTGGATCAGAAATTGGAAAACATTTTGCTGAGAAAAGCAAAGGGTTATTTAGTGCAGATGATTGGCAATGTGCCAAGTAAGTGAGAAATATTTCTCAAACTCATTTTGAAATGTGATATCCAATTCCATGCTACCCTTCAACATTCTTTCTGTCCAATAGGTGTGGGAATATCAACTGGGCTCGACGTTCTACCTGTAATGTTTGCAATGCCCCAAAAATTGGCCATCAAGAAAGAAGAACAGGTATTATTTAGGTTTTTTTGTGAAGAACTTTGCAACAATGTAAATCTGGTGGTAGTGTTGGAGTTCATTAGACCTAATCTTGTAAAAAAAATTGCAAGTATGTAAACACTGCACCCACCACTCAATATCTAATTTTGAGTCATTGAATTTTTGATTTTTCATATTGTTATGTATGCAGGACTTGGTGGCGGTTTCAATGAAAGAGAAAATGTGGAGTACATTGAACGAAAAGACTCTGATGACGAGTATGATGATGTACGATTTCTTTGAAATCTCCCATAAATGCGTTCAATTTTTGAGTTTTTTCAATAGTAATATATATAAGTAATAACTCTACAGTAGAATAATTATTTATTTAGTTTGGAAGGAAAAAGAAAAAAACCAAGCACGAACAGGTAAGTAATAATTATTAAAACATCAGCATGACTCACAGACTCAGAAAAATAAAACACTTGCATATACGTAGTCAATGGTTCACATTTCAAAAAAACGTTTCTTAAGTTATCGCAACATAAGTATGTTCGTGGTTCTTTTGTTTTAAGAGTCGAGATGAGAAACCACGAACAGAATTTCTTCAAACGAAAAAGTTGAACCTTTTGAGGACGAAGAAGAGGATGACGACGACAGTGACGTTGATCTCTCGAAGTATGAACTTGATGACGATGTGAGTGTTTGCCCTTGCATGCATTATTGTAGTTTTGAATATTATCTTTGAATATAGCTACTGTAGGTAAGGCTAGTAATGATGAAAATAATGTAAACTAATTGTTGTTCTTTAGGATGAAGATGACGAGCCTACGCAAAAAAAGGAAGATTCACGGGATCAGGGAGGGTAATCACATGACCTGACACCCCACTGGGGTTCAGGTGGGACAATACCAAATATTTTATTTTTGTTCAAGGGATTTTTTACAATTACGTTGGTGCGATTTGCAAAAGCATTCCTGACTTCCTCGAGAAAACTTCGAAAATGATTCGTCTATTTTTCCAGAAAGATGCACATTTTACTATTGCACAACATAATTTCGCATGAAACATGATAAAGTACAGAAAACTTTTGCAATCTTGACTAAATTATCAGCTTAAGCCCTGATTCCACCGACAAAATTTTCCACTAGATACGTGTGATGTAGAATCAGTGTAGTACACGTAACTTAGTTACTTCACTATGCGCTAGCAAAGGAAAACATATGATGTGTTCTTACACAACTTTGTGTTGTGTATTCCTGCTCCAAATAATCAATGAATCAGATGTTTGTTTTAACATCGTTATTTTTTCTAGACAACATGGAAACAACGTTGCGTCAAAGAGGTACGTAATGTATTTGTGAGCGATATTGTTTTATTTACTATTTAACGATAATTACCTGTTTCAACAGACCTGTTTCACTTTCGTTGTTGGAGCTGCTACAATTAATTTTACATATAGTATAAAACAGATGTATTCTGTCTGAGGATGACTTTGAAATAAAGTCGAAAATTTACAGTTCACTACTCGTCTTGTTTTGATGCATATTTTGCAATCTCAAGATGTCTTGCTTCTTCGGAATTTGTTTTATACTATATTTCTTTAAATTGTCGGCTGGTCATGGTTTTAATTTTACATATTGTGGCTGTTATGGTGACCATGAGAACTTTTGAATATTTTAGTACAGAGCTCATGTACTCGCGTTTGCTGTTGGTACACTTCCTTTTCATTTTTTTGTAAATACTCCCCAGCTCATGAAACATTCAAGTTATGGCCTAATCGTGACACACCATATCTGATTAGTCTGTTTGAATTTCTACAACTTACTGATGCATGCTTGGCCGGCGCATTTTTATAAAGTACTGTCACCCTGATGCGTCATCCAATTCGATTCATTTAAATTGTTTTTATTTATTGGAGCCGCCCATTCATCATTGTTGGCTAAATTGTATTTTTTATTTGATTGCTCATGAGCAATATGTAAGAGCGCCTTTTCTTGGCAGGTCGGACTCTCGTTCACCGTCGTCCAACGATCGAAATGGTAGCCGTCGTAGCTCGTCTGCAAGTTCATCATCGAGTTCATCCAAAACGTCTTCATCGTCAAGAAGTTCATCTTCATCATCGGATGGTAGAAGGTTTGAATTCTCATGTTTCCTCGAGTTGCTTTTTCTCTCTTCTGATGTGGTCAGGTTGATTGGTTGAACACTTAACGAAGAAATTCACAAATGTTGCTACTGCGAATAGTTGAGCAGCGAAAACTGCAAATTGGGAAGAATATGAAAGAATTTGACGGTTTTTTATTGTCCGCTATAGCCCTTTTTGTCGGACATATTTCTTTGTATTAGCTATATTTCTGTTACCCATAGCCTTCTGAATTAAGCTTTCGAAGCATCGATGCTTTCGAAATGAAACATTTTGTGCACAATACCGTTGAGATTAATCATTTTACATGTATCTATGAAAAATTTCTAATCATTCTCTGCAGGAGTCGAACTGGTTCGCGTTCAAGATCCAAATCACCTATCTCCAAACAAAGGTTCAAAGGTAAGCACTTGCTCTTGCTTTGTGCTTAGCTTCAGTCACTTTCTCACTTGTGAAAATCTGCCATTTTACGAACTTCAAAATTGAACGTTGGATTCAATATTATTAACTCTTGCGTTTACATGAGATTTAAATCGGCAAAACTTCCTATCATTTATCCAATCAAAGTCTTATTTTCTTCAGTCACATGATAGAGGCCATTTGGAAAGTGTTATCACTTCATGAAATAGTTCACCAGATCCCCTCCAATTTGAGTAAATGAATATTTTATCAAAATAAGGCATGTACATATCAACTTTTGTTGCAAGACGTCCCCTAAAAGCACACCAAACAACGAACGTTGTTATCATAAGATGTCTCCTATTATCAAGTTATGAGTATTTGTAGCGGAATTGATCTTTGATCACTGGTATGTGGGATCGTCGTGTAAACGAGATCATTATTTTTCACTGTACTGTTTATTCTTGTATGTGTTTTTAGACTGAATTGCTATGAAGGCTGAAAGAAACTTTGTTGAACGAATAAAACTGATGCATCCATTGAGAAATTATGAACACACTGTAAATGGAATGCATTTTTGTTTGCGTGCTTTGATGCTTTAGTTTTAAATAAATACGCTTTTTCCTTTCATCTTTATCAGAACATGGGGTGATTTTAAATCACGAACTTCTAGCTGAATTGTGACTACCAGAGCTTATTACATCTTAGGATGTTACTAGCTTATGATTTGTTTTCTACCAAGCGTTTTCACTGAAATAAAAAATGTATGCTTTTTACAGCAAACCGTTTTCATCAAATGTTTTTAGCTTTTTGCTCTGTGAATTGTTCGACAAGTCATGACATTGTGAGTGATGGAAAATCGGACTACATATGTGGGAAAATGGAAGGGAAGTAGGAAGAAGGATATTACATCATAAAAAAGTCAACTTATACATCATAGGTTCAAAAGTCTATCGAACGGAAACACGTTACTACGCTTCGATTTCTTTGTTCACATGAATTTTTCTGATTTGCTTTCAAGTTTTATTTTGATGCTATGGAAGCTTGAGCCCGGTGGATTCGAATGTAAATAGCGAGGTATGGTATGACTGAAAAACTCGTGTTGTGATGGCGTGATTACTGTACTTATCCTCAAATTATTTGACTCTTCACAGGCTATTTACTGTACTAAAGTACGAAGATTGATTGCCCATATAACTAACAGAAACTGAACGAAAGTCAATAAATTTTACTGACATGTACGTTTAAGTGAGCTCTCTTAACCGAAGGCAAGTAATACGTGTTTGAGGCGGTGTTTGTACTTAAAAAATGGCTGATGTGGAAAGCTTTACCAATATGAGGCGTGTGACCTCTGAAATAAGTGACATTTCTATTTCTGAAAGCAGTAAAAAGCAAGAGGACGATGTCTTCCCAGAGGGTATAAGCATTCTTCAGTTACCTGATAATGGTAAAAATGACCAACAAAGTGTTTTTATGGTTACTGCTACCAAACCTCAAAAAAAGAAAAGACCACCAAGGGAAGATTTCCAGTCTTTTGATCGAATGTTTACACTGAGTGATGATTACCTTGGCAGCGGTTCGTCATCTCAAGTTTTTGTATGTCAGCGTACCAAATCTGGCGAAAAATTGGCTGCAAAAATTGTTAAAAAAATTAATGCTAGATCACGAGATAGAGTGTTGAATGAAGTTGAGCTCCATCATCTATGTCGAAAACAACAAAACATACTTAGCTTGATAAAGTTTTTTGAAGAAAGCTCAAGGTACATATTTGTCTACCCTTTGATGTTAGGTGGGAGCTTACTTCGTCATATTGAAAAACAACATGTATTTACTGAAACCAAGGCCAAAGAGGTTGTGAAGGACTTGAGTAATGGGTTAAGCTTTTTGCATCAACATGGTGTGGCTCATCGAGATCTAAAACCTGATAACATTTTATGTGATAACAATGAGACAATTACACCTGTTAAAATTTGCGACTTTGATCTAGCAAGTGGTATCGGATCTTTGACTAAACCTGTATCAACTCCAGTTTTGCAAACTCCAGTTGGCTCTGCAGAATACATGGCTCCAGAAGTAGTGAAGATGTTTGTAGATGAAGGCAAAGCAACATCTTATGATAAGCGTTGTGACTTATGGAGCCTAGGTGTCATACTTTATATAATGCTGTCAGGTCATCCACCATTCTACGGCAATTGTGGCGAGGACTGTGGTTGGGATAGGAATGAACCATGTGATAAATGCCAGAACTTATTACTAAACAGTATTCAAAGTGGTAACTATAGCTTATCAGGTGAAGAATGGAACAAAATATCCCAAAATGCAAAAGACTTGGTTGCAAATCTCCTTGTACATGATGCATCTCGTCGTTACTCTGCAGATGCTGTTCTACAGTGCCCATGGATAACTTCAGAGAATGAAAATAAATTCAAGAATATCAACACCCTTAGTGCCCCATCGCCAAGAGTGACATTCGATGTTTCAGGTTTCCTTGATGTGGCTAATGCTGTGAGTCGTACTCTGGCTGAACGTGCTAATATTTTAAGTAAAAGTGAGAATAGTGGTATGTTTGGTTTGTCTCCTCCAGGTATGTCATCTTTGGCCAAACGAAGAGCTTGTAAGTCAAACATAAAGCTATAATTCTCATCCATTTCATTGTTTTATCCAATACTGACTGTGCAATCAAGATTTGGTGGAAAATACTTTCATACCACATCCTTATATTTTATTTTTTTTCCTGTTTACAAACATGGAGATATTCATTAATCATGCTTACATTGATAGGAAATAATTTTGCATATTCACTTATCTGTGACATTATATGGCATAGGCAACTTGTATGTAATTAATTATTTAATGTTACTGCAGATGTTTCACAATCACAACTAACCACAGTTAATGAATGTGAAAATCTAGCACTAGCTTTGTTCAAATACTCTCAGTATTTTGACATGGATAAAATGTTGTTAGGAATCCAAGTTTGCACAAGGCAGTGTTACAAAGCAATATCTCAAATAATCATTCTGTGTTTCACATGTAATGTGATATCACTGTGATGGCATTTTATCTCTCCTAGAGTGAAAAAAATTCAGCCATTGTATGGGAAATTGCATTTTGTAACACTGCCTCTATTTAGAGCTACATGGTTGCAGCCATTTATATCTGTAAATGATCTTCGACCGTTGACGAAATACCATGATCACTACATGTAACTTGAAAGACTTTCGAATACTTTACCCCATCCTTTGTTAATTTGTGTCAGTGTTTAGACATAAAAGCTTGAATACCAGTAATCGCTCTGCCCAAAATTAGCGCATGTACGTCGTGCGTTCCTGCAAGAAAACGTCATTAAATGTAAAGAACGTCCCCAAAAAAGTTCAAGGGCTAACAAAAACCTAATTTGAAGCAAAAACACTTTACCGATTTGTTCTAATGTATTCCAACACAATATTACCTTCGTACGTGTTGACTGCTTCTAAATTCATAACGTGTCTGATAACATGGTATTCATCGCAAACGCCGTTACCTGAGCAAAAAACAGATACGAATTTTTACGAGTCATCACGTGCATTTCACAAATTGACGTCTCACAGGTCTGTATGACTTTGTCGAAAGTCTGTGGTACTTTCTTGGTACATTTCAAAAGTGACAAAGGTTTATACGTACATTGCCATGAGGTAAAACGTACGACAGAAGAAATCATTACCTCCTAAAATATCTCTTGCTAGCCTAGCAATCTCCAGTGACTTTCCGCAGTTATTGCGCTTCATAAGAGACACCATTTCGGGGCAGTGACTTCAATAAAGAAAAAACCGAACATCAACAACAAACCATGCAACTTTCATCTATACTACTGGAAAAACTGTTTATTCTGATACCTTCCTTCATCTTTAAGTCGAGCCACATGAACGGCAGTATTCAGACCCAAAGAAATCTATTCGTATAATGTGAGCTTATTAAAATAAAATTCAGATAATACTACAGGATGTTAAAAAGTCCTCTAAAACTGGTTTGATAAGCCCTATACGTAAGAATGCTAAGAAAACGCCCTTTATGAAATAACATAGTGCAATGCTATAAGCGTTGGCGTATGAATGCCATGGATAAGCTGTACTTTTGAATTGTATGCTAGGTGTCTCAAGAAAATCATTTTTATGTACTATGGACCAACATGAAAGGCAAATCGTAATGACACAAATCCTCAGTACTATAAATGCAGTGCAACATACCTCAGTTACCATATCTGCTAGTTTTTTTTGAATGAGCTGATTAGCGGCAAGCGGTCGGCCGAACTGATGTCTAGCGAAATAAACTCACAGTCACCAAATATGTACGTACCTTGGGGAAAATTGACGCTATAGATTCACTATGCATGCGAAGGGGCAAACACTAATTGTTTCCAAACTGTTATCTCAGCATTTTCCTTGGTTAATTGAACGTACCTGTCAAGCGCATACTGTCTTGCCGTTTCGTAACAAAATTCAGCAGCTCCCAAACATCCAAATGCAATTCCCAATCTGGCACTGTCTAGACAGCTGAATGCACCCTATGTAATATTTTATTATTTATTTTTTTTTTAAGTGAACAATCGAAAAGACTTCACTCCTGAAACAAATCGTATTACAATTTTTTCTCTAAAAGCACGTTTGCGGCAAACAAGAATATTCTATATGAGTGTGGGTCAAAGTAAAATTGAAAAACTCTTGTTTAATATTCCTAACAGCTGAATAAAAACTGATAACCGAGGGCTTTAACGTTAAAATATGCTCATCACATTACTTTTTCTCGGAAGTTTAATAGTCAATATATCTACGCCAGGTGGGAAAATTGTAGGTCTTCAAGTTTACCTTTATCCCGGTGACATTAGGTAAAAGGTTATCTTTTGGTACTGCCACATCCTCCATGACAATCATACCCGTTGCAGACGCCCGCAAGGAAAATTTTCCTTCTATCTTAGGCGCTGTGAGCCCTTTCATTTCCTTCAAAGAGAAATGGTTACCTTTAAATTGAGCACTTTGTCACACCTTATCACTAAATACTTGGTTTGAGTTCAGACCTTTTCCAAAATGAAACCACGAACAACATTATCATCACATTTTGCCCATATGACAAATACATCTGCTACAGGAGAGTTTGTTATCCTGAAGATAAAAACTCGCCGTACTATATGTTGAACTGTTACACGAGCAAACTTCAAATGACTCTCATAATCGTGTATTGCTATGGTGTTTTCATCTCACCAGGTTTTAGATCCATTTAGAATATATGTGCCCGTACTTTCTTCATATCGAGCTCTCGTTTCCATGCCACTCGGATCACTGCCATGATTGGGTTCCGTTAAACCAAAGCAACCAATCAATTCTCCTTTACCTGTCAAGTTGGAAAACGGGAGATTACAGAGACAGTGCAACCTATTTGAACAATAATGAACAGTGTATGCCTTACCTAGTCCGGGTAAATATTTTTCTTTCTGGGCTTCCGATCCAAATGAGAAGATGGGATGCATTACTAATGAAGACTGGACGCTCATAGCAGACCGATAGCCACTGTCAACTCTAGTAATAAGTACAATATGTTTTAAGGAACGGAGAATTCAAAAAGAAAATATGAAAGCTCCGTTTTCTAAAATATGATTGGTTGATATTTGGTTCAAAAATTCTTCATTAAATAGGCAAATGTCACGACAGGCTAACGAACTAACCTTTCTAGCTCTCTAGCGATAAGCCCATAAGCCACGGTGGAAACTCCAGCACATCCATAACCTGCTCAATCATGAGTGCATATAAATTATAAGCTGTGGCATAAAATCAATTAAGCAATTCATCATTCAAATAACTTTTTATAACGATGCAAACTACCGTTTATGGTCGCACCAAGTATTCCCAATTCACCCAATTCCGTCATTATTTCTTTGTGAAAATCTACAGCAATATGCACTATGTATGAATCTTGATTACTTGGAATCAAAGTTGTGTTCTTGTGTACAAAATTTGGAGGTGAATGATGTGCAATATGTACCATGCAATGAAAAGTTAACTAAAGAAAAGAAAGCATGAAAAAAGAGTCATACGTTCATTTCTGTTTGCCATTAGCACCCTTGGCATTAATTTTTCCTGACAATAAGCATGGACTTGATCTCTGAAAGAATTCACAAAAAAAACAACATTAATTCTAATCGGTGAAATTTTGTGCACACATGATGGTAAAATTTAATGCAAGTCCAAACATTGCCGTTTGCACCAAAAACTTCAGATAAAAAGTAATAAGACATGAGAATTTTCTTAGTAAACACACCTCACAAGTATTTCATCCTCTTTCAAACAACTATCAACATTTACTGGATCTTGATAATCAAATTTAGCTACAGTACAAAAACAAAATAATTATATTGATGATAGGTCATAATTCATGTTTTCGTACTTTGCCAGCAAGTTATTGATGTGAAAATATTTGATATAGCTAGGCATGTGCATGAACTAAAGAATGAGAAATTTGTCTACGAGAAGCGATAACACAAGAAATCATCTCAGTAAATGCCTCATTGAAGATAGATTTACTGACAGCAAATAATCCTAGCACAACGTCATCAAACCTTTGTGTTACTTAGTGTCCTATGTATAGTTCAAACTTAACTCTGATATGCAAGATATTCAATTTCATCAATTATCAACATGAACTTGGGTTAAACAATCTTTATTTAATCCAATTATCACTTAGGTCTGGCAATAAAAATGAAAAATTAAAGGAAAAGACTCACCAAATTTGGACTTTGTACAGTCTATGATAAATATTCGTTAAAGAATAAAAACAAACAAAGAAAGATAGAAAGTAGTGTGTACAAGTAAAAGTTGGTGTATCCAGATTAAGCAAAATATGTTACAACAGTCCATTATTAGCTAAATTTTATGATTTGAGATTTTGTAACGAATGGCATCAATGCTAAAAAGGTATTTTGAAATTAGCTGCTATAACTTAATTTCCCTAACCCTGGATCGACTACTGGTTGTAGATGTAAACATTACCAATGTTACACAAGGTGATGGCACATTACATTATAGTGGATTGTTCCTTTTATGTTTTTTAAGAAAATGATTTTAGCAAAGCAAACATTTATGGATTTTTCATATAAAACATACAAAAAGATGTTTTTAAGAAATCACTTGATACATCCCCAAATCCCTGAGCCCACCTCCCTCCTCCTACACACTACTGAATAATCGAACGTTTGCTCGATTATTCGTGCACGTTATAAATTGCGAAAATTTTGAATCAACGAGAAATCGACAATATGCGTCACTATTGCAACACATTTTAAATAACAAATAACAAAAACTAATGTACTTTCTTTGTAATAGTCTAATAGATGCTATGGGACAAGAAAAGGTCATAAGGATACAAGACGTAGATGGGATTGCGCTAACATCGAATTGACGACCCCGTCGACATAAGGAAAAAGCACTCGAAGGTTTTGCACGTATGAGATGAACTATTTTCCCAATATTCATCACAGAAATCTCTAGTTTCAAATAGATAGAAACATTAATCTTTGTTTAACTGGTACACGTTTGCTTCCTCAGCGTTGGAATTGATTGCGTAACCCTTCTCTCAGGCATCCCCCCCCCGGAATTTTAAGCGTGGATAAGTCTTAAAGTCGTACTGCTAAAGTTAACTTACTGTATTCCAGCCAATATTTGGTTTGTTTGTTTTTAAATTATAGGAAAAGTCAGGGATTACGGGGAATTCTATTTTATGGTACTAGAAGAGAGGGGGGGAAACTTGCAAGCAAATATTCGTGTGCTTATTTGGAAATTATTTATTTAATCAACCACATCTCTGCCACAACTAAACAACATGTCGGTTGCAGGGCAGCAAGTTCCACCATTTCCTGCTCCACAAGGTAATTTATTTTGTTTGCAGTTTGCTGAGAAAACCTTGTCGTTTGAAAGTTTTGGTGCTCGTGAGTTTCTTAATTGCCAAATAAATTGAACGTGAATGCCACTGCAATTGTTATTGTGGGAATGTAAGAGAATTGAAATCTATGTCACTGCTTGCCATGTTGGTTGTAGTTTTGTTGAATAGCCCATACTTAATGTAAAGGAATTTTAGTTGATTTATAATCTGCTGTTGAGTGTCAATACTTTGATGTAACTCACCAACATGGCTGCTTTGATGTCATATGATCTTACACCATATTGGTTCTGCTATAATCTCAATCATTTTGAATACAATACTCAGTTATATCATTATGCCTTTTTTCTGTCCTCGAATATCTTGAGCAACAACTGTTAAAACAGCCAATGCTTATAAAACTGGTTTTCACTTCCTTCAATATTCCTGAATTATTGTTTTGTATATCAAGATCAGGTCCAACCTTGTGCTTTCTTAGAGAATGTGATATGTATTTGGTGTGCAACATTTCCAACATGCACAAATGTCTGTATATTTGAAAGGTGTTCATATAGTATGTACATAAAGAGTGGTATATAATGAAAAAAACTCCATGTTTGCTGAATATTTTTAGTGAAAACTTTGTGAATCAATGTGATTCAATAATGAATCAATGACAACTAACAGAATGAAAAGCTTTGATACAGCATCTTGTTATTTATTATTGCTGCTATATATAGTTCTGTGAAATTTTGTGCCTAGATCAGGAACTCAAGAATATAATTGACAAACTGGCCAATTTTGTTGCAAGAAATGGCTCGAAATTTGAAGAAATGACAAAATCTAAGCAGAAAGACAACCCCAAATTTTCATTTCTATTTGGTGGTGATTACTTCAATTATTATAAATGGCGAGTCTCAGTAGAAATAGGTATGTTTTGCTCTTAGAAAACCAACGTTGAGTTTCATGTTACATACAAAGGGACTACATATTTAGTTAGTTTTAAACTCAAAAAGAATTCTTGTGTTGCATGAAGATTATATCAATAATCAACACTTAAAAAACACAACTACTGTTTTGTTTCACATCAATCCATGGATAGCTGCGATACGGGTGATTAATATATATACTACTACCTGTATTCACATAATTTTATTGTATGAATGGATATTTATATGGTTACGTGTGTAATTGCATGATGTTTTGTTATTTAGCTCAGTGCAAACTTCTCCCTCAACATTTGCAATCTCAACCTTATCAAAATACCCAAGCATCTCTTGTTCAGCACGTTCAGCAGTCAATTCAGTCTGCTCCATGGCAACAGGCACAACAGGTGTGATGTAATGTTTATACTTTTTATTGAATTATCCAAAAATGAGATTTCATACATCTCTATCAGTGATCTCTATTTAACTACATTTATAATAATTATTTATTGTTTCATATGTAAATAGTCAAATATATTGCTCAGTTACATACGTCAATAACTCTCAAAGAGTTAATCTTCACATTTTGTCAAACTTCACTTTCTGAACGATCGTCAAAACGTGCTTATTATTTTGTGTGAACTTTTAGGTACAGCAACCTCAGGTTATCAGTGATCACCAAGCTCCTCAACAACAACCATATCATTTTCCCACGAATAACGTCAATATTCCTGAATTCGAAAGTTTCTTGGTGAAAATCATGCAATCCTGCACCAAAGAACACATTTCTGTACGTATGTAATGCCCTGTTTTTGTCTTCATGAGACATTGTTAGCTATAACATTTTTCTGGTCATTTAAATGATTTTCCAGCTATGTACGTAAGATTGCGTGTATAAGTTTACATGTTTTTTTTTGTCGATTAAATCACACACTAGCTCATACTGTGTTTGTGGTCGTATTTGGCTTCAAGTTTAACTCTAATCCATTTTGTTATGAATTTTGTTCGAACTATAGAATGGAAAAAATTGGATATTCAAGAATTGTAAGACTGAAGGACATTTCAAACAGGTTGCAGACTATTTGCTTTTGAGGTAACTATTGTTGAACGATTATTTGAACTTTTCATTATGTCGATAAAATACATGTAAAAGTATGTAAGAAGTTGTGCTCTACAAGCCTGCTTTTATAGCCAAAGTATCGACATGCAACCGAGCCAACAGTTTTGATGATTATCGCGATTCTGATTACTATTATTCATTGATGTATAGTGTATTTTACTTGAAATGCTGTCTGGCTTGATTCCACCATATATTTTTTGAATTTGTTGTACACTGGCCATTCTTTTCTTCTGTTTTTCGTGGGAAACATTTCTCATTCAGTAGGTGCTGGAAGGATTTCAAGGTGTAATTGTATTGCTTATGTACAACTCATCATAGAAATTTACGGTGTTTGATTGTAAGAATTGTGTTTAACGAGCAAAGTGTACAATCTGTTTGCTTTCATTACTGCAGGGTGACCGGTGCTGGAATGGGTTTCTTACACAAACTGCATATAATATATTTAATCAATGACGTGTTGCATAATGCTTCACGCAAAACGACGTTGAATGTTGAATCACAACTACAGAAAATCATAGTTCCCATATATTGTCATACGCATATCGGCGAAACTCAGGAAAATCAGCAAAGATGCGAGAAAGTTGTTCGAATATGGGAGACGAACGAGTATTTTAACAGCGCTACTTTGGAGGTATGAGTATAAAGGCAAGCAACTATTTGTCATCATGAATGTATGAAAATATTTAAACTTTTACTTGGAAGAAAACTGTGCACACTTTATGTATGTAACATTATTTTTTCACGATTATGTATTTCCATTAGAATGTGCCAGAGAATCTACCGTCATTCGGAAATGACTTCAATCATTTCATGCTTTTTCATTCAAATCAGGAGGGTGCCTTCTTTTACTACAGAATACTAACACAAAGAAAGTCATCTCTAGTGATTTTTATGCATGATACATTCGAGATTGGTGATAAAAGTTATAACCTATCCTCTGTTTTGGCTCATTGCCCAATTAATGGCGTATGCATACAGTCGCGTAGTCAGCTTTGCCAGAGATTATCCCGGCAAATTCTTATGATGTGATTTGCTAACATGACTAGTTAGAATGGATTCCTGGAAGTCGTTTGCTGCAAACCTCTTGATTTAAGATTAATTAGGATTGATTTTAAGCGCTTCTTATCTTTGAGAAAGGAAAGGAAGCTTAATTCTTTGTGATTCATTTTTGCAGAAATTAAAAAATCCAATGCAATCTGATAAGGAATTAAACGCATCTCAAGGTCAAGGTAGGAATTATCTCACGATGCGGCTGACTTTTCCAATATATTTTTTTTACATCGTGCCTTTGCAAATATTATGATAGAATGCTTTGTATTCTCGTGTGGAAAACCTTGCTTTATTTAATAGCGGATTATTCTCAAATTTATATTAAATACCATCAAGATGAAGAAGCTCGGCCTGTGATAGAACGACCCATGGAGAAGATAAACCAACAAACCGAAGAGGGAAATACAAGCGCAAACAAAAGTATCTACGCATAAGTTTTTTTCCACATCCCTTCTTCCTTTAAAGTTATTTCTGCATTAATCCCTCCTGGGCTTCTATTTATTTTATAGTTTCTGAATCGGAAGATATACCTATGTCTGAAACACAAATTTCTGACAGCAATCAAAGCCAGCCGAACACCTTGACGATGCAACCACTTCCGTCACAGTCTGAGGTTTGAACGTTTCCCCACTTGATATTTTGTTGGAAAACAAAGTAATCAAAGTTTTAATATTGAAATTGAAATACTATTCTCTGAAAGATATGTTCGACAGTCTTGCGTGGTTATTGTATTTGATATAGAACATAATATTTCCACAGCATCCACCCTCAGAGCCGGTGTTTCCACCAGACCCCAATTTTCCATTTCCGCCTCCAAATTTTCATCAGTTTCCACCCCCTGGTTTTCCGCGTCCACCGTTTAACAGACCACCACCAGGCTTCAATGGTCAACCTATGCCCCCATTTGATCCTAACTTCCCACGACCACCCCATATTTTTCCTCCGATACCCCCGCAGCGCTTTGATTACAATCACGGTTTCGGTGATCAAGGTCCAGGTGTTCCAGAATTCCATCATGCGCAAGGCGGCGCCCCTGTTGTTGAACAACAGCTACCTCAACCTCAAGCGATGTATTATGAGCTCCCAGCTGGATTGATGGTGCCGTTAATAAACGTAAGTTATCGTTAAAAATAGTCAATAGATTAGTTTCTTTGTGTATCATTTTTATTTCCCTGTGTAAACAATTTGACGCTCGTAAAGTCTTTCAAAAGGTATCTTCCATTAATATACTTATTTTATCCATTCTAATGAGCATATTTTGACTCGCCCTACCTACGTACCATTGAAAAACGGTTTCGTTTCTCAAATATTTTGTATCCCATTCTCCCAAACTTTGGTGGCAAACGAGGAAGCCCTAATTGGCTTTCAAAGTTAAATCACGTATAAGTTAAAAAATCAAAAGGTTCATATTCAACAAATGATACCCATATGGCATCTACCATGTTGATCCGAAATCAAAGTTATTTTCTTCAATCTTGAGTAAGATGCAGTTTAATCGCAATTCGCTTAACCACTTGATCAATGAATACTACTTTATGTACTTCTTTTGTTGTTGCTTTTCAAATTTTGTTGTAAACTATTTCTACTATTGTGCTTTTGATGTATGTATAGTCTCCAGACGTTGACTATGAGCCTTTGGACCCCAAAGACATCAGACTACCTCCTCCCCAACCTCCCAGTGACCGACTGCTTACCGCAGTTGAAGCATTTTACAGTCCCCCAAGTCACGAGCGACCGCGCAATAGGTAAGTTTAAATATAAACATAAAAATTTTTGAGGACTTGTGATTTTCTGGTGATTATAACTTGAGTTAGTAGCGGAATATGAAGTTAAGAAATGTAGGGAGGCTTGTGGATATTTAATGATTGTCACTGTGCGTAGTGAACATGTGCATTATTGCTGTTTTCTGGTAGGGTTGTTTGAAGATAACTTTTCACGAAGTGCAAATTATATGTCTGGTACACATAACTGTATTGCACAAATCTTTGAATTTTTAGTGATGGCTGGGAAGCTGGTGCTCTACACGAGTTTTACAAAACGAAGCTGAAGTTTATCAAGGAACGAGAAATACGTGATAAGGTAGAAATGGTGAAGGAGATGGCACAAAAACTCAAAAAACAGGATGAAAAGGAAGAAGAAGAAGAAAAGCAAAGGTACAAACACTTTTTTTATTCACTTCGAAAACATTTAATGAACAAGATAGTTTACTTGAGTGTTCGTTCTCCTTCGATAACGCTCCGAAATAAAATGAACATTGTACTGTTTGTGAATCATGTGTCTTAATGATGGTTACGACTTACAGTAAGGCTGACGAACATGATTAATTTTTTACAAGTTGTTTAAATAAGTCCTTTGAGATTGTGGTACTTGATTTAATGCGTACACGAAGTTCACCTTTAGTAAGGCTGAAGGTTAGATTAGAGGAATATTTTGGATTACCTACCTCCAATTCGTTCTATTTCTATTGCAACATTTTAGACCCCGGTCACTTTCAAAATCACCACCCAAAGCTAAGTCTCCATCACCTGTTCGACGACGATCTCGTTCCAGTTCTCCAGCTCGGCGAAAATCCAGGTAAAGGATAATTGTTGTTTAAAAAAATCATTAGGCATGTAAAATAATAATTTCATCGTTATATTGTCAGACAATACTTAGATAGAAGTCCTGTTTTTATTAGATGAATTTATTTAAAAAAGATGAGTTTATCTACGGTACTTAAGGGTGTTAAATATAATTCATGGCAAACTTTGAATAGAAGGGGGCGGGGATACTGCAGCTAATCTCGATGAGTTCAAAAACAACGTTAGGTCTGTCCTTTTTTTGAAAAAATATTTTACTGTTTTGCTTTTGGCTCGAAGCTGTGCATTATATGACATGACGGTGTTTCGATTAATTACATCGTTTCATCATTTTGTTTTAAAGGTCGAGATCACGAAGCAAATCTCCACGGAGAAGAAGGTACGTTAGGTCTACATAAGCCTAAAGCATTACATCGCTGAATATAAGTGGTACTTATATTAATCAATCCCCATAATTGTTGATATTTGCCTGCACGCACGGCTTTCCAGTTTTTATTAAACTGTAAATTGCGACCTTTATACTCTAGAGACAAGTTGCAAACTTAACTTATTTATAAAAATAGCCTTAAGTTTTACCTTTTCACGTTAAATGAATTCATTTGCGTCTATTGCTAACCATTCAGCTGTCTTAACAATCTAAATCTAGTTGTTGTATAGCCCTAAATTAGAGATTGTTCACGGACATTTTGTATCATAAATTTTAATCATTTACCTAATATTCTCCAATGTTTCTATCTCTTTTATCGTCATGCAAGGTTAACCACCTAAGTTTCTTGTCATTAACAATCAACTAACTGTTGGAATATATAGCCAATCAGTAATCTTTATTATTAACAATATGTCTTACCTTACGCGAAGCGTCTTGGCTTCCATTGCTCCTACGTGACTACTTTTCTGCTACGGCACTCCTCTGTATTTGAGTTAGATGTTTTATTTCATTTGTCTTTTGCTGGCAAATGTTAAAACACCACCAGGTTTTAAATTACGTTTCACACTGCCAGGCAACCGTCTCGATCACGGTCAAGGTCGGCACAAAAATCGAGGTCAAGATCTGGCTCAAGGTCGAGGTCACGAAGTAGATCACCCAGACGTAGAAGGTCAGCGATGTAAATTTTGCTTTTCTGAATTCATTATTCTAAACTGCTTGGTGTTTCAGTTGAATATTCTGGTTTTTCCTTTAGATTTCCATTGTAAATATTTTGTATTTATATGGTTATAGTTTTTATCTTTTTAATTTGTATATTTCCTGCAATGTTTTAATGGAAATTTCTTTGTTTGTTTTACAACGCTAAGGATTTGTTCAGATTTTTTATGTATTGTTTAGATCGCGCTCGCCAAGACGAAGAAGTCCAACTCCACCAAGCTTTGGGTGAGTTGATGAATTGGGTTCCATTTACTACAGTTAGTTAAACAGGCTAACGACATTATGTTTGTGTTCAAATTCACTCTTTTAAATGGGAGAATTAAATTTTACGTTGTTAGTATCACATGTCGTCGTCTTTACTACCTAAATGCATACAGTGATGTTTATTGAGAAAGTTGAACGACCTGGCTGGCAAAGTGTTAAACTTCAATCATTTAAATTGATTTACGTATAGGTCATCCCCATAATGCTATTCGTTGAATTTTTTTTATGTGTCAGTGTATTCCTAATGTGATGAAGTTATCTTTACAGTTTTCTCAAGTGTGTCTTTAGTGACGTAGTTATCTTAACAGCTTTCTCAAGTGTGTATTTAGTGACGTAGTTATCTTTACAGTTTTCTCAAGTGCGTATTTAGTGACGTAGTTATCTTTACAGTTTTCTCAAGTGTGTATTTAGTGACGTAGTTATCTTTACAGTTTTCTCAAGTGTGTATTTAGTGACGTAGATATCTTTACAGTTTTCTTACGTGAGCTTGTGACAAAGTTGTCCTTGCAGTCTCTTCATGTTTCAATCTTCAACATTGAACGCACAGAACGAACTTTAAAATGCGCTTAAAACTGATATGTTAGAATTATAACAGACGCAAACGCATTTCTTCTCAAATCTTGTTTTCTTCCTTCCAGTGGCCCATTTCTACAGAAGTCTCTTAACACGAGGATTGATGAGAGCAATGTTGGTCATCAACTTCTAAAGAAAATGGGTAAGTTATTTCGTACCAATGAGTTGGTTGTAATTATAATTCTGAGACTGAGGTTTTAAGATTTTAAGAATAAAAACTGGCTTGTCATGTCATGTCATCATGAAAAGCGCTTTTGTGGTCTTCATTTTGATTCATTGTAGCTATAGCTTATCTGAGTGCGAGAAGTCCAACCCTTTTGAATTTGTATGATTCACCTCAAATTGGGAAAGAAAAGAGTTTTTGTGATATTCGAGAATATCTCTTGTATCTTTTATGTTGACTAGACATGCATTTTTGTACAGACTACTTTTTATTGTATAAATCGTGTCGTAGTTGTTAAACGCTTGCATGTTTTAATTCATTGAAAAAAATAAATTTTTTTCATTCACTTTTGAAGGATGGGAAGGAGCTGGACTGGGCAAGTCAGAACAAGGAATACAAGATCCAATCAAGCAAGGAGAAGTTCGTGATAAGCAGGACATGTTTAAGGTACGTTGTTATATAAAGTTTATACAATATGATTTGTTAACAACTGTTATTATTCACTATGTGAGCATTCTCGGCTCTGATTTGTTAACTACCTGCAGATAATTCTCGATATCTGCAATTATGACGTCATACTTACAGATGATAGTTTCTACAATTATGATTTATTGATAACATATGACTATGAGTTAAAAGGTCAAAATCCAGCATCTTTTTTGATGTCTTGCGAGTCATTATGTTCAGCGCCAATTAAGTTTATTGTATGGATTATTTATAGTATAGTACAAAATTTCTTACAACCATCTCTAGCTTACAATTTTCTATCAAATTACATATTTTTACACGCGTTCAATCCTTTCACGACGACGATTTTTCTCTCATTATTCTTTCACATCAAGTTTGCAGTCGGCATTCCTACTATTTTTTGTAACGTACAGCATAAAACTCGGCTGTCTTTACGTTTTGCTCACTTCTATTTCGTCACTTCTATTTGGTCTGCATCGTGTGAACAGTTGTTTCACCTTATTCCTCATATCGGTTCGTACGTATAGGTCGAGGCCAGCATTGACAATTGTCATTAAATGCGATGTAATATAAGCGAAAATATATAGAGACGCTGGAATATTTATTTTAACAAGTTGCAAAACAGCGATGATAACTGCGGGCATCCAGCAGACAAAACATGTGATGTTTATCCAAAACACCACCGTGGTCACTTGTCTTTCCATCACTGCCGAACAATAAAAGATTAAAAGATTAGCGATTGTTTTATTTTGATAGACTAAAAAGAGTGAAAATAGGGAGGAGGGGTGGGGTCAACCTGATAACCAAGGCTTTTCGAATCGCTTAGATGAAGCTGTAAAGACACTGCTCAGGAGCTGAGCTTCCTTAAAATAATGCCTCCATTTTGGGGAAGAGCTAGGTCCATCATCGAAGATATACAAAATTTCAGCATCGTGTCATAAATTTTAATTTCATTGGTTAACAGTTTGAAACGTTTTGCGTTTAACCGTTCTATAAAGATAGAAGCAAAATTTTATCATACGTACTAGAAAAGTTTACGATAAAATTAATCCTAACTGTGTTCGAACCTTGCAATTTTCAATTACTTTGTGGGAAACGACCAAGTGTTTTAGTAATTAAACTTATCGCATTTTCCTGCGAAATGACTAAGATTATGTGCCGCTTTTTAAAAAACATTCCATTAACAGGAGGTCACGTTATAAAGTAAATGGTTTGAACCTGGGAGTGTCGTTACATGTTTGTAAATGTAGATCGTCCAGGTTGGTATAGTCCCTGAGAAGGACTGTTTTTGTTGTTGACTGACGTTTCGACAACTTAGCGGTAGTCATCTTCAGAGTCAAATGACTAGTCTGAAGATGACTACTGCTAAGGTTGTCGAAACGTCAGTCAACAACAACAAAAATAGTCCTTCTCAGGGCTATACCAACCTGGACGATCTACATTTACAAACATGTAAGGAGGTCACGTTATTCCTTAAAATTATAGGGTTTAAGTTTGTCTTTACGTTGTCCGATCTAAAATGGCACCCGCGTGATCATACCTTCTGCGTTATTTTTCTTTGCGTTGTCTGTTGGCTGATGGTTTGACCTGGTTTTAATCCTGCGAGTGTGTTGTCTTAAAAGAATTGCCATTTTCCAGTTGCTCATTACAATGATTCCAAAGGGTATGAAACCACCAATGATCACCAAACATACATTTATTCCAGTACGATGATCGAAATGTACGGTACACATGCCGTAATTGAACGTGTATTCGACATTAACACTGTATGGCGACATAATTAAGGCAGCAAGGAGAAACGTCTCTAGCCAAATGAAGGCGACAGCAGCCTTTGTCCTGCTACGTGTCACTGTTAATGCGTATTGCAGTACTGATTTCACTGCATAATACCGATCAATAGACATGAACATCAGAGTTTGTGTTACGGCGAAGTACAGCGAAGAAAAGGAGGTGCCGATTATTGAACATAACATTTCATTTCTGGCAACGTGTTTGGGTCTTGCAACTTGGTATATTTCCAGTGAAGTAGTGACTGTATTCATTAACAAACTCGTTGTCGCGAGGTTTGCCATGAGTATGCTCGATGGCTTGATTCTACTCCTTCTTTTTGTGAGGTTGCCAAATAAGACGAGACTGTTCAGAGGTACGGCGATGATCATGATTAGAATATAAATGGAAATCACACTGATTACTGTGTACTTGGGAAATATCCGAGCTTCTGTGCCATTCATATCGTTCATCAATTCAACAGTGTACCTTGTTCTCAGTTTGCACGAAAAGTTTCTCCGAATCTCATATGCACGAAGTCATACGTGATCTAAATCCCATCAATAGGGGGCACTTGTATAAATGGACGACGTCTGATAATTGCTGAATTGATTGAATATTCATTGTCTGATGATATGTTACGAGAAAGGTGTTCGGAACGGGTCTCTCGTAGCAGGTGCAACTTTTAAGTGTTTATTTCAATTTGCAATATTCAGTGAAAGCATTTGATAACACGTCGAATTTCTGAGTAACTGTTGAGCTTTTCAATCACTCACGGCATGCACGTGAAGTAATTGAAAAGGCTAGCATTTTGTCTTCACTCTTCATTTTGTTGTTTGTGAGCATGAATAAGAGACGATTTGCATTATCTTAGTCTAAATCAATTAAAACAGATCACTTGTTTTTACATTAAGTTAGAAGAATGTTTATCATCGATCCTTATCTCGTTGACTTCTTTGAAAATGCACAGCAAACTAGCATGTCACACATGCAGATATGGTGCCAATATATATAACGGGAAAATTCAACTTTCATTTTCAAAACATGCAAGTCACTACTGTTGGTATATTCTAATCACTGTGCTTACACCTTCTGATACTCGCCTGTTCCGGAGAAAATTGATCTCCCATATTATTTGACCCGATGTACAATGTAGTGCATGCTGTACTCGAGAGTGATAATAGTTATTGAATAATGCAAATCTTGGATTTGGAAACAACTATATTCCTCAGTTGTTCTTTACTTCGAATGTACAGTCATGCAATCGCAGCATGTCAAGTAAAACAAAACAGAGTATGTTCTTCAGTGGGATTGTTATTTAACACATATGGGTAGGATTTCTACGTGATCATCATAATTGTACCTTGTTGATGTTTAGAGTACTTGCATGTATCGACCTACGAACGAGAACATTTCGTCGCTTCAGTTTTGTTTGCAAATCATTTTAAAACAGATCATTTTCTTTTTTTCGCAATTATGCTGCAGTCTTTTACCATATTATAATTTCACGTACAGAATTGAAAAGTTATCTAAAAAAGATCATGTTTCATCGTGTTCCTCTTCATTTTAAAACTTTATACAATCGACATACGTTAAATTGTTTTGTCAAAGATTCTCGTTGATAAGATAACGTTTGCCAATGACATGGAACTTGCATACTGCTTTTTTTCACAAGCTGTTACTACGTACATGTATTTTTAAATAGCCTATCCAAACTGTCTTGCAAAAGTTGAAAATGCATATAGCTTCTTCTATTTTCTTTATAAATTCGCCATTAGGAAGACCAACGTACATAGGACGTGGTGTCCCGAAGCTTTTTGAACATTAGATAAAAAAAAGACTGAAATGTATGATCTCTAAAATGTGCTTGCATTGAGAATGCAACAGGATACATACATATTCGAGGAACTGTTTCTTCCTTGTTTTTCTGGGAAACTGTCACGTTTACCATATACAGACTATTTTTGGATGCATGAGTGGCAGCTGCGTTTCACGACGCAGCTGTTTCATTGATAGTGCTTTATTTCTACGATATAATAGTTTTTTTCTACGTTGTATTTTGGTCTGCTTCTGTTGTTATTGACGTGTTTGTACGCTTTCCGTCTAGTTGTTGTGACGTTTACGAATACGTTTAAATTTAGGCCTGTACAACGAACCCTTGCAAAGAACGGCGATAGTTAAGATTTTTGCGTGGACACGTATTCGGCGCTCGTTAAAAAATAAACGTTTTGTCCAAATTGGAAGACGTCTCCATCTACGATCCAGACTTAACTGGCACATGATCATTAAAATTAGTCAAAGTCGTAAAATTCTCCAATTCTAACAATTTTTAGGACAAGTTTGGACCAAAATATTCCTCTACCTGTTTAAGATTTACCATGTAGGACCTGGTTGGTCAGTCCATTGGTCAGACTGTTTCTGAAAAAATAAACCACGTGGTGCAAGCTACCCGCATATCCTGCGTTATCTCTAAATATTTTCATATTTTTCAGGGTATAGGAGTTGATATCAACGATCCGTTTGATCAGTATCGCAAGAATATGAGCTACACATATAATCGCCGTAAGTTTGTAACTTATAAGAGTGTATGGGGCTAGCGAAAATATCCCTCATCACACAACATCCCCCCCCCCAACACTTTCACTGGTCAAGACAATCGCCCTTCAATGGTTTTCCCATGCACGGCTAAAAACATCATCGCGTTTTTTTACAGCACGGAGAGATCGAGATAGACGATAAAATTGTTGACGAGACTAGAAAAAACCCCATGGAATTCAACTGCGATGACAAAGAAAAATATTTACTAACGAAGGTCACCTGCGATGAGGTATCGTGTCGACTTGTGAATATACGACCGTATTGCTTTCGCGTGACAGGCTTGCTGTGTAGAATAAAATCCACAGCCTTGCGTTCATTTATGAGCACAGTGAGGCTATCGCGACTGCCTGTTTTCTAGGTAGTAGCTATAATGAAGGCAAAGTAAGCAAAATAACATTTTATTGTTGTGTTTTATAACAAGCAAAAGACAACTTGTCTTTTCTGTAATATCTGTTGTGCTGAATGAAATACTTTTTCACTGTCAATTATATTAAACGACAGAGTTTGAAATGCTTATCGACAACTAAACATGACAAATGAACTGCTTTTTGATGTGCTTTGAAGTGAATAAAGACGTTCGTCTGCCAGTGTTGGCGTACCCAGGTCGCAAATTTAATCCAGCGATGTAAATTTATAAAATTGCCATAAAATCGTTTGATGCGCCCCTACATGTAAGCATTTGGCTTGACTACATTTGATATATGCACGGGACGAGGGATCAAATAAACCTGAAAAAATGCCTCATATTGCACGGGCGGGTTTTTTGGCAAAGACGAGTTGCCACCACACCAGATTTTAATAGCTTTCAATCCATAAAAGTCCCCTTCGTATATCAAGAAAATTAAGTCAAGTAGCTGTGATATGAAACACGCCAAACAAAATATACGACTCTGGCAATTCGATCAATTTGTGAAATGACGCAGCTCAAAGAAAAATGACTCGGCCATTTCATAACCAGTTAGTCATGTATCTGGTATAACACTGTTCACATTGGCATGGAGCGGCTTGAAAGATGAGTCACAAAACGAATTTTCGTCGGCTCTTGTCCATTTCTTTTCGCTAACAAACGAAAGAAAACAAATATAGATGGTCGAATATTGGATATTTTGGCTAAGAGATAAATTTGTTGGTCAGGCACAACTATAGAGCTAGAATAAACTCAAAATAAGATTTTTGCGGATTGCTCGTAAAAGCAACATTGGTCTACCTTATGTATCCATTCATACTGTCCAAACTTTGTGTCAAATGTACCACGTTGCAGTGAACGCAACTTAAGCGTAAATCTAGGACCAAGTTCTTGAAGGCCTGCTTTCTGCGAGTTCTTGAATATATATCTAGTAAGCAAAGAAAAGTTAGAGTCTGAACTAGCTTGTCAACAAGTCCTTTCAAAGAAATGGCTGATAAAATGGTTTAGTTATTAGAACTTCCATGTTTTAAGGTTTGTTACTCGCACTGCTTAAGAATGTGAGATTTTTTAAGAGCACAATAAATTAATTTGGATAACTAAAATATGCTGTCTTATACATACCTATGGTGTCGAAAAAATATAAAATCCCTTTGATTGTGGAATGTCGCGCATCGCCTTCCCTGGAACTGAGGGTCGTAAGGAAATAAGGAAGCCAACAACCTAGCAACGGAATGACCCAGCCTCGTTTTGAAGTTATTTAGTACGACTTCCGGTCGATGCGACGATGCTCGTCCATGATTCTGTTGAAAAATTGACTTAGTTAACCATGTGCAGTAATAACGTTTGTTAAAATCACTACGGCAATAAAAGATGGCAATCCGCAGTGCATGATGATGGGGTATAAATTGTTGAAAAGAGACGAGTAGGTTTGAATTCGATTAGTCAATTTAAATCAGGATCATCAAATCTGTTTACTTTTTCTTTTCTTTTGAGGGTAAACAATCTTCTTTTATTTTATCATATGATTTTTGATTTCGTAAAAACGAAAATTTAGGTTTTTTTAAATAATCTCAAGCAAAAAACTTTTATCGACGATGTGAGCAAAAGAAGATAACCGACATCAATTATATATATCAATTATTAATAATATCATGAAATATTAATGAATATCAATTATTAATAATAAAGTACTAATGCAGGTTGCTGTAAAAAAATCTATGTATAATTGTATGATGTCACATTAACCTCCAGTCTTCCTAAAATTCTTGAATATTAAAAATCTTCATTGCTACAAATCTTTTTTATTTATAAAAACAAGATTTTTTAGAAAATTTTTCTCTTAACTGACCCTAAAGTAATTGTGTTGCCGTCTACCTACCGTGACCAATCAAGAGGGAATTCCTCTGGCGTGGACGAAGTTAGTATTCTTGTGAATAGGGTTGAGACAGACGTGAGGGTATGGGGAAAGGGGGGGTTGAGACGGAGAAAAAATCAAACTATTACTGCTGATGAAGCAAGTCAACTTTCGTGTACAGAGATGGGCACATTTCGCTAGTTCAGTACCAACCTTGATTGCCTTCGATAATTTCACGCTGCTTAATTTGAAATGCGCCGTCGGCCCGTCAGGAAGATGAATTATCCATAAAGCATCTTTAATTTTCGTTAAAATCAAATACAGATTAGAATTAAAAGCCGACATCATCTTAAAATATGTATATGTCATCAATGAACGCCGCTTACAACATTGTACTTATAATAGTCTCATATTCGAAGCTAATCGAAAAAAACGACAATTAATTCTAAAGCCGTCATTATCTTAAAATAGTATATGTTCTGTTCATCATTGAACGCCGCTATAATAACATTTTACTAAATGGTCAATATATATAGTCTCATATTCGAAGCTAATTGACAAAAACGACAACTATTGTTTGCTTATGTTAGCATATTTATCAGAAACTGGACACTTGACGCATATTATCGGAGGGAAATATTTTTTACTATAGTGACGAAAGGATACTTGGTTCTTTGTGATTTTCGTTCACGATAACAAGATTCGTAAATCCTCTTTCCACTGCTTGAGGGATTATTTTCTTAATAGCAATGCCTTTCCTATACCTCACTTCCGAATTAGGTATAATTTGGCAAAGAGCATCAACGAACTGAACTGTTTTCTGAGAAGAAAAACGAGTAATGACGTCGTCCGGTTTAACATTCAATCAATCACGAACACAAGAGGGTGATGATTACTTTTACCCTGTACATTCTTTCCTATATGAGCATGCAATGCAACGACTCATTCAAGACTAAGTTATTAAGCTAATGTTGCATAAAAAATGATCACATAAAAACTATCAAAACTGGCCTCTTGATTATTTTACGTCTACATACCAAATTTGGTTTGTTACTTGTAGTAAGCAGTACTTTAGGTCGAATTTCACATTTGAAGTAAGAACTTAATTCGTCATTTTCTTCGTCATGCAACACCTGTTAAAATACATCAAACTTAATAGTAAGAGTTGGAACTATACCTAACATTTTTAATTAGTCAAACTTGCCAAACTATTTCATACCTCCTCGTCATCGGCAACCACCATTGTTTCATCGGGAAGTCTCGTGTTTTCAATGGTTTTTGGCACTTGTTTTGGTGGTGCCTACGTACAAGAAAAAAAATTAATTGTTATATATTGTCATTACTTTGCCAAAAAATTATTAAAAACTATCATAAATTTGATAAAATCTTTCCACGTGTAAATCGGAATAACAATGTGTTTCGCTTTAATGCCAAAGTGAAAAGTCGTACACGCACGCGAGCATGCGAGAAGTAGAAACGAAGAAGTTTCCAAATAGTCATGAACTTCTCGTCATAGTGTCGTTGAGTCGGTCCCTTTGAATCCATCTCTACGATATCCACGAGTCTCCATTGCGGGTGACAAGTCAAATACATAACAATGAGTAAATGTAAATGCAGGCAATATATTGCTCTTGTCGCGTATGCAAATACCCGTAAACTCATTTATATTGCATAAGATGTTATTGAGTATTATTTTATTTTATTTTAAAGAACTTGTCATGTTCATAAAAGAGTCTCACAAGTAGAAATACTTGCATTCTTTGATTTTGTGCAGGAGTTACACGCTATTTCAGCAGCAGTACAAATAAACAAATACTGTGGGTGGTTAATCTCGCTCACAGTTAAAGCGGTGCGCTTCTAGACTCAATACGATGTTCACATTTTTACATGCGTGGAAAATAAACGCAGCATTTTGCGGTGTTTTTTTGGCAAAAAATCGTCGTCCTAAAAAGTTTGCATACAACAACAGCATGATAAAATAATTTCATTTCGAAATTTCTACCTATTATAACGTACAATACAACGCAGTTGAGGTCAAACAAATATAACCTTTAAAGCGCGATTAAATGCCTCACATTGCAGCCGATTTCCTAACATTTATTAACAACGATTAATTTAAAACATTTGATGTTAACTTTAAAATAATAATAAAACTAAAAACACTAAATATGTTATACGTATAAATATCAATGCATGTCATGAGTGTACATTTAAGCCGTATTAAATAACTAGGTCAGTTGAATACTTCTGAAAACAGATACGTTGGACTGTGAAGCACTCCTCCTGGAATTAACGGATCTCGATTTCGCTAATTCTGTGAAAGCGTCGTCGTTATCATTAAGTTGTTCTTGGCGTTCTTCTACCTGTCTGCCATCCACTTCACTTGTCTCATATTTCGTGTTAGGCGTGCCCTCGATATCATAAAATCTTTTCGTATCATTTCTATTCAAATCGTAACTGACAGTTGCGAATTCTTTCGTGACAAATTGGCCACGAAAAACTGATTCGTCGCTGTGCTCGCTGGTAGAAATCGCGTTCTTAAACATCTTTGTGAAAGTGCTACACATACGTTTGGCGTGAAGTTTACTTTGACAGAGTAGAACGTGGCCTTTCAAGCTCTTTTCGTTTTCGATTCTAGCAACAAGAATAACATATTTAGCATATTTTCGCCAACTGTTTGTCGTCGTCACATAACTAATATTACACGCCTTGAAGAAACGATTGATACTTCCATCGCTATCGCGTAGTGTAGCGCCATTTCCATCCACGGTCAATCGAAAACTGTCGGCATTTGACTGGTAAGAATTGACGACGATATCGAAGAAGTCGCTTATTTCCTGATCTGATGCTGTTTCGTAATCTTCACTAATCGCCGTGCACCCAATATACTGCACGGAAAATTCATTATCGTTCAAGTCCGCTTGTTCAACGTGGTTTAGATGCTGAAACCTGTATCTTCTAACACCGTTGACCAGTGCCGTTGCCATATTTGCTATCAAATATTAAATATCTCTCCCTTTTGTCTACGAGTATTGTCTGAAGAGTACTACAAAATGACGAGGGAAAAATTCAAAGTTAACCAGCGCAGCAGGTGACCACGGGTTTTTCTTCCACGTAACTGATTATACATATGTATGAATTAGTCTCAACTCCATTATCGCACCAACTGCAGCGCATTTCAGTAAAAAATTCATGAAAAATTTCCTTAATATAACATTCTACCATGGCAAGCTGAAGCTTGTATACAAATATGCGGATTAACATGATCAAAAAACCATTATTATTTTTGTTATAGTCGCCGTAATAGACCGGAAATCGTTCATCACGATCAGCGAAGTGTTTCGAACATAAAAAATTCAAATTTTACTTGTTTGAACGTTCGAAGTCATATTACAGATGCTCTAAATTTTGACTTGGACAAAACAATGTTGTAAAGTAGGCACAAAATTTATAACTTCGGCGCGTAGCTAATACTAAATACGCAGGTATGTGCATATAGGCCAAACAAGTTGAAGATCTTAATACCATAATCAAATAAAGCAATTCGCTGCATTAAAATGGTATGACTCGTAATTTGAACATTAAATGGGCCAACATCTTACATGCCATAGGAAACACTAAGAAGACAAAAAGCGTCACCCTCTTTTTCTGATAACGTTTGGTTGAAAAGTTTTCTTTCGAAGGAGACAAAGCTTTGGAAACAAAATCACGAGTGTGTATAGTATTATTCATTAACCCACGCTCACAACAAATACAAATAAATACAACGAAGAAAGCGTCTTTCTATATTATCACGATTATTGCATGATGTCGACACCAATAATAAAGAGAAAGAAAAAGTTCTAAATTACAACATCAGAGTGACCACTTACAAAACTGACATTTGTAAATACGTTTTGAGGCGTAAAATCAAAACTAAACTTCTTGTCTGTTACGTTACCGCCTCAATTGGAACATAACGTCATAGGTAATGACGTAAACATCTTTGAAATACTGAGAAAGACTTTTTAGTGACTTAAGTTGCGTAGGTAACGCAACGAGGTAACGGCTTGAAAGTGCTATTGTGATAAGTAAAGTGCTGTGATAAGTGCCATTGAAGGTTACTACTCTAGTGGCTAGTGGCATAGCTAGCCCACTTAATAAATTTTCTAAGCAAATTTTTTCATGATAACTCATTGCTAAAACAAAAGAATTACATAGAAATGAGCAACATCCTGAAATTTACATACATATGAAGTTGAACTAAACTTGGCTGGCTTTACAACTGAAAAACCAGAAGGATTTTTTTGTGAAATTCACAATATCAAAATAAGTGCATTAAGGTAGCTCAATTCTAGTATTTAAAAAACAAAATAGTGTCATAAATCAAAAGAAAGATAAGATAGATTCACCCTTCCATCTGGTTACATTCCCATTTGGCCAACATGCAGAACTTCACAATGACTAAGTTTTTCTAAGTTTAATCAGGTCATTAATCAGAATTTTCGTCATATATTACATATTTCTGATATGTAAATCAACATGTTTCATGATCAAGCCAATGAACTATAAGTATAACAATTGAACTAAAAGGTTGATCAAACTATAAAAATCTACACATGCACAAATTTCTGTAGAAGTGGAGAAGTATAGGGTGTCTCCCAAATATCTATAGAAATCATTTCATCCTAAACCATTGTCAAAAGCACATGATTTTACAAAAGGGAATTTATTGATGATTGCTTCAATGGAAGAGTTAATTTATGCGGGGGGGGGGCAGCAACAGCATGGCTGGTTAGATAATTCTCATCTCTTCCCATTGAACATTGAAATCCACATCGCAATTGATGGTCAAATATTTTAAATTCATCTAAGATAATCTGCGCGAAGTACATATTCAAACCAAATTCTAAAGATATTTGGGGACTAGCTGCAGTAAGTGTGATGTGATTGTGAATATATAGAATACCTCTTCTCCTAATTCATCTTCCTCCCTCTTTCTTTTTTTCTTTCGTTCTTTTGCTTTTCTGCTTTTCTTTCTTATACAACTGCATTCTTCTCTCCTTATTCTTCACGCGGGATAAATCTACAGAACGCTTATTATTCTGTGCGTTTGTAACACACGTTAATTCAGTCTTCTCCGCCATCTTGAAAAATAATGTCAATACAGTATTATAGTATTCACAGTTGTATCTAATTACTACTAATTACCCATAGTTCTCTTATAACACCCTATGCGACCCCCGCTGTCATTTTTCCATTGTTCAAACTTCTAATAATTTCTTTCTCTTTCTGATAAAAATCGTATTCTGAAAGCTAAAAAAAGGTGAAATGCATGTAGCACAGCTTCATTCAGGTTCCACTATCCCATTACTTGGTTTAGGTACTTGGAAGAGCAAACCTGGGGTTGTGGGTGATGCTGTTAAAGTCGCCATTGATTCAGGTTATAAGCACATCGACTGTGCAGCAGTTTATGGCAACGAAAAGGAAATTGGTATAGCTTTAAAGGAAAAAATTGGAAAGGTATTGAACATAACATAGAGTTTTAGTAGAAAAAAAAAATTAAAACCGTTACACAAATTATACTTAGATGCCTGATCAGTAATGGCGTGACCGTTGATATTGTATTCAAAAATTAATAATAATTTTGCTTAAAACTTTACACTGTAGAAGTAATAGTTAGGGCTGGCCAGACTGGAAAGTTTGTAAACTGTGTACGTGAGATTTAAGGTGCACAATACAAACTTTTAATTCTGAGGGCTGACTTCACCATGCCAATATCATGTATATTTGATAAATTTCGTTACTATTGTGCATTTCTATATCTGTTTTGTGCAATGCAATATTTTACATAAAGACAAAGACAAGAAAATTCATCATTTTTTCATATTCAATGGTGAAGATTTTTCTGAGCAGAACAATTTTTTTGATGCCGTCAAAACTTTATTGTAAAACGTTTATGTCATGCCACAGATTTGAGTTTTTGTTGCATCTGAGTTGATTGATTTTCTGGTGTTTGAAATGTGTTGTTTTTCCTTGCGAGTAGTCCAGATGCTAAAACCATTTTGATCTTATATTGAAACTTTACCATTGTGATCTTTAAAATTTAAATAGGATATCAAAAGAGAGGATCTGTTTATCACCTCAAAGCTTTGGAATACAAAGCATGCTGCTGAGGATGTTAGACCTGCCTGTGTGCAAACATTGAAAGATTTACAGCTGGAATATTTGGACCTATACCTTATCCATTGGCCTATAGCCCTTAAGTCTGGCATTCCTTTTCCCAAGAATAAGGATGGTTCATTGCAATATAGCGATGTACATCCCTTTGAGACATGGACGGCTATGGAAAAACTAGTTGATGAAGGCTTGGTGAAAATATTGGTAAAACGGTTAATGCCTTAATTACTTAATTATGATCCCTGATTTATTTTTGAAAAAATTGTTAAAAGTCTGAGCTATGGATTGCATGCAAGTATAGTAAAATATTTTTCAATGAAAAATTTCATTGGAGCTACACAAATTACCTCAAATAGTGTGAAAGTTTCCTACTATATAAGTCAATTAAATGTTTTGGAGGTGTTTATAAATAATTACTTCACAACATTTGCAAGATTTTTCAACATGTTCAAAAAAACAAACAAATTGTTCAGAAATCTTGTGTCAAACAGACAAAGAATTGATTGTGATCAGCAATGTTATTGTAGTTTTTATCATTCCCTGGTGTGTGCTTATTGAGAGAATATCCCTAACATTCTCTTTTACTAGTGAAAGATTATTTACAAAAGCCATGTCAAACAACTTGAGTAGCTTCAATGTCATTTTGATTGACAAATCTTTTGACCATTTGGCACAGTTAAGCATTTATACTATGGGCACAGCATGGGAGCTTCATGTGTGCATCATACATGTATAATTAAAATTAAGCAAGAATTGCAGTGTGGTTGAGATGATGACTATGATAAATGTAGATGTACATGATCAAATGTCAGCTGCTTCACGTTTATTTCGTTTTGAACACAATTCTATGTATCAATAATGTTATCCACTTCAGCTTCAATTGAATTGTTTGACACGCTGTTTTTTAAAAGTGCAAAAGAAATTGTTAAGACCTTCGTTAAATTTCCCTATCCTTAAGTTAGTTCCTCCTGGTAAGTCCTTTTTCATTTTATCCTTTATTTTAGGATTGTCTAATTTCAACAGTAAACAAATAAGCGAGATAATGTCGAAATGCAAGATAAAACCCGCTGTACTTCAAGTTGAATGCCATCCTTATCTCAATCAGTCAGATCTCATAAACTTTTGTAAAGATAACCAAATTGTCGGTATGTTTTCAACATTCTGGACGTAAAATTCTTTTCACTTCCAAAAAAATGTTTTCTCAAGGTTCACCCATTGTCTATTTTATTGTCTTTTTTCAAACAGTAACTGCATACAGTCCCTTGGATCGCCTCGACCGTCCCTGGGCTAAGCCTGGTGATCCACTGCTTCTCGAACAATAAAATCCTTGAAGTAGCTAAGAAATACAACAAAAGTGCTGCCCAAGTTTGCATCAGATTTCAAATTGAAAGAGGCGTTTCCGTCATTCCCAAAGTGCTTCCTCATCGAATCAAAGAGAATTTCCAGGTACCGTATTTTCACACCTCTCTAAGATAGTTGCCGAACACGTCACATCCTGTAAACACCCCACCCCACCCCTTAAAATCGGTGTTTTACTATATCTAAATATTACAACACTTGTCTGTCTTCAGTATATACTGCTACAACGATTTCCTAATCTTAAGAAGACATTGATTTTTTTCGAAGCGATTTTTCCTTCATTTTGCACAGAACCGATCAGCTTACTTTTTTATCAGGTCTTCGACTTCAGTTTATCGTCAGACGACATGAAAGTGATCGAATCCTTTCACAGACCATGGAGCCCTGTATCCCAATGATTGAGGTGAGAGATATCTGGAAATGATCTAACTTTTATGCTCCTTTGAACGAAATACTTCCATCCCTTTAACTTGCCTTCTTGTTTGTTGTTGTTTTTTTGCTAGGTCAATGGTAAACAAGTACCACGTGATGAACATCATCCACATTTTCCCTTCAACGAGCCGTTCTGATTTAGAATGCGGTTCATAAAATAATTTTGATAAAAGCCTATTTACAAATACGTTATGGCTTACTCTGTTGATAAACGTTGGAAACAACTTGTAACTCTAAAGTTTTATTTTCTTAGTGCTTGCAAAGTGCTTTTTTAATCGTCGTACGTTTAGTGCGATGAAAATTGTTGAATCATGATTAATAAGAATGAATTTACATTTGACTGAAGAACAATGATGCTGATTCTCTAATGGCTTTCAAAGTTTAGGCATAAGAATTCGATGAATCTTGCCTATGCAGCTATTGCTAGGATATAAATCGATTACCTTTGTTATGATCAAACGCTCATTTAGGTGAAAGTTGACTTACAATTTATCGATCATTAAATAATGTATAAACCCACAAATATTGTGACGTCAGGTGACACGACAACGTTGTCTCTGTTTAATGAAAAGTAATCATTTATAAGGATGACGTTTTATTGGACAAAGTTTTACAAATTTATTGAAAAATGAAGGTTGTAGGATGGAGCATAAAAGTTTGCAGCCTGTTTTCCTTATAAACAGGGATCCTTGACCAGAGACGCGTCGATGCCCGTGCCCTCTCTTATGAACAAGCTATTTCTTTTTTGAAATATAGCGACCTACTTTCTCCCCCCCCCCTCCCATCTTGAACTAGCTCCGCAGTCCCTCTTTTTTTTTGTAGTATTTCACCCCTTGTGAAAGTGTTCTTGGTATGCTGTGCTTAAATGCAATGGGGGAAGGGATACAGAAGGATAAAAGTGGATATAACAAGTACAAAATTTGCATTGCTTGAAATAGGATTTATTTGAATTCAATATGGCAACTTGTAGTTTCAGAGCTTCGTCAACTCCACGTGAGAAACGGATATTATTGGAAATAATGCTAGTAAAATGTCAGCAATGAGTTCGTCTGCTGGTCGTGGTCGTGGTCGTGGAAGAGGAAGAAATAAACCACCTGCGCCTTTGAGAAAACCCGGTGAATTTACTACTACTTCTAAAATCAGAGTTTGGAAGATAGTACTCTTAGTCCTAAAGATGAAAAACCACCTGTTTCAACAGTACAGCAATCTGCAAAGGACGACAGCAGTCTGAGCTTGGAGCCTTTGGCCGGTCAGTATTTATTAAAATTAGTTAAACTGTTCATGAGTTTTATCATTGAATCACCATCATTCGCGAAAGTCTTACTCTTATGTTTTATCAAAATGTTGATCACTATCACCCACTGATCAATTATGAGTTAACAAGAGTGCAGTAAACAGCGCAATTCTCAGAACTGTTGCAATAATTTTGGCATTGTTTTTGTTTTATAATTTAATTACAACAAATGGTCTTGTATTTAGCAAAAGGTTTCATTAAAAAGCTTCTGCAAGAATTTATTACTTACGTATATTTGCTTAGAAATCTTTAAAATTTTGAAACATGACGTCTTCAACAAACTAAGTCATTTTGTTTAAGTTACTAATTTTTTTGTATCATCAGAATGATCAGACATACCTCAACAACATTTGTCATATAGCCTGGTTTTGATATTTACGTTATCATTTAGAACCCAATGCAAAATGATTCTGCAAAGTATTTGCTAAAATGAAACTATTTTTTAAGTTTTTGGGAAATCTCTAGAGAAATAAACAACAATGAAAAATTGATACTTTTTCCAAATTGAAGTGATTGATTCCCACAATCAACTGTCCTTCCATTGACAACTTTACATGAAAACGGCTTACAACTGTTTTTCAATGGAAGTCAGTTCTTTAACAAATTAAATCCCCTATCCTTTATTGAAGAACTATCAGGTTTATGCAATTTTCATTATTTTAGGTGAAAATGCAACAACATTATATCTTTTTCAACTAATCAAACATTGTTACAAAAATTGTAGAAAGTCGAGGGCAAGACATAAATTAAATAATTAATGAAACTTTACCTCATTGAATCTTCTCCTAGAAACTTTGCTGTAATGAAAAATGTTTTTGGCTAAGACATTTAAACCAAACTTCATATGTTGCCCTATTACCTTTACGTGTGCAAGTTGTTTGTATACAAAAGTTGTTTGTATGCAAAAGTGGTTTACAAGCAAAGTCATTTATATGCACAAATAGTTTCTACGTATGCAAAAAGTCATTTATTTTTAATTTAGAAATTAGAAAACTAAATGTTAACAAATCTTTTTTACTACACTAACTGTAGCTACATGAAACTTGCTTTAAAAGAAAAACCAGAAGTTGCTTGGAAATTTGATTATATATTTTGTATTCTTTGAAAATGAGTCATTTTACAAACAGTAAATATCTCAGATTTGGCACCATTACAACAATGCTTCTTTGACCTAATTTTGCTAATTTGTACCATTATGAATTTGCTTTATCACTCATTAAACACATGATCTGCAATGAATTTGAGCATGTGCACATTTTTCAATAGCAACTCATTAGACACCAACCAATAGCACCCCTCTCCACTACCATACCATAATATATAAGGTGTTTGTATATTTCCCTCTCCTAGACGTAAAAGAAATCAAAGAAGAAGATCATCAAACTGAAATACAAGGAAGTGATTTGTGGAAATCTGTTAATAATCCTGAATTTGTTCCAAAATCTCAGCAAGTACAGGCTAGACCTTCAAATTCACTTGTTACAGCTGTTAATGCTCCAATTTATCCCTGGAAGACGTTTTGCAATACACAAAGAAACCGAGGAAAGATCGAATACCATTGTAAATTTTATGACTAGTAAAATGAAACAACTTACAGAAGATCCTGGTTTGTTTGATGAAATTGCAGAAGCTACTGTGAGCTATTTGTTATTGCATTTAAAAGATGAAAATGACATGACATTGGTGTCAGATATACTCTTTGAAAAGGTAGGGATTCTTGCTGTTTCATTTTGTAATGGATTGTACATAGCTTAGAGCATTATAAATATGTAATATTTGTTTGGTATAGTGTGTAGCAGACCGTCATTTTCAATATACTGGATCAAGATTGGCTGGACATATGGATAGATACTTGGTGGTCAACGCATGGACTCGATTCCATTTCGAAATTTTTTGAAAAGGTAAACCTGCACTCTGTAACACTTTGAACTATTTTCATTTTTCATTTAAACTTCTTTTTTGGCATTTCTTTGCATGGCTTGACAAAACTGTGCTATAACTAGAGTTTTAATGTCATTTTTGTGTGCACTATTTTATTTTTATATTCCATTGTTTTTAAAAATGTCAAATGGACGTTTGTGTTTAACTTTATCAAATATTGAATTGATTCATTCACGTTTTTAACCAGTTTGTTACGGCAGATACACTCGAACGTTTTTTTTTTGGTTTTTTAAATGGAAACAGTCCTTCAAATATAGTCCATTTATGTTGTATTGTGCTTATAGGTAATTACTGTAGATAAAAATGAACTTTTCTAAATGCGTATTGTGAAAAAATATAACATCCTGATGATCATATACGTACATAAAGAACCTCATTAACCATTTACATGCAAGAATGTACATGCAAGGCTGTTGAATTTTTTAGGTGTAGTAAAGAAAATACCATGTTTGACAACACAATTGAAAGCGATCTAGAAAGAGCATGTAGTCTTGCCCTTTTTATGGGTGAATTGCTTCGAAATTACAAGGTTTGCATACGTAAAGATCGCATTCGATCCTTTTCATCTGATCTGAGGCATGTAACCTTTTAAAATTCATTTAAAATATACTATTCAAATTACTTGGAGGTCATTGAGGGCAGGGGACTTGAATCGATCATATTGTATGTTGAACGATTTTAGCTACAATATCAATAACTATTTGTAGTCGTCAAGTTACTCTAGTTGCGACTTCAGTACGTGTATTGTTACGCAAAGTTCACAAATGCTGAAATACACAACATGAGAATTTTTTAACTTGAAGTTTGGTCACCATGAAATTTCAGTTTGATTTTCAGTCAAAATTCAACTTTTTTTCTGTTCACCATATTCGTTTTTGTCTTTTGTCATCCAGGACAAGAACGACAAGACTATTGGTAAATTATTATGTGTTGTCACAGATTTGTTAAAAAAACTCTTAAGCTGTAGCAATCCGAAGCTTCTCATAACCGCTGGAAAACTTTTAAAGGTAGGGAAGCTTCTGTAAATTTTATGTAAGCTGTCGTGAACTCCTCTCATGTTCGTCTTGATTTTCTTTTTGATGAGCGGGAATCATTTGATCTAGTATATTTACTAGGTTAAGCTGTTCACCAAACACATAATTATTTTTCTTTAAAAAATGTTGCAAATGTTTAGCTACACAAACTAGAATAATAGTCTCCTTGTTCATTTGTCCAGAGAATTGATTTCACACATGTCGTTCATGCTGAGGTGTCTTTGAAGTTTCGAGTTATTTGTTTTTATTAGTCTTTCTGTATGTGAGTCACGTTGTACTGTGTGATCTCTTTGTTTGCGTTTGAAAGCTTCTTTGACAAGTTGAACTGCTGCATAGAGTTGTCGAACAATTCTATTAAATTCAATTGATCTTCATTGCAATTTTCATTTTAAATGTTGTTGTGATTGTTCGTATGTTTTATACAATCAAATCAATATGCTGCCATATTTTATCTGCTATCTAATCTCTGTGTTACGTACTTTGTTCAATATCACCCAACCGCTTTGTACGCACAAACTTGACAAAGTGCAAGACATAAAACTTATGTGAGTTTTCTTTATTTCTTAAGTTGACTGGAGGCTTGCTTGATCAAGAGAACGAGTTATTTCATTCTGTAAAACAGTTGGCAGTTGATGAACTTGTTGACAGGTGAGCCCCTTACTCCAGTAGCGAATTCAACCGACAAGTATTGGTCCTGCATGCTATGTTGATATCAGATTATTATCACCATATTGTTTTCACAGTGTGAGACCATTGAACTAAAATACATGGAACGCTACCTGTAATGCAAAAGCCTAATAATTTTTTGAAGCCAAATCTTACACCTGGCGACGATTTACCCCAGACACGCGTGTGTATTTCAATCAATCATCTCTCCGCGAGGAATCTCGAAACACGCGTGTCTGGGTGTAAGATTTGGCTTCAATTATGTGCTTCAGGTAGCGTTCCTTGTATTTTAGTTCAATGGTGCGAACACACCGAAATTCACGTAGCTGCATGGACTAAACAATCGGGCTGGCTTCGCCACTGTCTTATACTAACGTGAAGTATGCACAAATTTGTATTATATGACTTTAAATAGATTGACAGCAGTCAATGAACTCAAATGTAGGGCTTTATTTGGCAATATTTGAAACTGAAAACTAATCGTGTTTTCTTTATGACGAAATTGAAGTCTTAGTTTGCCAAAGCTACAAAATTGGCAAGTCTGGTGTGGTTGCTGCGTTAGAGAATATAGGGTTGAAAACGTGATATGATGCGAAAAATTATTTTGGTTTTGAATTTCAGTACTGCTCGAGGGTTATTTCATCGTGTTTGTGAGTTGAAAGAAGCCAACTGGGGTCTCAAGCTCCAGTATCAGTACCAGATATGCTTGCTACACAAGAAACCTCCATTTTCATTCCAGTAATTACATTCTTCATTGAGTATTGTTGCAATTGAGATAAAATTGTACACGTTCATATAATTTATAATCATTTGGTCTTAAATAATTATTACATACAAATAATTATGCCGCTAAAATAACTTAGCGATCTACTGCAATCGATTGGACCTTCAATACCTTCAGGCAGCACATTATATTGTAATTATGCTCTTGCATGTTTCACTATCATTTATGGCCGCTTTTATGTTACTGAATTTGAACCTTTAATGTTTAGAACATAAGGGGAATGTTAGAAGAGGAACAAGAAAGTGACATACCAGTACTAAATGAAGGTAATGTTAATAACGTTGCAGATTACATGTCTCGTTTTCGTTATCTAAATAGGGGTATTTAGCTTCAAACCGAAAGTCTAAGACCACAACGTTATTAACGCTTCAAAAATATGTCTCCGTTCGAAGAGAGTGCATTATAGTTTTCAATGCTAAACGTTATGTGGTTAAAAGTAAGTTTGTGCATGATAAACAGATGTGTGAAAAAAACATTTCCATTAAATGGTATATTAGGTAGTAAGTAGATAATTTTTTCAAGGTTCGCAGATACAGGCAGAAAAGATTAAGAAAAGAAGACTATAGTGGATCAAAACTCTACTCTAATTTCATATTACAGTGTTATGTAGTTCTTTCTTATTTTAGACGAGTGGAACGACTATGCGATCGATAGCGGCGCTCAAGAAGTTTACGACGAAAATGCGTATGAAAATGATGAAGAACTTTTATACCAGCAGGTGTACCTGGAACAATACGGCGTACCTTACCCGTAAGTTTTGGTTCTGAAGTGTTACTTAGATTCCAGATGAAAATAGTTTGCATCAATACTAAGATAACAATTGCAAGATGTATCTATGTTAAGATGGATTTCCTATGGATAGATAACTGTAAACAACCAGGGCTTTTATTCTGTTGATTCATTATCCTGACAAAGAGGAAACTTCTCATAAAGAACCTTTAAATTTTCTTTCAGCTTTATAAAGGATAACATTTAATAAATTAGCGGTTCTCTACTACTAGCTTTTATCGATTGCCGTACGATCGTCTTATTTCTTGCCATTAAAAGCAAAGTTGTTTTTTAGAACTACAGAGTCTTGGTCCAATGCTGACGAAGATGATTACTATGAGGATTTTGAGAAATTCTTGCAAGGTTGAGAGCTATGGGATATGAGTATGCGTGGTCGTAACATGCTTGTAGTCAAGTGCATTGATGATTCATTGATTTCACCAAACTGGGTCTTGTTTTATGACGGAGCTTTCATTTTGTAGTTTGATATTCAATGTTTGACGTTAATTCAAAATTTCTTTCCTTTGAAATGACTGGGCCTGTTGTTGGACTGGTTTGTCTGAGTAAGATCGTCATGTGATTTCTACAGCTCAATCTCTCGAAGGAAGTCCCAAATCCAATCTTTCAACCGGTAAAACTGAAAATCTTAGCTTTGGATTGAAAAATCATCCCAAATCCAATCTTTCAACCAGCAAAACTGAAAATTTTAGCTCTGTATTAAAAAATGAACATAGCATAAAATAATTTCTTCATCATTCGTAATTTGCTCCGATTCACTATGTTTCAGGAATTTGTTTTACTCATTCAATTATTGTAAAACTAATGTTTTAATTTGTGGTGTTTAGTTTAAAGCCTTCATCAGTAAAACCTGTAAAGTAAAAGTTCTTCGATTAAATTATGTTTGTAAGTTCATCAGGCAAAGATGAATAATTTATGCTGAGTTAAAGTATGAAATACATGAATACATTGCATACCATAATAAAGAGAGCCGAATTAAAATCCTCGATAAATCAAAGTTCCATTTCTGTCATTGCACTTCTGCACTATAATGAAAGTTAATGATGGCCAAATGAAACTTGAGCATTGGGTTTGAGTGAACATAACAACAATATTTTATTGTTTCTTTTGTTTCCTTCATAGACCTTTCAGATTATTTTAAACTCTTTTCGTATTCAGGTGCAAACATTTGTTTTAATAAACCAACGAAGAAGTTTGTTGGCTTTAGGAAAGTCGGTGATGGGATGGTAAAGAACCGTAGTCTATCTAGGGCAACCCCAGGGTTAGTTTTAGTTGACCTTAAGGTACTTATTCCCCTTCCAAATCAGGCGTAAGTTTCAAAAAATGAAAAAAACAATTTCGTTTGTTTTGGATACATTGAGTATTGTAGTTTATGATTTTGAAGTTTATTTTGTAAAATATTTCATCAAAATACTTGAAAAAGTAAAAAAACTGACACTGTTTAATAATTTGGGCCTTAGCAACGCCTTAGTAACCAAAAAGGGCTTCCTAATATCCACCAAAAACTCTCTGAAACCATTTTCATTCCTTGCTACTTTGACGTATGTTATTAACAAGGTCTTTCGGCTCGTTTTGTCGTAATTCTGTGGTAAATAGCTGTTTGGGGGATGGTATAAAGCTATAAAGAACAGCGTGGCGATCGGGAAGTGTGAGAAATTACGTTCCTTCAATAATCTTTGAATTCTAACATTTTTGTGCTGGGAAAGTTATAATTTTTTGTTTGAAAAATCATTCTCTTTGGTTTTCTTCTTAATATAATGGGAAATAGTCGCAATAGAAGTAGAAAAAGGGTGAAAATTACCCCTAGAAAACCAGCTAAGAAATTCAAATATGGCGATGATCATGTTGAAAACACTTGTCCTTCTGGCGTCGAAATTGGGGATCAAAGTGCAGATTATGGAGTTGAGCGTGATCATATAGACTCGATAAAAGAAGGCACAATATTTATCGATTTGTCTGTGTTGTTTGGCGTTTTTGAAGACGTTTTGAAATGCCCAGAATGCGGAGATGATACAACAGCTCACATTGATTTAAACAAAAAACATGGATTTTCCCAGTATGTTGTTTTGGACTGTCGAGATCCGAGATGTGATTGGAAGCATTGCTTTCATACGTCTAAAAAACATGGGCGCTCGTTTGAAATCAACGTCCGATCTGTGCTAGCGTTTCGAGAAATCGGAAAAGGGCACAATGCCATGCAAACATTTGCCAAGGTAATGAATATGCCTCCTCCACCCACTCGAAAGAACTTCACGAAGATTCAGAACAAACAACTTTTCCCAATAATCGAACAACTGGCAAACGATAGCATGACAACAAATGCATTTAAAGTGAAAGAAGCATGTGGAAATGATGAAGGAGAATGTGGAATATCCCTGGATGGAACATGGCAGAAAAGAGGTCATGCGTCACACAATGGTGTGGTTACTGCTATTTCTCTATCCACAAAGAAATGTGTTGATGTGGAAGTTCTTTCAGATAAATGTAAAGAGTGTCAAAAAATGGAAAAAGAAACAAAGTGATCCAAGGTATGAAGTGTGGAAAGCCAACCACCTCTGCAAAATTAATCACTCTGGTAGTTCCAACAGTATGGAAACAGTTGGAGCAGTTAGAATTTTTGAAAGATCAGTGGCGACACGAGGACTAAAATATATTCACATGCTTGGTGATGGTGATTCCTCTACTTATAACAATATTGTTGATAGGAAACCCTATGGAGATGAGCTAATACCAAATAAATTAGAGTGTATTGGTCATGTCCAGAAACGAGTTGGGAGCAGGTTGCGGAGGTTGAAGAATGCTAATAAAGGTGTAAAACTTCAGGATGGAAAAGGTTTAGCTGGTAAAGGAAGATTGACAGATGGAAAAATAGACATTTTACAAAACTACTATGGTCTGGCAGTAAGAAACAATCTCAATGATGTTGAAAAAATGGCTAGGGATATAAAGGCTTCTTTGTATCATGTTGCATCCACAGACGCCAACCCACAACATCAGCTTTGTCCGGATGGAGAAAACAGTTGGTGTCAGTATAAGGTCAGCCCAGAAACATACAAACATAAGAATGGTTTAGCTAAATGTATTGTTGAACTAATTGAACCAGTTTTTGACAGTTTATGTGACCAAAGGCTATTGGAGAAATGCATGCATGGTTTAACACAAAATGTTAATGAATGTTTAAATGGGTTGATTTGGGAGAGATGTCCTAAGTCAACTTATGCAGAGAAAGAAACTGTTGCACTTGCCACATATTTAGCAGTGCTAAAGTTCAATGATGGAGATATTTTCTTTATAAAGATCTTTGAAGATTTGAATATAACACCAGGAAAATTTTCTTTGGAAGCAACCAAAGTGTCGTCATCAATAGAAACAAATGTTCCACAAAACAGAAAACAGAAACAGTAAAGAACAGAAGAAAATTTCTAAGACACCAAAGGAAAAGTTATATGGACAAAGCTGAGGCTATTGAAGGGCCAACTTATGAAAGGGGGTTCTAAGGCACTTTACAGATATATATTATAAAAGGAAACTTTAAATTGCTCTTTTCTGCATTCATTGATTTTACAAGAATGGGTAGTTTTTGTGACATCATAATTTTGTTGGAATTTGATGCAGAAAATTGAAATTTGGTATGTAGATAAAACACAACTTAAACTAGTGCCTGACGTTTTTAAAATTTAAAATTTCTTAATTATGTTTTAATTATCATGTATTTGCATATTAATTAGTGGGGAGTTTTATGAAAAATTTAGATTTTCTTCAATATTTTTTTATAAAAAAGGATTTTTGAAAAAATAAAAACGTCAGGCACTAGATTATGTTCTAAGCTTTCCAAAAAATGTATCATTTATGATATTTAACTTGTTCAATTGCACAAAATCATGTCACGCGTCAGTGCTAATTAGCCGGCCGCCATATTGGCTCATTAGTGTAATTAACAAGAATGTGAAAATTTTTTTTTCTCAATTAGTTTCCCCAGTCAATGCAATTCAGAAAATGCCAAAATTCATATTATTTCATGTAAATTGTACAAAAATCCATTGAAGGGGTATAAGTACCTTAATGAATTATACTTTCGACAATATTAAGGTAAAATGTATTGAAATCAAAGTAGCCACTAAAAGTAGTTAAATCGCTCAATGATTGTAATTTTGTGTTAGCGATGTTGGCAGTGATTCGTTCATTTTATTTCGTTCTGTCTTTATCCTTTTTTTGTTCTCATACGCCTCCGCATCGCCCACAAATGAACATTCCTACCGGAAGTTTACGTAACCACAGTAAGTAACGTCAAAAAATTTTCAACTTTTACAAATAACAAATTTTATCCATAAAAGGTTCTACCATTTATGAACAGATGCAACTTTGAAACTGTCGATGGCACAAGGTAACAATAACCATGTACCTTTACCGCCTCCATTACCTCCTGTTACACCTTCAGTAAATATCAATCCCAGCGTTGTTCAACAATTGCATCGGGCCTGTAGGACCGGCGATAGAGAAACAGTAAGTTGTCATTGATCGACGTTTATTTACAGAAAGGTAAAAAGGAAAGTAGACCTTTATAGATGGATGGAAAAATAACTTACAATTTATCAATTTTCATTTGTTTTCGTTTGAAAATGTAGCATTTAAATGCTTTAATGTTCATCTAACGGAATTTGCCTTTGTTATGGTGCCATTTTACCATTTCACGGATTTAAGCTTTGAAAACGCCCCCTGCTGAAATAATGAGATTTAGATTGCAGTGTGTAGTAAATAGCATATTGTTAAAGATTGATGTACAATATAGTAGGGGAATTTGGGATTCCCCTTCAAATGTGTGCATCATAGTAATTCCTACAAAATGCAAGATCTTTTGTAAATTACAACATACACAATATCTTGGGAAAGATGGTTAAAATGTTTCTAAATTACATGGCTGATTATTACTTTTTGTATTGGAAATTTTTATTTTGATTGTACAACAGCTTCAAATTTTGGTTCCGAATGTAAAAGATGAGATCAATTTCACATGTGACAGATCAAAAGAAACAATGCTCCACATGGTCACGAGGCATGGATATACAGACTGTATGAAAGTACTTCTTCGTAATGGTGCAAATGCAGACTGTATTGGTAAGTCAAATTGTACACTACTTTAACTCTGGTACTTTATTTGATTATTTTTTCTATTATACATATTTTAGTCTAAGAAGTGATGGATGATTTTGCCATAATTAGGTCATAGTCATATAATAAAAATATAATGCCATGATTAACTAGTAGGTACTACTTCTTTGGTGATTGTTTCATCTGACCTAGCTGGGTCGGTAATAATGGTTAAGTTCAATGGTTTTGTGGTCATGATAACTAGTTGACATTATTCATCTCTTCAGACAGCAAGAGAAAGAATGCTCTTCACATAGCAGCCGCTGCAGGTAACCTTGAAGGATTGAAACTTCTTATTGAACATGGAGCGGAACTGAACAAACGTGATAAATATGGAAGAGGGGGGCTGCATTGGGCCACCATATTCAACCATGTTGAATGTGTTAAAGAACTTATTCGAGCAAATGCGGAGATCGTTTGTGAGGGCAACTGGCAACCTTTGCATGAAGCAGCAAAGGCTGGACATAATGAAATAGTTCAGGTTCTTGTTGATGCTGGCTGTGATGTAAAGAACCCTTCAAAATGTAAGTAAGAGTAAGACAACTTGCTTTCTCTTTTTCTTTGAATCACTTTGGACCCCATCAACCACATTTGCATTTAAGTGATTTATGGTTTGATCACGTGAAATAGAGCATACCAATGTCATCAACTGATTGACTGATGTTCAGACTTTCTACTCAGAAGTATTTTGATTGGCTATTACACTTTCTTGCACACGTAACGAAGCACGTGCACTTAAAGTTGATCTCCATTATTTAGAGAACATCTTTGATAAATATTGTAAGTAAACCAATTTGACTTGACCATCCATTGACTCAACTCATTAGGAAGCTATAATACTATTTGTCACGTGACAACGCAATACACAAGCAACTCAGGCCATGGCGCACGCTATAAAGAACGGTAAAGACGACCCGCATTTTAGTTGCTTGAAGAAATTTCTAGAGTTTTTTCTAAGTAGTAAGTAGTACGGCAAAAGTTGCGCTTAAACTTCAGTTCCAGGACCCAGACGGCCGTGGTCCCCCTTGCACGTAGCATGTCGTCAGGGCAACCTGGAAACGGTGAAATTATTGATATCACTTGGAGCAAACATAAATACGGTCAATGCCGGAGGACACACGCCATTACACGAAGCTGCTTATCGCGGTTTTGAGAAAATATTGATTGAACTTTTGAAGAATGGTGCCAAATGTAATGCAATAAGTAATCAGAGAAGGACACCGTTACACGAAGCTTGTATTCAAGGTACCTATGAATGGTGTAAGAACCAATCATTAGCTACTATTCATTATGCTTTGTTACCTGAATCAAATCCTTACTTCTTTTTCATCACGTACACGTATATTGATTACCATCGTTTTTCTAGGAAACGTAAAAGTAGCTGCTTTTCTATTGGATGCTGGATCGAATATTCACGCTCAAGATGTCGTAATGAACACCTCTCTGCATTACGTTGTTAGTGCCAACTACGGGAAAGATATTAAATTGCAGTTGCTGAATATGTTATTAAGTTACGGTGCAGACTGTTTGATGCTGGGAAAAGATGACGACACTGCGATTGACGCGGCTTATGCTAATTTCTTTACAGAGGGCATCGAAATTATGAAGGAAAGCTTAGGTAGGCTGTTGCATGTCAATGTTGCGCTTTTAAAGTAAGTTAAATAAATTACAACAACGTTTGCATTTATTTACTTTTGCAAATACCTTAAAAACAGTTCTATTGGTAAATATATGGCAAAAAGAACATTTGTTATAACTTATAAAAATATTATTAATTGAGCTGTTGTAACTTATTTTGACTAAGGCTATTTAGGTATTAAAGCATTAAATGAAGCATTGGTTTATTACTGCATACGGATTTCAATTGTTGGAATTTTTGTAAAGCATTTGTTTGGCACCAGGATTACAGAGTTTTAATGAGAATTAGTTTTCCTGTTTTACTCGTGTGTGTCGATGATCAAAGATCAAGTACACCACATCACCACCACCTTTTCTTCGTGATTGTTATTTATTGTTAAGAGTCCGAAAGAAAGCACTGTTATTTGTTTCTTGTTGCAGAAACTCCGCGTTTGTTGGCTTTACAATGCAAGATTGTGATTCGCAAAAGAATGTTCAAGAGAATGCAAGACATTCATCTTCTCAATTTACCTTCACCGTTGATAAAGTATGTTATTGAAATTGAAGGTACTAATTTATAGTGCGCGAGGAATGTTTTGTATTTCGAGTTTTTAATTAGAGAAAACATTTTTAGCTTATGTAAATAGAAAATCGCATGCTGTTATGGTAAATACTTTTAAGAAAGTGTCAATAGACTTGTGTTTTTTCATAATATTCAGAGATTTAGAGATTTTATGCAATGATATGTGAGTGCCCAAATTGGTTAATTACTGTGTTGAAATCAGCTTGTGTAAACAATGAAGAAGTTATTTTCGAAGCATTTCACGAAGAATTTAGAAATAAATAACGAAAAGAAAATATTCATCAATGTGCTGTAATTCTATGATTTGATTTTTTTTTTCATTTTTTATCATGATAATGCAAAGCATCGTAGATGACGAATGCCTTAGAAATTTTATAGAAAACTATGCAAAACACTTTAGTGTCTATTTATTGCTGTTTTTTTGTCGTATTTAAGTTAGATCGCCACACGACGATTGCTGCAGCGATCGTCTTAAAAATTTTCCAAAATACATGCGCAGTAGAAATAATATGAACGATCATCTCTTGATTAAGTATGGCCGGAAACTATAAGAATCATCTCTGGGAGATCTGCCTTTGAACTGGCAAGAACAAAAAGTACTTTCTTACAAATTGTGAATGATAGACATTCTCGAGTATGGCATTTCTCGAGAAGAAACTGTTAGTAGAGTTGCAGTAGTGTAGTAGAGCAGTTTGGTTTTAAATCTTTCGACATTACAACAAAAATTGCTTATTATATCGCTTAAATATGTTTGCGTGAAAGAAAAGAACCTGGAAATTTAGACGAATATGTGATCTTTGCCGTTTATGTTTAGAGACGCTTAAAAATTCAGTTTCAACGAGAGTAAACGACATTTTCTGAACTTCTTACTACGTATAGCATGTTAGAAGTGAATCAATTGATTTAGAATCATCTCACACAGAAAGACAATGTCAGATGCATAACTAAAACATTTGTTAGTTTACACCATCAAAAGAAAAGTAGCATTGATTTAACGAAATAGGTTGTGTTAAATTGGGTGACAAAAATTTTAAAGTTGCATGTGTTAAACCATGCTTTAAACGTTAGATCGGCTTTGCAGAAAGTTGTACCGTATTTCAAACGATGAAATTTTATACAAGCATTATTTTGCCTCCCAAAACATTTCTTTGTCATCCAGTTGCCTCTCTTATTCATTTTTACCGAGTACAGCCTCTGCATCTATGTGTTAGCTAGGCTAGGATCACGCAGGTTAATATTGTAAGAGCGATTACGAACAATGTTGTTGTGCAACAGATCAAAAATGATTTTATAATAGCAAAGCAAACCTCTCATGTTGGAGACAACGATTCAAAGTGAAAAAAGTTATCGTTTATAGTTAAGTCACATTGGCTATTGTAAGGGATTGAGTGAAGATGTGCAAATAGCTTCGGTATTTAATTCAACAGAATGCTTTTTGTGCCACAGAGCATGACGCATATATAATTTGTATAATAACTCGCGCAAGTCACAAGCAATTGCTCAATCTTCCTTGAACTGTAAACGTGACTTGCTGTTAGTCTCTTTTCCTTTAAGAGAAAATGTTGAAAATTGAAATTCAAGTTTTCCTTTAAACGCGGATCTTGTGATCAACGTGCAGTTCTTACAAATAAAGGAAATTCAAAGGTAAATTTACATAGACTGTCGATGTTATTTGGGTAACCTTCACCGAACGTCATACGTAACCTACCAATAGTTGATTTTTTCTCATCTCATCAAATAATTGAACAGGTCACAAGAACATCTTACTGTACTGATAAAGTTAATTTTATGACTAAGTGATCGAGTGAGTCATTTGCCGAAATTTTGAAGCTAAAAGCTCTTTATTTCATGTTTCAAATACGTACAAAATATTTAATGCATGCCATTCTTAATGCATGATATACATCTGCATCCTTAATTAATTCCGTACTTATCTGGAAGTCTGTTATTTTGGAGTTCTTCATGTAATGCTGCATTCAAATGAATTGGTTTTTATATATGAATCAATTATGATGCAGTGAAGTTGTTCGGTATAGTTTGTTTTAATTTATTAACAATTAAAAGAACTCAGGTAATGCAAAAGGTGGCCTCCTACGCCCTCATAATGTATAGTTATTTATGTCTTTAATTTTCTGTGAGACGGTGAGAATCGCTATAGGATTTCCTATATTTAAGATTTGTCCTTCATTTCTAATGACAAAAAAGACGACCACAAATTTCATACTGGCCATATAACTGTTCCATTCTCATCGTAAAAACAGAAATCTTTGAAATTTTCTTAAGTCAAGAGTGACGAACTTCTTGAAAAACGCGGACATACGAACTGCGAGAAATCGTTAATATCTCAATGCATGAAGATGTGTTAGCATTTTTCAAATCGTATTCAGATTTGTGTTGTTTTTTAAAATACAATTAAAAACTAGGATATAAAGTCGTATATTGAATGCAGTTTATCAGCCTTCTATAGACTACACAAGGAGAAGTGGATATATGCCTTAACGTCGGTATCAATCTCATTTTCAATTGGAGGATTTCGGCCTGCAAGTAATTCTTCTAAGCAAAA